CTAGGCCTTCACTAAGTTGCTGAGACTGGCCTCAAACTTGCAGTCATTCCTCAGCCTCCCAAGTAGCTGTGATTACAGGTGATTTTTTTGTTTGTTTTGGGTATTGGGTATTGAACCCAGGGATGTTTTGCCACTGAGTTATATCTCCTGCCTTTTTTTTTTTTTAATTCAGGGTCTCACTAAGTTGCTATAGCTAGGCTTGAACCTTCAGTCCTCCTGCCTCAATCTCTCAAGTCACTGTGATTACAGGCTTGTGCCATGGCACCCAGTTTCTGCTATTTCTTTTTTTCTCCCCCTTTTTATTTATTGAGACAAGGTCTCGCTTAGTTGCTTATGGCCCTACTAAGTTACTGAGGCTGGCCTTTGAACTCACCATCCTCCTGTCCTGGCCTCCCAAGCCACTAAGATTACAGGCATGTGCCACAGCACTAGGCATCTCAGATATTTTAATCATTAAGATCATTTGGGGAAAAAATAGGAATCTTTCCAGTTTCTTAATAGATCATGTACCTACAATAGCTAACCATGATGCCTGGTAATAATAGATGCTAAGATTGAAAGAATAACTAAGTTAATTGTATGTTCTACTTTTAAGGTTAAAAACGACAACTAACGCCAACCATGAAAGATCCAAGTCGCAGCAGTACTAGCCCAAGCATCATCAATGAAGATGTGATTATTAACGGTCATTCTCATGAAGATGACAATCCATTTGCAGAGTATATGTGGATGGAAAATGAAGAAGAATTCAACAGACAAGTTAGTTTTGTATACAAATGTGTACTTTTTCATAGCTATTATAGCCTGTATAATATGATTGATTTGTGCCTATCACTGAAATGTGTTTATCTTATCATTTATTAAATGTGTGGATTTTTTTCACTACTCCTATTTTAATTAGCTTCTGATTACTACCAGGCTTAATATTTCATTGGTATTACTTGGAGAGCATGTATGTTTCAGTATTCCACCCTGGAAATTCTGATTCAGGAGGATTAGGGTAGAGCCTGGGAACCTGTTTTTCAAAAGCTTCCAGACAATTCTAGTGAGCAGTCAAGTTTTAAAACCACTGGCTTACACCAGTCAGATTGCTGTATTACACTGCAAGTCAGAAAAATCCAGGAATCAAGAACAAATGGACACATATTAGGGTACAGAATTTCAGCTGAGATCCCTTATCTGACCATCCTGAAAAATCTGGCACCACTTTTCTCTTTTTTTTGCTGGGGTACTTAGAGACAGGATCTGGCAAGCTTGATTAGGGGAACACTGTGTTGCTGAGAGGTTGGCTTTGAACCCCTGATACTCCTGCCTCAGCCTCCTGAGTTGTTGGGATCACAGGTGTGCACCACCATCCCCAGTCCCACTTTTCTCTTTAGAGAACTCTCATATGTTGATAAATGTTGTCTTTTATTTTGATACTCTGGTATCTCTTCTCATCTACTTTTTCATTCCTCCCCTGATTGGGATTTTGGTAATCAGTAGCTAACTTAACTTCTCCATAGGCATTGATAGACATTCCAGAGTAAAACAGTTTAGTATTATTTCAGTAAGTATCAGGTGGTGTATTTAATTTTCTTTTTAATGCTGGGACCCAGCACTCAAGACATGCTAGGGTCAGTTGAAGTGTCATCCTGCCCCATCCTGGGTAGTAGGGATTGACCCAGAGGCCCTCTACCACTGATTCACATGCCCAGCCCTATTCTTCAATTTTGAGATTGAGTCTCCAATTTGTGATCCTCTTGCCTCAGCCTCCCTGTAGCTGGGATTACAGGTGTGCATGTCCACACCCAGTTGTTTTTATTTTTATTTTTTTTAATATTTATTTTTTAGTTGTAGTTGGACACAATACCTTTATTTTATTCATATATTTTTATGTGGTGCTGAGGATCGAACCCAGGGTCTCACATGTGCAAGCCGCTGAGCCACAACCCCAGCCCCTAGTTTTGTTTTTTTAATTACCCATGCCCTGACTCTACCCCTAGAGATTGGATAGGATGAGTTTGTATAGTTTTAGATATCATAGATAATTCTGATACATATTTCTCAAGAGAACCCTCTATTTCTTACCTGCCATCCTCAATAAGAAAATGTATTCTGGTAATACAAGTAAAGACATAGAAAAACCCTAAACAGATCTTGATATTTATGGTAAGCATTTATTTTTCTTTAGCACAGAAGTAGAGTAGAAAGCATGACACTATTTTTACTTTTATATTAAAAAAAAAAAAAATTACATGCCTGTAATCCCAGCTACTCAGGAAGCTGAGGCAGGAGCATCATAGTTCAAGACCAGCCTCAGCAACCTAGAGAGGCCCTAAGCAACTTAACAAGCCCCTGTCTCAAAATTCAAAAAGTGTGGAACTGTGAATGTAGCTCAATGGTAAAGCATCCCTGGGTTCAATCTCCAGTACTATTTGTGTGTGTGTGTGTGTGTGTGTGTGTATTGAACCTAAGGCCTAGTGCGTTCTAAGCATGTACTCTACCACTGAGTTGTCTGCCCCCACCAGCCCCAAACATTGTTAACTTATTTATTTATTTTTATTTAAATTATTTTTTGTAGTTGTAGATGGACAGATGCCTTTACTTTATTTGTTATGTGGTGTTAAGAATTGAACCCAGTGTCTCACACATACTGTGCCAATGAGCCACAACTCCCACCCCTATTTATTTATTTATTTATTTATTTGTTTATTTATGGTGCTGGGGATTGGACCTAAGGACACTGAGCTACATCCTCAGTCCCCGCCTCCCCTTTTTTTGGAGGCAGTGTCTTGCCAAATTGCTTAAGGTTAAACCCTGTGCAGTCCTCCTGCCACAGTCTCCAACATCACTGAAATAACAGGCATACACCACCATGTCTGGTGTCATTGTGGTTTTAAATAGCTTAGTTAAGATATTTTAAGCCATTCCTAGTTAAAACTTAACAAGTGTGCTACAAATTATTCTTTATTTATTGTAAATCTAGATAGAAGAGGAGTTGTGGGAAGAAGAATTTATTGAGCGCTGTTTCCAGGAAATGCTGGAAGAGGAAGAGGAACACGAGTGGTTTATTCCAGCTCGAGATCTCCCACAAACAATGGACCAAATCCAAGACCAGTTTAATGACCTTGTTATCAGTGATGGCTCTTCTCTGGAAGATCTTGTGGTAAAAGTTATTTTTTCATCTTTTTAGATCTAGGTCATCTTTCTCATAAGCGGAAAAGCCAACCATCATCTGTTTAAGAAGAGTTCTGCATATCTTTCCCCTTACAGAGGCCTCCCATGTCACATATGACATGGAGTGACTTTTGGTAACACTATCCAGTCTTAGACAATTAACCGACTCTTGGCAACTACTCTTAAGTCATGATGGTGCCCTAGAATATTTAAAGATCTTTTAAGAGTTGATCTAGAAAAATATACGATATTACCATGGGACTTGCTTTTGCAAAAGTAGCCTAATTAGAACTGTGATATTATAAGGATTTTACAAGCTCTTGGCAGAAAAGGAACATTCAGTTGTATTTCTAGTGTCTCATCAATGCTAATATATTTGCAGTAAAAAGTTTATTCAAGAATTATGATAACATTAGTACTAAGGAAGAAATTTATGAGTCCTTTGCTAAAATTAAATAAATGATTTTTTCTGAAAGCAAACAATTTTCTCTAGGTCTGAATGTTGACTTTTTTTGAACTCAGAGGCATTCAACCACTGAGCCACATCCCCAGCCTTATTGAGACAGTGTCTTGCTAATGCTGAAGCTGGTTTTGAACTTGCAACCCTCCTTCCTGAGCCTCTGACTAGCTGGGATTTCAGGTGTACATCCCACACCTGACTTGAATATTTGCCTTTTAGTCCACATTTATAATATCTGGTTGCTTCTCCTACTCAGGGGACTCGGAAGTGTTTTTTGCAATTGTCTTTCACTTTCTTTGTTTCCTAATCTGTACTTGATAATTACTTATGAAGCTTCAAAACTAAAAATCAGTTCCTCTTGTGCATCGTAAGCTTGGGAGCATTAATCTTCTAGGCATGTTAATTTTTTAGAAGCACCCCAGAGAATTCATTATACAGCTATTCTATTCATCAGACATTTAGAAACTATTCTTCTAAAGGACTGTTTGGAGAACACTAAAATTTACATTATGGCATATTTTGTTGCAGTAAATAAAGATAACCAATTGAACACATGTATGATCTTATACTTTGTTGGGACATGCTTGCTTTTGACTACATTATTCAAGTCACAGATAATCCTGGTTGCCCTGATGAGTAAAGCCCTTTGTCAGGCTTAATGTATAATTGTAATTGGGACTCCGTATAATTCCTTAGTATAGAAACTGTTTTGTTCTACTCAGCCTGAGATTAAATTTGTTCTAACTTTTCTGTAGCCAAGAGATTGTACATTCAAGTATACTGCTTTTTAATTTAAACTGTCCACTGCTACTTTTGTGTGTGTGTATGTGTGTGGGGTTACTGGGTATTAAACCCAGGGTTTTGAGTATGTTAAGCAGATGCTCAAGTATAAATTATGAAACTAAAATTGCTCCAGTATGATGTTTAATATTATGTTTTGGTCTAAGTGACATAGGGTTCAAATTAGTGTAAAACTCTACCAGCATGCCTATATTTAGGTCTTGGAATCTGTCCTGGCTTCTTTTTATTTTTATCTACTTGGAATCCAAAATGTGGTAGAGAAGAATTTCCAGCTGTTCTTCCTATACACAGATACATCTGCTTAGGAAAGTAAAGACTTAAAAAATATAGCATAATGTTAGTACAAGTCTTTACAGCTCTTAGAGACTTTGGCCCACTCCACCCTTTTTTTTTTAATATATTTTTAAGTTGCCAATGGATTTTTTTTTTACTTTATTTGTTTATTCATATGTGGTGCTGAGGATCGAACCCAGGGCCTCACACATGCTAGGCAAGCGCTCTACCACTGAGCCACTACCCCAGCCCCAGGATCCTTGAGCCACTACCCCAGCCCCAGGATCCTCCCTCCCTTTTTTTTTTTTTTTTTAAACTGATGCAAAAATGGAGTCTCAGTGATTTATCCAAGCTTACACAAGAAGTTAGATAGAGGCAGAGCTGGGATTTCATACTTAGGTCTTCTGGCTCCCCCATGTAGTTTTCTTTTGCTGTTATATACCATGCTTCCTGTGGGAATTAGAAGATAGCAATTGTAGAAAGATAACTCCATGTTTTCAGTGAGGATCAGAAAGTAAAATTAATCCATCAACAATGCCCAGGTTATTTTAATCATTTCAAAGCTTAACATGTTTGCATAATATAAAAGTGTTTTAAGAAAGGTTTCAGTTAAATTTACAGAATTTCAAAATCAGTTCTATTCCTTTAGATATGAAGGTAGTGGGTTTCTGATTACATTTAGTTTCAGTTGCTACTTTCTCTTTAGAAAATTGATACAATTTAAGTTAAACCTTACTGTTCTAGTTCTTTTTTATATTTTTCTGGAAGATACTTTTGCTGCTAGGCTGAATGATTCTGAGTATCTGAAGCCATCTGTAATGAACTTGCTTTTTTTATGTACTTTTTTTCCAGGTCAAGAGCAATCTGAATCCAAATGCAAAGGAGTTTGTTCCTGGGGTGAAGTACTAAAATATTTGAGTAGACGGGGCCCTCTTTTGGTGGATGTAGCACAATTTCCACACTGTGAAGGCAGTATTAGAAGACTTAATTGTAAAAGCTCTCTCTTGTCACTGTGTTACACTTATGCATTGCCAAAGTTTTTGTTAGTCTTGCATGCTTAATAAAAGTGCTGAGACTGTTATTAAGTAAAAACCTGTCAAACATTTACTGAAAAATAGAATTGGCCCCATGGCTTAATGTAAAGACAGCAAGGAAAGAAGCACCAGTCAAGTTGTAACAAAGCACCAAATTAAATGACCTCTAAATCTTACTGAATTATTGTCTTTGAGGCTAAACTGGTCCCTTAGGATTAACTAACATTTGTTGATGTTGACAGTTTGTAAAATGAGTAAATTTAAATTAAGTCCTAATTGCTAAGCAGATTTCTCAGTTCTATTTGTCGTCATCAAAAAGAATCTAATTTTTCTGAAGAAGGTCTGTTAATTTAAAAATAGTTCATTAGAGACAAGTATGTCTTTAATGACTAAGCTTACACAAGGTAGTGATCAGGTAAGAGCTAGTCCTGGCTTTTCTGGTATGTTATCATGTTAGAAATGTCAAATTTTGTTCCTAATGTTACATTTGAGGAAGTATGTGATTTGAGAATTGCATCTCTTGAGGAGTCACTGCATCACAGCCATCCATACCTGTGTGAAGTCTAACTTAGGACCAATAGAAACCCATAACCCAATTGAACAAAGAGATTTGCAACATAATTTGAGTGGTGCTTTTCCTTGCTTTGTTACCCATCACGACAATAGTCTGCAGCACAACTTTTCTTTTTAACAAAGCTAGAACAGTTTTGGCTTCTTAAACTTCATATTTGAGTAGGTTAAGCTGCCATACGTGTTCAGTGTGAATAGTGTTTAAGTTGAAAATATTGTAAAAAAATTATATTTTTTCAAAAATATTTAAAAAAATAAATAATGGTAGAACTGAGCTGATGCTTGTGTTTATTGATGCTAGACTGCAGACTCTCCAGGGTGATATTCACTTGAGTATGGGCCCAATACCTCAGGACAACCCTGTTGGCAAAATGTGCTTAGAGAAGGATTTTTTAGAATCATAGTAGCAAGTATGTTGCTATATAAATATCTGTCAGTACAGCACTAAAATAAACCCTATTCCCTTGTCCTTGCTTTTTATTGCCCAAGACTGCAATGTAAAGACATTCATAAGCAGCCATTTTAAAATGAAACTATGACTGGACTGGGGATGTAGTTCAATTGTAGAGTTATTGCCTTGGGCACAAATCCCAGCACCACAAAAAGAAAAGAATTATGACTGACCAATACAATGGTGACCTTACTATAGTATAATCTCAGTAAATCTCATACACCCTTCTAAAAATTTTTTCTTGAGATTATTGGACCAGAAATTAGGAAGAAGGGCCATGTAGTCATGTCTGGCTCATATTCTTTATGAGGAGACACCAGTAATCTTTCCTCACACCCTGAAGTGCTGGGGATACAACCTAGGGGTTTCACTTCTCACAAAAAGCCCCAATGAGGGTATTTTTTTTGGGGGGGGTACTGTGGATTTAAACCAGAAATACTTAACCACTGAGCTGCATTTCCACCCCTTTGATTTTTTTTGAGACAGTCTTGCTAAGTTGCTTAGGACTTTGCTAAATTGCTGAGGCTTACCTTGAACTTACAAAACTTGAAATCCTCCTGCCTTAACCACCCAAATTGCTGGGATTATAGGTGTGCACCACTGTGTGAGCGCGCGAGGGGTGGGGGGTTTAAGCTGTGGGTGAGGGCTGGGGTTGTGTTCAGTGGCAGAGTGTTGCTTTGCACGTAGGAGGTACTGGGTTTGATCCTCAGCACCACATAAAAATGAATAAAGACAAAGATATTGGGAAACAAAAACTGTGGGTGAACCTTTAATTGTATTGGTACTGGGGATTAAACTCGGGGGCATTCAACCCCTAAGCCCACCTCAACATCCCTATTTTGTAATTTTTATTTAGGGTCTTGCTGAGTTGATTAGCACCTGGCTTTTGCTGAGGCTGGCTTTGAACTCTCGATCCTCCTGCCTCAGTCTCCCGAGCTGCTGGGATTACATGCATGTGCCACTGCCAGTGAACCTTTGTGGTTATTTTTATGTGTGCTTGATAATCCAACTCAGTGCCTCACACATGCTAGGCAAGGGCTCTACCATTGAGCCATACCTTTAGCCTTGGGGTCGCATTTTTGATGACTCCTTTTTTGTTAGGACTAGGGTTTGAACCCAGAGGCATTTTACCATTTAACTACATCCCAAGATCTTTTTATTTTTTTGTTTGGAGATAGGTAGTCACTTAATTACCAAGTGGGTCTTCAACTTGTGATCCTTCTGCCTTAGTTTCTTAAGTTGCTAGAATTATAGGTGAGCACTACTGCTCCTAGCTTAATAGTTACCTTAATAAACAGGTGTTTTTTGAAGAATCTCTGAAACAAATAATTATTCTTGACTTCTTTTTGGTGCCATGATACAACTGTCCTCTCTGTTTCTTAACAACTCAGTATATACTAAGAGGCATGGCTACCTGCCAGATACATAAATCTTACTAGTCCTGTGTCTCTGAGCTTAGACAAGGGCAGGTAAGTTCATTTCCATATACTTCCTAATTATTACAGTGCAGTATAATTTGCACCAATTAGAAAGGCACTGTAACCTAATGATTAGGAAAAAAAAATTCTACTTCATGGTGGTGCATACCAGTAAGTAATCCCAGCAACTGTAGAGGCTGAGGCAAAAGGATCACCGGTTTGACACCTTAAGCAACTCAGCAAAACCCTGTTTTAAAATAAAAAGTAAAAAGTGGGGCTGGGGTTGTGGCTCAGTGGTAGAGCACTAACCTAGCATGTGCAAGACCCTGGGATGGATCCTCAGCACCACATAGAAATAAATAAAATAAAGGTATTGTGTGCAACTACAACTAAAAAATAAATATTAAAAAAAAAAAGGTAAAAAAGTATTGGGGATATAGCTTGTGGTAAAGTGTTCCTGGGCTCAATCGCCGGTTCTTCCAAACCCCCACCCCACAACAACAACAAAAAAGATTCTGGCTTACTTTGTGGATGCAAATCCTGTGATCATGTGCAAATCATTTAACCTTTCTGTAACTTTGTTTCCATATCTCTAAAATGCTGACATGACACTTAAAAAGTTGGGGATTCAAATCATTTTGAGTTTTTGGTGTTGGGGATTAAGCAATTCCGGATTTCAGAGCATTTTGGATTTCAGATTTACAGATGAGGGGTGCTTAACCAAGAAAAAAAATACGTGTGTGTGTGTGTGTATGTGTGTGTGTGTTTGTAGTGGGGATTGAATTCATAGGCACTCAACTGAGCCACATCTCCAGCCCTATTCTGTATTTTATTTAGAGACAGGGTCTCACTGAGTTGCTTAGCGCCTCTCTGCTGCTGAGTCTGGCTTTGAACTCAAGATCCTCCTGTCTCAGCCTCCCTAGCCACTGGTGTTACAGGCATGTGCCACCTCACCTGTCTTAACCAAAAAATTTGATGCAAATATTCCAGAATCTGAAAAACCGCAATCTGAAACAGTTCTGATACTCAATCTGGGATAACAATATCTCTCTGGATTACGTGACTATTTTGTTCATTTTTTGGCACTGGGGATGGAACCTAATTCCTTGCTTATGGTAAGCAAGTGCTCTGCCGCTGAGTTACATCCCCAGCTGCCTTCTTTTTTTTTTTTTTGAGACAGGGTCTTGCAAGCTGGCCTTGAACTTGCAGTCCTGCTTCAGCCTCCCAAGTCACTGGGTTTGCAGTTGTGTGCCACCATAGTTGGTGAGTGTTTGTCTACCATGCTTGAGGCTCTGGGTTCAATCCCCAGCACTGCATAAAAATAAATAAAGATAAAGGTATTGTGTCCATCTACAACTAAAAAAAATTTTTTTTAATCTAAAAAATTTTAAAAGAGTCTAAGGCTGTGGATGTAGCTCAGTGGTATATCATGTGCAAAGACTAGGTTCATCCCCAACACTATATTTAAAAAAAAAAAAATGTCTAGGCTCAGCTTGTCAGTATGAAGGAACATGCCAGTTAAATAAGAGCCTAACATCTGCATTTCATACCTGCATTTCATACTCTGAGAGAGTTTCAGAGTATCAGCTACCACACATTTTCAAGTCCTAGGGACAAATGATAATCTCACCAGGGATTGTACTAGCATAGTTTTAGGCTGACATCATCCTTTTTAGATGGTTTTAATTATATGACCAGTATTGAAACAGGATAGAATAGATGAGAAGATTTTTTTCCTGTTGGTTTGCTCTCTCAATACTTCAGCCTTTCCCATGTTAAACGTCAGGTATTTGTTTAGCTCACTGGAGTTCAAGAATGAGGCTGCCCAGTTGGCTCATGGACTGTGGTTGGCCTAGAATTCTGCTAAGTATGTGGGAAGATTAATATTTCAGCATACTTATACCAATTTAGTTACCTGAAAAAGTTGAGAAGTCCCAAAATGGCTATGGAATTCGGTCCAGAATCCATATATTGACTTTATTTTGGGGGAAGATACAGGGCATTCGACCACTGAGCCACATCCCCAGCCCTATTTTGTATTTTATTTAGAGACAGGGTCTCATTGAGTTGCTTAGCACCTGGCTTTTGCTGAGGCTGGCTTTGAACTCGTGATCTTCCTACCTCAGCCTCCTGAGCTGTTGGAATTACAGGCATGAACCACTGCGCCCAGCCCATATGTTGACTTTAGTCCACCTTTCCCTTGAAGATCCTCAAATAGGTCATAAAAATGGGAACTTAATAGTTTGGGTTTTCTTTTGTTGAAACATAAGAATGTTTTGTTCAACCTTCCCACAAAAACCATAGAGACTTCCTACCTTTTTTCGAAGTAATGTTCAGACCTTGGTGCACACAGACCCAGTTTCTATATTTTCTGGAATGTCTTCTGGAACACAAGACTGAGTTTTTGACCTTGAAGAAAATCCTTTGAAGACTGGGCAGACAGGAATGTATTTCAGAAACGCAATCCTTTTTACTGTACCCATCCCAATGGGAAAGTCATAGCTCTTCAGGCTGGCAGATGTCTCACTGTTGGCGTGGGCCCCAGCTTTCCACTGTATCAGGCCTCGTTCCTCTGGACTCCCTAGAAAGGGAAAATAAGGTCATTCACCACAGGCAGCAACCCTCTACTACCTCCCCTTTCCATAACCTAGTAGTAAGTCAGCCTTGTGAATCAAATATGTGAATGTGTCTGTATGCCCCCCGTTCCCGTGGTGCTGGAATTGAACCCAGGCCCTTGCACATGCTAGGGAAGCACTCTACCACTGAGCTACACCCTCAGCCCTCAGATCTTCCGATACTAAAACGTTGCTAAATCCATGATTTCTGAGCTCCTAAGCTTTGCCAGAACTCTTGAGATCTCTAAAGCTAGTTGGTAATACGTAACTACAGTGTGCCAGACTCTTTGCTAAGTGCTGTAATTTCATTATCTCATTTCTTCAAAACGTAGGAAGTGTTACACAGACTTTTAAGATGGAGAAACAGGTTAAATAATTGTGAACTTACATCTGTTAGTATGGGGATGGTGTGTGCTGGGTCCTCACCAGATGTTGCTAAGGTGGTACTCTTGGGTAGAGAAGTATATTTTGAAATACTATAATCAGTATTAATTTAGGATTCCACATTTTTGGAAAATCTTGTTTTTACACACAAACTTCAGAAGGTCAAACTAAGCAAAATCTATGATGGGGTTAGGGATGCATTTGCAACTAAGGAAGTCTCCTGTGGGGGAGGGGCACATGATAGCTCAAGTTTTCATAAAAGGGCTGGCGGCTGACAAAAACTGAAATACTATAAATCTAGCCAACAGAGTGAGGTCACTCCAGGCTGAGAATAACCCATAAAGTCACAAACCAGATGTGTCCCAAAATTGGCAGAAAGGGCTCTGAAGGAGTGCTGGGGTTCAGGAAAGACTTCCAGGAGAAGGATCTTTTGGAACTGGGCCTGGCTGCACAAGCCAAAGAGCACAGATGACCAGAGAAAAGGCATAGGCATGCACAGGATGATGGTCCCAATGTTTCTCCCCTGGCAGGACACTTAACAGCTGGCTGGGCCTGAAGCTCTCTCCCTCTGACAAACTGGTCAGCCTCCTCCACTGCTTTACTGCTCTGCCTTCTCTTCTGCTTCAACCTCTTTTCCTGGGCTGTAGATTCCCTTATCTAGAAGTCCCTGCAAATGATTCCAGCCCAGCCTCACTGATTATTGCTTAATTAATCCAGTTTTACCTCCCATCTTGTGTTAGGAGCTCCTCAAAACAAACTGTGACCTTTGCAACTGCTAAAAGAAAATAGGGTAAACCCTCCAATATAGACTCAACACCCCAGCATTCCTTCAGTGCCCTCTGCTGACTTGGGAACACGTTTGGTTTGTGATACAGATGGATTGTTTGAGCCTAGGCTGACCTCACTCCTTTGGCAAGTTTTACAGTATTTCAGTTTTAGTCAACCCCCCAGCCCTTTTATAAAAACTTGAGATCTTTATTTATTTTTTGGTACTGAGGATTGAACTCAGGGTCGCTTAACCACTGAGCCACATTCCAGACCTTTTTTTAAAAAAACAAAACAAAACATTTTTTTAGATGTTGATGGACCTTTATTTTAATCATTTATTTATTTGCAGTGCTGAGAATCTAACCCAGTGCCTTACACATCTTGGGCAAGCACTCTACCACTGAGCTACAACCCCAGCCCCATCTCAAGCCCTTTTATATATTTTATTTAGAGACAGGGTCTCACTGAGTTGTTAAGTGCCTCACTAAATTGCTGAGGCTGGCTTTTGAACTTGCTATCCTGCCCTAACTTCCCCAGCCATTGGGATTACAGGTGTGTGCCATCGTACCCAGTAAAACCTGAGATCTTTTGTGCCCCTTCCCCAACAAACACAGGCAAGACTTCCTCAGCAAGTCCCCTAAAGCTTAGGAAATAATGCAAAGAATTAATTAATGGGATGGCGTCAAATTAAACTATTGGCTGTGCTCAGTGGCACACATCTGTAATCCCAGCACCTAAGGAGGCTGAGGCAGGAGGATCGTGAGTTCAAAGCCAGCCTCAGCAATTTAGCGAGGCCCTAAGCAGCAAATCAGCAAGACTCTGTCTCTAAATAAAATATATAAAAGGTCTGGGGATGCCGCTCAGTGATTAAGCACTCCAAGGTTCAATCCCTGGTACCACCACACACACACACACACACACACACACAAAGCTTCTGCATAGCAAAGTAAACAAACATAAAGAGCGAGCCTATAGAAAGGGAGAAAACCAACCTTCCCCAGTTATTCCTCTGACACAATTAATATCCAGAACATATAAAGAACGCAAAACACTTACCACCAAAAAATCCCAATCAGCAAGTGAGCAAATGAACTAAACAGATTCTTGAAAGAAGAAATAGAAATGGCCAACAAATAAAGGAAAAAAATTCAACATCTAACAATTAGGGAAATGCACATCGAAGCTACATTGAGGGCTGGGGTTGTAGCTCAGCGGTAGAGCACTTGCCTAGTTCATGCAAGGCCCTGGGTTTGATCCTCAGCACCACATAAAAAATAAAATAAAATAAAGGTATTGTGTCCATCTACAACTAAAAAATAAATATTAAAGAAGAAAAACTACATTGAGTCAGGTGTGGTGGTGCATGCCTGTAATCAGCAACTCAGGAGGTTGAGATAGGAGGATTGCAGGTTCGGAGCCAGGGTTAGCAACTTAGCTAGGTTGTAAGCAATCTATTGAGATCTTGTCTCAAAATATAAAATAAAAAAAAGAACTGGGAATGTGGCTCAGTGGTTAAGTACCCTGGTACCAAAAAAAGAAAAACTAAATTGACATCTCATTCCAGTTATAATGGCAATCTTTAAGAATACAAATAAGGGGCTGGGGTTGTGGCCCAGTGGTAGAGTGCTCGCCTGGCATGCATGGGGCACTGAGTTCAATCCTCAGCACCACATAAAAATAAAGATATTGTGTCCACCTAAAACAAAAAAATAAATTTAAAAAAATATTTTAAAAAAAGAATACAAATAAATGCTGGCAAAGATGTGGGATAAAAGGAACACTTAAACACTGTTGATGGGATTGTAAACCAATATAATCACTATGGAAATTAATTTGGAGCTTCCTCAAAAGAATAGGGATGTGACTGCATGGTAAAGCACTTGCCTAGCATACATGAAATCCTGAGTTCAATCCCTAGTACTTCAAGGGTAAAACAAAACAAAATAAAAAAAAAAAGACTAGGAATGAAGCCACCAGCAACCCATGCTTATAGCAATGCATTTCACAATAGCCAACTTATGGAGCCAGCCTAGGTGTCAATAGATGAATGGATAAAATGAATGAATGAATAAAAAATACACACACAACACACACATATACATACACACACATATATATACATACACACACACAATTATATTCAGCCGTAAGAACAAAACTGTCTTTTGTTATTTTAGGAAAATGGATAGAATTTGGGAGTATTATATTAAGTGAAATAAGCCAAACTTAGGAAGTCAAGGGTTGAATGTTTTCTCTTAGGTAGAACTAGAGAGAAAAAGAGAGAAAAAAAAAGTGGGGTAATCTCATGAAAATTGAAGTGGGGGGGAGACTGGGAAGTGGGAAGAGCAGAGGAAAAAGGGAAATACTGGGGAATTAAATTGACCAAATTATGTGCATGTATGAACATGTCACAATACCATACTATAATGCACCAATAATAATAAAGACTGAGAAAGTATAAATTTGGAGTTGACATAGAAGAGCCTGTGCTAAGTTTCTTCCTCTGACCAACTCAAGAGGTCATCAAAGTCACATTTTTTAAATTTTTTTAAATTGTTGATAGATCTTTATTTTTATTTATTTATATGTGGTACTGAGAATCGAACCCAGTGCCTCGCACATGCCAGGTAAGTGCGCTACCGCTGAGCCCCAGCCCCAGCCCAAAGTCACATTTTTATGAAAATCTCCATTATAAACTAGGGTTGTTTTCATTTTGCACTCCTTAATTTCTTTTTCTAATTAATTCAATAAAAGAATCTTTAGGACATTAAAAAAATGTGACTCAATATTGCTCTGCACATCCTCCTTTGTCTGATTCAGGCCAAGCTGCTAAGCTCCACCAGCATTTGCTAAACTACAATATCTTCTAAGGTTGGACTGTGGATAGATAAAGAGAAAGCAAATGGGGCTGGGGACATAGCTCAGTTGGTACAATGTTTGCCTCAAATGCATAAGGCCCTGGGTTTAATCCCCAGCACCACACACACACAAAAAAAAAAAAAAAAAAAAAAAGAGAGAGAGAGAGAGAGAGTGCAAGATGGCTCATCTGCAAATTAAGGACTGGAGAAAGCTGTGCTTTTCCATGATTAAGGACTGGGTTCTGAGCCATGCAGACCTGGGTTTGAATGCAGGTTGTGACCGCAGGCAAGTGACTTCACTACCCTAAGCTTCATATTCCTCATCAATGCACATTGAAGGACTATTGAAGATTATGTGGCATATTGCCTATAATCCCTGGCAAGGATGGTTGCTGAAGTTCAGCTGGGTTGAAAGATTGGAGTGTGAGGCAGTTCCGAAGCTATTGTTAGACATCTGGATAACTTTAGCCACCCAGATCATATAAAAAAGAAAAAAAAAAAAAAGCCTCTATGTGTATAGCCGCCCACCCAGTGGCCCTCCATCTCCCTAGATTCCCTAGGCTGCCATTTCACTATCTCAGAATCACAGGCTGGGCTGCTCCAGTGTCTGCTGAATGGGAAGGGAAGTGTCATGGTCAGGTACATGCCCATCTATCTAAGGGACAGACAGCTACTACCAAAAGCTCCCTCTGATTCTACCCAAAATTCACTGAGGATCCTTGGTCCTTCCCCACACCCTCCCCTGTGACCCACGAACTAAGCACAGCGTCTAATTGCTATGTGCTACCAATGCGTCTGCAGAGAGATGAGACAGGCAGGACTTGTGTCTTTTTTTTTTTTTTTTGGTACTGGGATTGAACCCGCTGAGCCACATCCCAGCCCTTTTTATTTTTCTATCTTGAAACAGGGTCTCAATGAAGTGCTTAGAGCCTCACTAAATTGCTGAAGCTGGTCTTGAACTTCCTACCTCAGCCTGCAGAGCCACTGGTATTATAGGTGTGTTCCACCACGCCTGGCACAGTTACATCTTTAAAGGACGACATGAAACATTTAATTACATGCCTGACACATAATAGATGTTCATTAAATTGTAACTGTGCTTATTACAGCACCTAATGACATTCAGTTTTTTTTAATACATTTACTGGGTACATGTGTACAGGGACACCATGAAGTTTCCATAATCCCTGCCAAAAGCTCTGGGACCAAAGGGACATGTTGGAGGCTCCTCTATTAGCCCATGGGGAAGGCTGCTAAAAACGGATGCTGCATTTACACCAGTTCAACTCTATGAAAGCAAAGACATGCCTCAGCCCAGGGGCTATCAAGAAATAGTGAGGAGCTGGGTATGGTGGTACATTCCTATAATCCCAGTGTCTTGGGAGGCTGAGACAGGAGGATCATGAATTCAAAACCAGCCTCAGCAAAGGCAAGGTGTTAAGCAACTCAGTGAGATGCTGTCTCTAAATAAAATACAAAACAGAGCTGGAGATGTGGCTCAGGTCGAGTGCCCCTAAGTTCAATCCTGGGTATAGCCCCCCACCAAAAAAAAAAAAGAAGAAATAATGAGGAAAAGACTTGCAAGATCCAAAAATAACAACTGGTCTTGGCTTTTTCAAGGCCAATGAGCCTTGTCTGTGCCTCCTCTCCTCTCAGCCAGCAGGCAGTCCACCAGACCATCCGTTCCTGCTACTCCCTCCAGGGCTTGTGTGACATCAGACCTGGCCACATCTTGGCTCAGGGGCATCTGTTGAAGTAAGTATGAGTCTAGCATTCTGCACTACCCTCCAAGGGCTGACCCATACCTGGCACTGTGTTGTCCAGAATGAAAGCAAGGCTCCCGCCCACAAACATCTCGGTGGTCAGCAGCACAGTCAGAATCTGGTCGATTTCAGGAACGCCTGTGGAATAGGTCAAGGACCAAAGGGCGTCATGGCCCCTCTGGAGAGCAGAACCTGGGGTGTCCTACTTCTGCACCCTACTGACTTCCTTGAGCAGTTGTAACATTGGAATGGCACAAAGTCCTAACTTTCAAGCCTATCTTTATCCATCTCTCCCATCTTTGGGTTTAAATCCCAGTTCTGAATAAATAAATAATTTTTTAAAAAATTAGCATGTGTGAGGGCTGGGGTTGTGGCTCAGTGGTGGAGCACTTGCCTCGCACTGGGTTCGATCCTCAGCACCACATAAAAATAAAAAAATAAAAATATTTTTAAAAATTAGCATGTGTGAGGCACTGGGTTTGATTCTCAGCACCACATATAAATACATGAATAAAATAAAGGCCCATCAACATGTAAAAAAAAAAAAAAAAAATCCCAGTTCTGCCAGCTGCTATTTGTTGACTTGGAACCAAAGCTCTCTGAGCCTCATGTTTGTCATCTGTAAAGCAGAGATGATAGTGGTATCTGTCTTGAGCCGTTCTGAAAATTAAATGAGCACATGTAAAGCTCAGTATCTATCTACAGAAAGTGTTTTAGTCAGGGACAGCTGCTAATAGTCTCTCAGCTGCTGATTAGTATCCAGAGTTGGAAAGGATTGATTTGTGGTTCTACCTGTGTGGAGCCCTTGAGGGAGGGGGCTGTGCTCACAGGTTTTTGTTTTTTGTCTTGTGCTGGGGAAACAAATCCAGAACCTTGTGCATGCTAAGCAAGCACTCTAACACTGAACTACACTCCCAGCCCATGTGCTCCGAGTTTTGCGCCCACCCCCCTCCCACACCTCTGGAGTCAGTAGACAGCCTGTAGGCACCTGTGTCGATGGCGCCAGGGTTGGAATCCAGGTAGTTGGGCAGTGTGAGCCCGAAGAACATGGAAAATCCAAGCACAAAGAGGTTGCGGGAGGAGTTCATGTCCACGAACTGCAGGTTGGAGAGCCCCACAGCCGTGATCATACCTGGGGGTCACAGTAAAAAGGCTAAAGGCGCCTCACGCGCCTCAGTGGGTGCCACCACTTAGCCACCCGCGCCGCGCCCCCGGGGCCCGCGCGGGACACTCACCGAAAAGGGTGCAGAACATGCCCCCCAGGATAGGGTCGGGGAGCGAGGCAAAGAGAGCTGTGAACTTGCCGATGGCACCCAGGACCAGCATGATACCGGCACCGTACTGCACCACGCGACGGCTGCCCACCTGCCAGGAATCCAGAGGCGAGGCTAGACGTGGGGGCGAGGCTGGGGTGGGGTTAGTCCAGGGGGCGGGGCCTGTTATAAGAACTAGGCATAAATGGGCTGGGTCTTGGCGTGGGGGCGAGGCTTTTCAAGGATAGGGAGGGGCTAGGCCAAAGTGGGGACGGGTTTGGGGCGGGGCTTCCGGCACCAGGAACCCAGAAGCCTGCTTTGGGCTGTTGTGGGTGGTACCGCACCTTGGTAATCCCTAGGACGCCAATGTTGGGACTGGACGAGGTGGACCCGTTGCCTGTGCCTAGTAACCCCGCGATAATGCAGCAGATGCCTTCGGTGAAGATACCCCTGTAAGGAAAGGAAGATTGGAGACTTGGTCCAGCCTCTTCAACAGCTCGTGTCCTCTTATCACACGGGCCGGCTGCCCGCCCCACCCCCGGGCTGTGAGCTGTGGATCTGTCCCTAGTACTCCCCACTCCAGGCCAGAGGGAGTCTGGGGACTAGAAACCCTGGTACAGGAGCTAGTTCCAATGCCCTGGCACTTACTCCCTTGGATAATTCTGGGCTTCAGTTTCCTCATCGGTACTATGGACTTGGTAATGGTCCCTGACTCACAGAATGGTTAGCAGATTACATAAGAGCATGCACATGGAGGGCTGAACATACCGGAAGGTTGTCAGTGACTGTGGTTTCCCTGGAACTCCCTTATCTCCTCAATCACTGGGTGATGAGCTCTTTCCCATTTCATAAGCAAGGACTATGAGGTCTGGAGGTATTAGTGACTTGCCCAAGTCTGCATCTCTGGGACTCAACCCCATCCCTACCCTGAGTGGCTCCTTGAAGCATCAGACATTGAGGAAGACCAATAAGCATACCTATTGATAGCATGCACTGGAGGGGGTGGTGCACCAGCCAGGCGGGCACAAGCATAGTAATCACCAATGGACTCGATGATGCCTGCCAGTGTGGCACTGAACATTCCCAACACAGCAGCCACAGTCACTGTAGGCAGGCCCCACTGACCTGGGTTGCGGGAAGACAGGGGGATGAATACACTGAGGAGCCTGTGGTGGGTTGGCAGGACAGGGCAGTACTTGAGAGGGAGAGGGAGCACTGGGTTGTCTTAAGCAAGAACAGGAGCTTATTTGGGTCATCCAGATGCATGGAGTTGTAGTGAAGCTTTGAGTCAAATACTGTTACTGGGCTGGGGATATAGTTCAGTTGATAGAGTACTTGCATCGCATGCACAAGGCCCTGGGTTCAACCCCCAGCACATACACGCACGCGCACACGCGCACACACACACACACACACAAAAAAACACCGTTACTTGGCCCACTATAAACGTGTGGCTTGTGCCATCAGCATCATCAGGGGTCTCACAAGTGTCTGAGTTGGAAGCAAAGGGGACCCAAGTGGGGTTGCTTACAGGGGTATGGAATGCGGATCCAGGGTGAAATACTCATGATGTCTCCACGGGCATCAGTTCGTGCCTGGTAGCCATAGGCTGTTGGGTCTTTAGGCAGCACATCTGTCAGGGTCAGCACGTAGCAGAGGAGCCACACGGTCATGATGGCCAGCACGATCTGAAACAGGAATGTTAAGGAGGTGCACTGCAGGAACTGGAAACCTCCCTCCGAGCTAACCTGCTTCTACTTTAGCCCCAGCCCAGCCCAGCCCAGCCCAGCCCAGCCCAGCACCAGGCCCAGCCCCTGCTGACTTCAGCCCCAAACCTGCTACAGCCTCTGGGTAGCACCTCATCTCTGCTCTGGCTCTAGTGCCTACACCGTTCCCGCTTTGCTCCCACCTTGGCCCTGGCACAGGTCAAGCCCCTGTTCTAGTCCCAGCCCCTCCTTACGGGAAACATCTTGAAGATCTGGATTCGGAAGAGAGTGAGGCCCTTGCCCCAGCGGTAGATGGGCAGCAGGAAGGTGACATTGCGCAGGTACTGGGAGAAGAGGATGATCAGGAGAATGGAGCTAGGGGCAGAGGCAAAGGAGGAGGTAGCTGGTAGGCTCCACTGGGGCCAGGAGACAGGACTAAGGCAGTAGGACATAAAGGGGTGGGAGGGTGAGGGCTGGGTTTGGACAGGATCAGGCCTGGCACCTGCTCACCAAGCTGAGATGCCCCAATGGGAGCCTGCTCGATCACCAGCAGCTTGGAAGACAGACAGGCCAATGAGTGAGACAGTAGGGGTGACTGTGAGAGGCCCAATGTAGCTGAGCAGGGCCCCAGGCAGCCCCATCAGCCCAATCACCACCTCCACCACACTGGCCACCATGATTGCACCTTGGACCTAGAAGGGCAAAATGAGCTATATGTCATTATGTAAAGGTCATGACATGGCTACCAGCAGGACAAAAGTTCCAAGATTACCTCTTCAAATCCCCCAACATAGCAGTGGCCCTCACTGCCATCTAGCCCCCTCCCCAGGTCCTGGCATCCTCTACCCACCTCTCGCATCCGTGGGTGCCAGATATGAGAGGTGTTCAAGGGCTGACTCCAGTTACCGTAGATCTCCTCTGTGGTCAGGGACATGACATGGACAAAAGATGGACAGGGGAAGAAGATGTTGCCATGAACACATCTTGGTGTCTGAACTCAGGATATTTGCTCAGACTTCCAGATCCCTGGGCCTCCCCTCTCTTTCAACCCAGATCCAAAACATGTGCCCACCTTCTGGGGGACATTTCCATTTCTCCAGGGCCAGGATGGCTTTGGCTGGAACCAAAAACGCAAAGGCACTGGCCTGGAACAGTGGCAGCCTGGAGGAGAGAGCAGAGCAGAAGGGTGAGGTGGGGTGGGAGGAGAGACATAGAGAGGCCCAGGGACACAGAGGGACAAGGAAAGGGGAGGGCAGAGGGAAGTCATTGAGACCCCATGCAGGACTTTAACATTTTTTTTTCTTTTCTTGGCGGGGGATGTTGCTGGAGATTCAACCCTGGGGGTGCTTTACCACTGAGTAACATCCCCAGTCCCTTTTAATTTTTATTTTGAGATGGGGTCTCATGAAGTTGCTGAGATTGGCCTGAATTTATGATCCTCCTGCCTCAGCTCCCTACCACCAGTAACTGGGATTCGATTAGGGCCACTAACAGTCTCTAACAAAGAAAAAAGACAACAGGCTCCCCCAGCTCCAAACCTACACCTCACTGTGAGGGCCAGCCTGACGCAAGTGGACATCTTAGTTCTGGCATCAGAGATGTACTTACCACCTTCCCCCAGCCACCTCCCAGCCATCTTTTTTTTTTTTTTTTTTTTAATATTTATTTATTTTTTAGTTCTCGGCAGACACAACATCTTTGTTTGTATGTGGTGCTGAGGATCGAACCCGGGCCGCATGCATGCCAGGAGAGCGCGATACTGCTTGAGCCACATCCCCAGCCCCCTCCCAGCCATCTTTTTGCCATCCTGGCCTAGGACTATGCATTGGGACAGAGGCTCCCAGCCCACACAGTAGCTCAAAGCCGGCTCATGCCCTTGGGACACAGAGGTGTGTGGTCCTGAGCATTCAAAGTAGAGCCTAAGAGGAGGTGAACCCAGGTAGGGCACATTCCTTAAGCCTACAGACTCTGTTCTTGAGGAGCCCCAGAACAAGTTCCTTAAATTCAGAGTAGAAGCCCTGATGCCTGGTTCTGTGGCTGGCCCAGGGGTAGGACTGGCAGGTAGGGCCTGAAGTGGTTAGGTTTTTTTGGTCCATAAAAGCCCTCTGAGGGAGACCAATTGGTCCTGTGTGTCACAGAGTGTGTGTGTGTGTGTGTTGGGGGCCGAGGCAGCTTACCGGATGCCCAGTGTGGTCTGGATGAGAGTGGTGATACCCACACATACGAAGATGGTGCCGATGAGCTGGCTGATCATGTTCTGGTCTTGGCCCACACACAGTGCCTCGGCCAGGAGGAAGGGAACAGCGATGGTGCCGCTAAAGCATGTCAGGTAATGCTGTGAGTGGCAAGAGAAGAATTATGAGGCAGGGCCTACAGAGCTCACGGGGAAAGGGCCACCCTAGGTCCTCATGCCTTTCTCACAGGGCCTGAACCCTGGTGCCCTGGCAGTGCACCCCCCATTACACTCCCCACAAAGCATTCCCACTCTGGGAGTCACTAAATCTTCCCCCAAGTTGTTCCTGTGTCTGGGCCCTCCTCCCTGCCACCAACTCTCAACCTGGTAGACACCAAAATCCTTTCTCAGGCCTTCTCTGTGTCTTCTGTGTTTCTGCTTGGTGACAGTCACCATGCTGACCTTAGCTTTCTCTTCCTCTTACCCAAGGTAACCTTGCTGGCCAGGGAGGGGCTGGGATACTTGGGGAGTGCCAGAGAGGCCCTAGGGCAGGGAGGGGACAACCTACCTGGAAGCCAAGCAGGATACACAGGTACCAAGGTGGCACATCCTCAATCTTGTACAACATGTCAAATTTGGGCTCCATGGGCAGGGGCATCTGTGGATCCCTGGTGGAATTTCCTGTTGAGCCCGGAGACTCATGCTGGGGCAGTAAAGAGAAGCAGCTCAAGGTGGAATAATGGGGTGGGCAAGATTCAGGCTGTCCCAGAATCAATCAGGTAACCTGAGTGGCCTGTCAGCAATGTAGAGTGAGGCCCTGGCCTGGGGTCTCCCCACCCTCCCCCACAGTCCCTGCAGGGGCAGGATACACTGTGCTGGCCCCGAGAGCCCTCAGGATAAGGACATTTTAGCAGGGGGATGGTCCAAGTCAGAAGACCCCTAAAGAACTAGGGATGGAGCCCAGAGGGCAAGAAACTGTGGAGAAACAACTCTGGTCCCACCACTGCTCCTGGAGGTCCTTAACGGTATGGCTGACAATGAGGCTGGGTCCCTACTGGCCCTCAAGTTCAAGCCAGCCAGTTACAAAATTAAAGGCTCCTTCACCTCCCCCTCCATCCCATCTCATCTCCCTATTGCCACATTCAGCTTGGGACTGTCACTTGTTATCAAGTTCATCAGAATTTCTGTCCCTGCCCTCCCAGAGAGGCCTATACAGGTCCTCCAGACCCCACTCACCCTGCCCCTGCCCAGCTTCCCCCAATCCCCCAGCACCTGTGTCCGGCCCTCGGGATCCGTCTGAGCCCTCATGTTTGGGGCACAGGTTTGAGAAGCTCCTGAGAAAAAGAGGATGACTTTATGAAGGCCAAGAAGGACTTTACTCCACGCATCAGACATTGTTCAAAGTAAATCTGTAACCAGGTCCCTAGCTCCAGATTGCGAAAGGGGGATCTGGGCAGAGGTAAGGTATTAACCCTGGCTAGGTGGTAAAGGCCACCCAAGTCTCTGCCACATTTGCCTCCTGGGCCCTCCCCTCCCTGCCCACACCTGAGCCTGGCACGAGACCTGTGCTTGTTTCCCAGAGAGGGCCAGTGTCGAGGGGTGAGGTGGGGACAGTCTTGGAAGTTCACCACAGGTGAGGTGAGAGGAAAGGGATTGGAAATGGGCACTTGTGATGTCACGCTCTGCCATTAATTAATAACAAGTTAACCCTTATCATCATTGTCATAATCATTCTCATTACTGAGGAATGACTGCATGCCAAGCCATACCTTTGTATATATATGCACTGTCACGTGAATGCCCTGGGGCTCAGTGTATTAACCCTTTCATGGCTCAGGATACAAGAGAGTAATATGACCAAGGCCACACAGGTAGCTAGATTTCAGAAAACAAGCCCTAAAATTCAGGTTGACTGAAGCTGTCCAGTTTCTACAGCCCTTCATCACTCAGGATCCTGAGGCAGTAGCAGACAGGTCTGTGCAGCCTGTGTTTTTTGGCACTAGAGATTTAACCTAGGGGTGCTTTGCCACTGAGCTACATTCCCAGTCCTTTCTATTTATTTATTTATTTAGTTAGCTATGGTACAGGGGATTGAACCCAGGGGCACTTAATTACTGAGCCACATCACCAGCCCATATATATATATATATATATATATACATATTTATATATATATTTTTTTTAATGTGGTGCTGAGGATCAAACCCAGTGCCTCGCACCTGTTAGGTGAGCACTCTAACACTAACTCTAACACAACTCCAGCCTCTTTTTTTTAACATTTATTTTTTAATTGTAGGTGGACACAATACCTTTAGTCTATTTATTTTTATGTGGTGCTGAGGATCCAACCCAGGGCCTCGAATGTGCTAGGCGAGCACTCTACTGCTGAGCCACAACTCCAGCCCAAGCCTCTTATATTTTATTTTGAAACAGAGTCTAGCTAACTTGCTTAGGGCCTCCCTAAGTTGCTGAAGCTGGCTTTGAACTTACAATCCTCCTGCCTCAGCATATGCTACCGTGTCTGGTTCCTCTTTATTTTTTATTTTGAGACAGGATCTCCTTAAGGCTGAAGGCCTTCCTAACCTAACCTCAAACTTGTGATCCTCCTGCCTCAGCCTCCCAAATCTCAGGAAATAGTGGTATGGGCCATTGCGCCCAACTCCGAGTATTAGGAATCTTAATATAGCAACAACAGATAATTAAACTGAGCATGGGGTCTTTGTAAGGACTGGGCCCCATGTGCCCATATCACACAACCCCATAAGCCAGTCCTGTGCCCAACCTATTTCCCTTCTGAGCTTCTAGCCCAACCCAGCCAAAAGTCTAGGGACTGCCAGAGAGGAAGCGGGGTGTGCCAGCTTAGAGCCCAAGCTGATGGGGAGTGGGCCTGGGATCCCCATATGCTTCCCTCTGGTCTGCTCCATCCCTAGCCACCCCAGGTTGCACCTACTTGGGGGTTGCTGTGCCCATGGCCAGGCGTGGCCCCAGGGGCCCAGAGGCAGCACCGCTCTCCAGCTGGGCAAAAGCTTCATCTTGTAGCCCTGAGTCTGGTTGTCTGTCTTTCCTTCAGTTTATTCCTTTGTCCACCTTGCTGCTTCTCTTCCTCTTGGCTCCTGCTCCCAGGTTCCTAAAGTTGTCTGACTAGTTTGGAACCTCTGCAACTCCTTAGGACTGGCCTTTCCACCTCCACCCCCTGCAGGCACAGCTCCTTGGACACTCAATTTAACTGATACCACACCTCAAGGCACCTGACTGGCGGGACTATTGTCTATGTCCTGAGGCATAGTAGCCCAGATGGCCCTACACCACTCAGACTCACACAGTCCCTACCAAAACACAGGGTCGTGGACCTCTCAGAGGCAACCACCCACATTCACATTTTATATTTTTGTTGGCTCCACCAGTTCCTTGGGCCCTGGAACCAGTGCCTGGGGGTTCGATCTCTTCTGGGGTAAGGGCCAGGAAAAAAGGGGCCCCAGGCAGAGTCTGGAACAGGTGATGGGATGTGTGGAGTTGGGGCTCCAGAGGGGCTCACAGGGCAACTGGAGTGGTCAGGGCGTGTCTGGGACACCCCATTCCTCTAGAGTGGAGCTTACCCTACCCCCCAAATCTGAATCTCCTTACAGCCCCACCACTACTAGGCCTGGGACTTGGCCTGAACCTCTGTTGTCTAAATCTCAATTTCTGCATCTGTCAATGGGGATTAGAGTGTGTTCTGCCCGTCTTCCAGGACATCAGTGGGTCAGAAACATGAGGGAAACTGTAAGTTGTAGTGCTGTTACTGAAAGCTCAGTCCTTGTCCCTGATGCCAATCCAATAATGAGGACATGGCTTTGAGAAAAAGGAAAAAGAAGTTTTATTGCTTTGCTAGCAAAGGAGAAACAAAGAGGACTCCTGTCCCAGAGGTTGTAATTCTGCCCATCAGGGGTTATCAGAGTTGTAATTCACTTGTTAATTTGGGAGATAGTCATTTCTGAGATCCTGATCTGAGATCAGGAATTACTTGTTCCTGTAGTGGGTGTGTACTTGGACAGATAACTCTGCCTAGGATGGACAAGAAAGGTAATCCTGTTTCCCCTGAGATGGGGGAGAGAGAGGGATTAGGGAGGAGCAGGGAGAGAGGAAGAGAAAGAAACATCCTTTTCAGAATCAGTTGCAGCGGCAGAGCATCAAGGGCTACATTCAAAGCATAAAGTGGACCACTGTCCCACTGCTACCTGATCCCAGGTTCCCATACCCAGGTGGGGCCCAAGGCTCCTTTCTGAAGGGTAAGGCCCTTGTCCAGAATTTCTAGAGAGAGCTGTATGAGAGCCAAGATGCTGACTCAGCTAGTTCTAGGAATCCTGCCCTGGCTCAGGTGTGCACTGTGGCCCAATCACCCCAGCTGCAGCCCATGGAAGAATGCAGAGAGTAAGGGCCACTAGGCAGAGAGCAAGAAGATATATTCTGTTGTCTTTGTTTTTTGTTTATTTGGTACCAGGAATTGAACCCAGGGGTGCTTAATCTCTGAGACACATTCCCAACCCTTTTTATTTTTTGAGACAGGGTCTTAGTAAGTTGCTTAGGGCCTTACTAAAATTGCTGAGGCTGACCTCAATTTTGAGATCCTCTTGCCTCAGCCTCCAGAGACACTGGGATTATGTAGGTGTGCCACCAAGCCTGACAGGAGACTTGTTCTGGGAGCAGCACAGATTGCATGGCGCAGATGCATAGATGTGGCCACAAGGTGGCCGCCTGTGGTTTCCTTGATTTTCTTTCTCTCCTGTTGAAGCTGAGGATCGGGGCTGTCCCTGTTCCATAGGCCTTTCATAGCTACTCATATTTCCAGCCAAGCCAGCTCTCACACCTCTAGGGAGTTGTAGTGATGTCTATTTGGTCTTTTCTAGAAGGAACACCAGCAGAAATACCAATGTCTGTCTTCCCAGCCCCCAACACACCTTTTGCAGGCAGGAGTTAAGATCACTGGGTTTTATTTGAGTTCAGAGAAAGACTATGTCCCTCCCAGGCCCTAGTGCCCCAGAGTGTAGGAGGAAAGAGCAGCAGCACCTCTCTGCCCTCTGGCAGCCTGCAGAAAGAACAGGAAAGGTCCAGAGGCGGTCCCAGCTTCTCTTTAAGGGATAGGAGTAGTGATGGACTAGAGCTCTTTCCTTGTGGCTGTCTCCTTGTCCAAACAGGCCCCCTGGGAGCCCCCACACAGCAGTGCCTCCAGAGCTCCTCGGCCTTGTTGGTGGGCTTTGTAGATCTGGTCTTCTCCAAACTCTCCCAGGTAGTGAAAGCATGTTTCAGAGAGCCTACGGGAGCCCAGTAGGAGACTTGGACTCTGCCCAGCCCACAAGGAAGTCGTGGGCAGACCAAGGCTCCCATAGCCCCACCCCATCCCCCACCCCATCATCACCTGACGGGCCAGGGGCCTCCTGTGATCATCACACTGATGCTTGGCTCTGTCCCCTTGCTAAGACCTGGGCCAGTGAGATGTTTCACCTGGTTCACTTCTTGGATACCATAGCTGGTGAGCAGGAAGGGGAAGGATATACCATTGGTGGGAGCCAGACCAGGAAGAAAGACCTGTTTCCATAACAGGCTGGGCACTTGGGCATTTGAGCTGAGAGGGAAAGACCCTGGCTCAAGGTTGCACAGAGACTTTCTGTTGGCCATTTTGTCTCGAACTTGCTCCCAGCTCTATAGCCCAGGGTTCATGGTACCCAGCCCCCTCCCTCAAGCCAGGCCAGAGCCCCCAAGGAATATGGGTGTGGTGGGAGTGGAAGAGGGATCTGCACCCACCAGCCCTGCTCCTGAAGGAGGGAGGCAGGGGCCGAATTGACAACTCACTCCTGCCAGTTCTGGGAGCAACTTCGGTCCAGGATGTCTGTGTATATGGACTCACTCAGCCCCTGTGTCCCCCTGGAGTCTGGATGATGAAGCTTGGCCTCTGCCTTTGCCAGATGTTGCCACATCTAGAACATGGAGAGGCTAGGAGCCAGGGGGTTGGCTGTAGGTCAGTGGTGGGGAGGAGGGGAACACAAGTCTCTGGGGATGATGTGGCAAGGGAGCGGTTCAAGCAGGAAGCACCTGTGAAGCAGGCTTCAGGACTTATCCCCCAGGTCCCCAAAACTGGGACTGGGCCAATGGAGGCAGCATCCACTCCCCTGAGATGGAAGTTTAGGCCCAGGCACTGTCCCTGCCATTTGGGCACATCTACCCAATAGCACATGCCATTTTAAACCATAAGAATGAGGAAAGCAGAAAGAAACACACACACGTACTCCTAAGCCATGTGTATAAGCATGCGCATGCGTGCGTGTGCACACACACACACACACACACAGAGGCATGTTAGTATGCTCAACGAGGCAAGTGTGCACTGAGACACACATATTTGTACATGTATCCACTCAACATATGTACCCCACATATACATATAAAAGGCACCCTGTGGATTTGGGGAAGGAGTCAGACCTGAGGGTGGGTCTGAAAGGGAGTCTAAGAAAATGAGTAATTCCCTCGCTAAACAGTATCTCAGGATACTGTGGGGGCGTCCCAGATCGTCTGCTTTCTGTTGGGCACGCGGATGAGTAAACTGAGGTTCAGGTGAGGTGGGGGTTGCAATCTTTTGGAAGGCTGGGTCTGGGCTTGATGCCTGGTGGTGGAGGTTGAGGATTAAAGGCCAGTGGTGGAATCTGAGGTAGATAGAGGGGTCTGGGTAGGGACAGGGGGAACTGCTGGAGGGGAAGGACTCACCTGATAGGACACGGCCCTGCAAGCATCACAGCGCAGGTGAGCAGGCATGTGGGCTGAGTACTTCTCCTCCTCATCAAGCTGTGGGGCAGTGGCTGAGAGCCAGGCCTTTTCTCCAAGGCCCCTGGGGGCAGCCCAGGTTCCTAACAGCAGCAGTAGTGGCAGTGACAGTCTCATGGCCTCCTGAGTGAGCTCACTGAGCATGCACTGTGGTTGGGGTGCAGATGTACATGCTCATGGGTGCAGTGGAAACTGCTTCTGTCCCAAACCAATGGGGAACTGACACCTCACCCCTCCCCCAGGGCCCTAGAGATGCCACGTGTGCTCTTCCTCCAGCAGGACCCTGGCAACTCAGCTCCATTTCATAGTCAGGGAAAAATGAGGCAAATAGAGGGGCTGTGTCTGTGCAAGGACACGTAGGGGTTGGCTGCAACCTCACGCTGGGATCTGGTCAAGTGGCAGGCACTTGCATGAGGAAGTAGTTGATTACTGTCATCTTTATTCTTTAACATGAAAGCTCATAGAGAAGTGACAAATCCTCCAGCTAGAGAGGCCATGTTGAGATTGGAATCCAAGCCTGATTGACTTCCAAAGTCCACTGGCCCCTCAGCCACTGAGATGAATGTGGCCATAAGGGTGGTTGCCAACTTAGGTTTCCCTTCCTGGGAGGCAAGTTCATCCAGGCAGGGAGGTCAGAGTGTGTAAAGGCATATGTCCTTCTATAACCCTGGGTTCCCCTCAACCTAGGGCAGACCTAGGCACGAAAGGACATTGTGGAAGGTCTTAAGAGGCCCAAGCAGGAAATTAGGCACCTTACACCAATCATCATTTCAGCCACCATGGCTCATGGTCAGCTATTTATTGCACAACAGGATGAGGCAAGGTGCCCAGAGGTGGGCTGGGACCCAAGGTTTTCCATACCATCAGGACCCATGTCCTTGGCCAAGAGCTGTCCAGGTTATTCTGACTCAAAGTTCACCTAGTCAGCTTCCAGTCCAGGGCAAGGGACGGGAACACAAGGAACATGGGCCCCAAGGTCGGTAACAAGGAAGGCATTGATTCCCATCTCTGACACTGTTTCTAATGGGAACTGTTTTTCCCAAACACATCACTTCACACCCCAGTCATTTCAGGCTCCGGAACCACACACAGACCCCCAGGCATACACACACACACCCCCCTCCAGCTCCTTCAGCCTCCTCAGAGGCTCTTAGAATCTCTCAGAAGCTCCTAGAATCTCAGGACAGTTGGAGCACAGGTTCTGGGTCCTGTCCTTTCCTGTGCTATGACCATCCCGCTCCTCTCTGGGCACTGTTATCACATGTGTGATAAAAACTGAGAATTTTGTCCTCTCCAGTCTACTTCACACAGGGCCCACCCCTCCTACTGCCAGCCCAAACCCACCTTCCAGCCACTCAGAGGGGTCAAAGCCTCCCCTGGAAGCCAACAGCCCAATTTCCTCCTCTTGTAAGTTTTTTATTTTTATTTTTTCTGTGTTGGGGATGGAACCTAGGGGCACTTAACCTTTAGCACTCACCTACATCCCCAGCCCTTTTAAAAAATTTTATTTATTTATTTTTGTGGTGCTGGGGATTGAACCCAAGACCTCATGCATGTGAGGCAAGCACTCTACCAACTGAGCTATATCCCCAGCCCCCAAATTTATTTATTTTGAGACAGTGTCTCACTAATTTGCTGAGGCTGGTCTTGAACTTTTGCATCCAGCTTTGTAAATCCTTGGTGATTTATTTTACCTGTTCTTACCTGAGTGGAAATGGCTGATGCCTGCACTCCTAAGATGAGCCAGCTCAGCTCCCAGGGCTCTGAGAACCAGAGACTGGAGTTGAGGGGAGGAAGGAAAAGCTAGGCTTCCCAATGAGGGCCACAGCCACCTGGACTTACCTCACTCTAGCCTTTTCACCCCCAATTCCAGGCTGACTCCCCATACTCCCCCCCCACATTGCTTGCTCACTCCACCTCCACCTGCTGCCTGCACAGCTCCCTTTTTTAGTTCCAACTTGGCCTGGGGCTGTGCTAGCCACTTTCCCCTACGACCTCCCAGACCAAAGCTCAGCTACTTTTCCAAAAAACAGACTTGATGACTAGAGTCCTTCCTCTTCATCTGAACAGTGCTCACTGGCCTGCTCCACATCAACTAGGCCCATTTTCAGGAGAGGACAGACAGCTCACCACCTCTGGAGACCACCCTGTTCCTGCACATCCCATTCCCACTGCCCTTTGGGAACACCCCCTCAGGCTGGTTTCCTCCCATTCCTTGCCAACATAAACACATACACAAACACGCCACACTCTGGGAATGCGGTGGGAAAGGGATATACATTTTTGTTGGGGTAGGAAGAAGCCAGCTACCTCCTGAACTCCAGCTCCATCAACCGGGGGTCTCACATACCTTCTTTGAAAATGACTTCTGGCCTGAAGACTGGCTGGAACAGACCAAAAAAGGTGATGGAAGGAAAGGTCAGGGAATTGGAAGCCAGAAACTCTAGACCATTTAGGGGGCCTCAACTCCATGTGGATCAGGCCCTAAGGCCTCACAACGGGAACACAGAGCCCTTGCTAGGCTGGGTGGGATGATCCGAGCGGGCAGGTGGGGCACAGAGGAGCAGAGATGGAGCGGGACTGGGAGTCCCGCTCATGGGGAGGTAGTACATCCCGTCCAGGGGTCCTGCCTCAGAGGCCCAGGGCAGCTGGGAGCTGCTGAGGGCAGGCAGGCCCGAGGATGGCGGGAGTGAGAGGCCAGGAATAGACCCATAGGCAGGCGGGTAGAGGCCAGGCCCCAGGGATAGCGGGGTGTAGATGTGGCTGGGCTGCCTGGGGGATGAGTGCGGTAGCAGCACCTCCACATACTGCCCGCTCTCGGGGTCGAAGAGCAGCCGCAGCCTCGGCTGCCGCGGCGCCTCCACAAAGTAGTAGCGGCCAGTCTCTGGGTCCACTAGGACCTTCCCCGGGTGCGTGGCTCCCAGAGGCCTGAGCATTGCCTGGGAGAGGCCTTGAGGGGACCGGTCCGTGGGAGGTGCAGAAGCAGCGCGGGGCTGGGGCCGAGCTGTCATGCTGGCCAACGCCTGGGACTCCCGCAGAGCGGGGGAAGCTGCGGATTCGGAGGTCGCAGCAGGGGCCTCTAGTTTGGGTGCAATCCCAGGGCTCGAGTTAGGGCATGCCTGAGGGGAGCCGGGGCAGGATAGTCGCGTCACTGAGGGTCCTAAAGAGGACCGCTGGGGTGAGCTGCGAGCGCCGCCTAGGGGGCTGGTCCGACCCTCGCCGTCGGGAACCAGGCGCTGTGTTTTGGCGTCCGGATTCTCTCCGCCCGGACTGTGGACTAGGACTCTCGAGATCCTCTCTGGCCGCCCGCCTAAGGCCAAAGCACCAGGCAAGCGGATTTCAGTGCGCGCGAAGGGTTTGGCTGTGCTGTTCTCTGCCCTCCGCCGCAAGACCCCGTTGGGCTGCGAGGCGTCCCGTGGGACTGTGTCGTGGGATGGCTCAGGGGACTCGTAGGGGTGCTGCACGACCGGCAGAAAATCCTTGAGAAAAACGGAAGTGTAGTGAGCTGGTGCGGGGGACCCCAGCACCTGATGCTCTGGCGTCTTTGATGCATCGCCCTCCTCCCCGCTAGAATCCGAAGGAGGCCCAGGTAGCCCTGAGCTTGGGCTTCCGGATGGGAAGCTTGGAGCGTACGTGGTCTTAACTATCTTGCGCACATCTCGCGGCCGCGGAACAGCCACGCGTGAGCGTCCAGAGGCCACTTCAGAGTACAAAGCTTCTGGGCGCACATCAGCGTCCAGGGTCCTCACGACGTGACTGCTCAGGGGCGGCTCAGGGGCCTCTGTCTTTGGCGATGGCTCGGTGCTTGTGAGGACAAGATTCGGACTCTCTCGCGTGGGGGTGCTCTGCACCTCCGTAAGTTCTGGAGTCCCGGGTGCGGCTGGTGTAGGCGGTGCCAACTCCTCAGCTACACCATTCATAGCTTCCCGCGTAAACGCTGTCGACGAGCCCTGGACCATGGGACCCCCTGTCCCTTGGGGTGATGGGCTCCGCGTTCCAACAGCACGATCTTCCGCCTCCCAAGGGAACAAGGCCAACGAAGACCGGCTTGTACCCGGCCCTACAGCCTCTCCTACTGCTGGTTGCGGAGCGTCCCACAGGGAAGGAACTTCGGGGGGTGAGCTCCTTACTCCAGGAGCACCCTGATTCCAGTGGGAAAGAGTTGGAGGGGAAGGGGTCCTCCTGCTGGAAGTTTCCTCCACAGAGGGATTCTGATTTTCCCAAGCAGACGATGCTTCAGGGAAAGACGGGCTACTCACCCTCCGTTCAGTCTGATCCCGTGGGGACGGGCAGTGAGGACCCCGCTCGGCCCCATTTGGAGCCTGCCACAATGGAGAAGGGCTCCTTGGCCTCACAGACCTACTCGGAATTTCCGAGGGGTCCCTAGACTTAAAAGGTGGACTATGTGCCCTAAGAAAGGTTCGATTCGGGGTCTCTCGTGGGAACCGAGTCTTGGGTTCCTGGTTTCGTGCCTCCTGGATCTTTTCCTCCGATTGCAGGAAGATACTGGAACTAACAGGACCCAAAGGCTCGGTGCCGGGCATGGGCTTGTCGCGCCGAATCGCGCGCTCGCGTAGGCTGGGCCAAGGCCGCGGGGCTCTCGCCCGGACCAGATTATCTTGATCTCGAAGTAGCCGAGACTTAGCCTCTTCCAGGACCACGTGGGTGCTGCCGGACGTTTCCCGAGTCTCAGGTTCTGGCCGCTCAGTGGGCCGAAAGGTGGTGCTGCTTGGCTCCGGGGCAGTGGGACCCATTTTTCTGGCCAATGCTGTCTGCACTAGGCCTGCAGCAGCCTGCAGGCGTCCCATTGACTCGTCTAGGGAGCCAGTGCGCAGGAACAGTGGGGGGCGCGGCGCGCCAGCCGTTCTCGAGGGACTTGGGGGCCGGGGGCGAAGCTCGATCTGACGCTTCGGCACGGTCCTGGGCCTGCTTGGAGCGGTGTGCTCCTCCTCCAGCGCCACCTCCACACACTCGAACTGCGCTGAGGCCACAGGACTTGGCCCACCGGGCCGCAGCTCCAGATAGGTGGCCCAGCGGGAGCCACCGTCCGGGGACTGGGGCTGCAGTTGCATAGGGGAGGATGACGCTGGCTCCGGCAGCGACGGTTTGCTTAAAGCCGGCGCCATGAGCTCTTGCACCTCGCAGTCCTCGGAATCTGAGCTGCTGAACAGAGGCCTGGCGCTGAAGATGACTTCCATCTCCCCCGACGGCAGCATGCGCAGCTGGGGCTGGGGTGGTGGCGGGCGGAAGCCCGGACCTCGAGGGAAACCCGAGCCGCACCAGATCTGCTGGCTGCTATTCTGGGAGCTGACAGACAGGCGAGGCTGCGTATCCACCCCCCGCCTAGGTACCACGCAGGGCCAATTCTCCTGGCCTTCAGCGTCCGGCCCAAAGTCCGGGGGCTCTGGAGAATCCGGAGCTGTGTGGTAGGAGCCAGATGAACCTGAGGAATCCTGGCGACGCGCGGGAGCCGCGGGCATCCACCTCGGGAGCCCAGGCAGCTCTTGCGGGACGAGTGCGGTCAGCATGGTGGGCCGGACACCGCGCACTACCTCTCTCGCAGTGCGTCTGCTGGTGGCGCCGGTACTGTCCCCGCCCCGCCGGAGGATGCGATGGGGTCAAAGCGCCTTAAAGCGGCCGCGTCCACTCGCAAGTCAGCGGCGTTGGCAGCAGGAGAGAAGTGAGCCTCAAGCCCCCAAGGCAAACCTCCCCCTTTCTCCAAGACTCCGGTGTAGGACTCCAAGGTTTGGACTGACAGGTGAGAGGAAGGCAGGCCCACCTTTGGCGCAGGCAGCTAGATCGAACTTCACCTAATACAAGTGAGGGAACCTGGGCTACTCAAGTAGGGGCTAGCCTGAGGTCAAGCCTGTGGTGTGCAGCGCGTGTGCTATTCAAGTTTAACAGGAAATCAGACCATCAGGCCAGAGAACTCAGGTCTTGCTATTGCCACCTCCCCTCAGTCCCAAGCTTCTAGATTTTGCAAGGCAAGACCCCTCCCCCACCCTCTCATGGCTTGCCCTGTCAGAGTTCATGAATTTCCTCCACCACACTCATCCTGCCCCAACAACCTTCCATAGTGTGGAGCATCATGAGAGGCCTCCCCCAGCTCCAACAAAAGTTGTGCTGGGGCCTCAAGATGGTTCTGATCACCGCAAGACAGACTGCCCTTAGTGAGGCTTTGGAAGGGGCTGAAGTGGACGGCTTTACTTTTTATAAACTGCCTTAGTGCCCAGAAGATGCCCTGGATATGCCCTTGGGAAACTCGTGTGGTCCCCTCTAAAGCCCCCAGGCAAAAAAAAAAGCCCTGTGTGCCCTCACAGGCCCTCATTCCAACCCCCACAACCTTTGGTCCTGCCCTAGGGGCAGGCATTGGTGGGGGAGCTGCCACCACCTGTCATTGTCTTATGACAATGGGCACCATTTGCCCTTCAATTCTGGCTTCAAGGTCTTGCTATGACTCAGGCCCCAGCTGGCCCTGGATCAAGAACTCTGGCCTGTATATTCACCCTCACATTGACCCAGAAGAGGCTATACTTGACAAATCTGACTCAGCCTCATGGGTGCCCTGCCTGGGTATCCCCTTGTTCACCAAGAGCACACTCAGTGATGGCTTCTGAAAGGATATATCCTGTCCTTTGTATTGAGCCCTACCTGTGCAACTTGGGCAAGTGGCTGCTCCTTCCCAGATGATCTCTCACATTAAAAAAAGATACAGGTCAGTGATACAGCACTTGCCTAGCATGTGTGAGGCCCTGCGCTCAATCCCCAGTATTTAAAATGAAAAAGATACAGCATTGTGGTTTTCCCGCATCCATTTGTGAAGACTGATGAGCTTCTGTTTGGGGGAGGTAGAAGAGGATACAACTGTGATTCACAGGTATAATATTCTTGTTAGGCGATAGCAACTGGTTTCTCAGATCTGTTGGGGGTCCTGGAACCTGCTGTCTTTGAAGTCTCTGGTCAGGGCTTCTCATGCACAAACAGAGATATATTTAAGGAGTACTGAGAGTGGGGTGAGATGTTGAGATAGATATATATATATATATAGATAGATAGATAGATAGATAGATATGGATTAAATACCAAAAGTAAGGGATGGTGCCAACTAGCAAAGACCCAGCTCCCCTCTTAGCTATAACCCTGACTCCCTTGGACCCCACCCCCACCCTGCTTTCAGGAGTTGGAGGATTGAGGAACATCCCCTCACAAGCCCAGAAGTAGCCTGGCAGGTGGTGGTTCAATGCATGTCCCCCAAGCAATTCCTGTTGACTACAGGTCATCAAGGACCAGGAGACAGACGGACAGAAGTGACTGTTGCCTCTTCCCTTGCCCCTTTCTTGGAGGTCAGACCTGGGGTGACTGGACCCACCAGAATGGGAAGGGAAGGGTTGAGGATCCCCCAGAGCAGACAAGGCAGAGGTTGGGCAAAGAACAGGTAGGTGACCACCATTTTATTTTTCCCTGAGACGTTGGTGCCTTCGGGCCTGACGCATTCCTGAAGTTTTCTTATGCTTCTGGTCCAGCACCTGGGCCATGTAGTTCTCCTGCTGCTTCTGGATCTGGAAGTCAGACATGTGATTCCTGCAACGGAGCCAGCTGGCTGGTCGTGGGCTGCAGACAGCCCAGGGTAGGGGCCAGAGGTCAGGCTCCCCACTTCCATCAACAACCCCCAGCCTGGCCCAGGCCCCTCACCTGAATATCTGTTTCTGCTGGCAGATTACTTGCTGCAACTCCTTAATCTCATTTTCTTTGCCATTAAGTATATCTTCTTGCTTTATAATGTGAGACTCAATTTCTGTGGGGGAGAGAGGCAGGGAGGAGGAGTGGTTCCCATCCCAAGAGCCCCTTCATGAGCTAAGTCCCTCATGGGACTTTTAGAACTTGGTTCCCCCCACCCAGGACCTCTCTGGGAACAACTGCTAATACCTTAGTAGGAATGAGTTTATTATGGAGTTTTGGGAAGAAGGACAATGTCTGATGAGTGTGTTAGTGTCTTCACAACTCTATTCTGGACCTCACCAGGCTGAGGCAGATGAAGGCCCTTGGAGAAATGATCCTAAAGGCAGGAGGATGAATGACTCCTGTCCTCATTCCTGCAGATATTTACAGATGTCACCTCCTTGGTGAGACCCTCCCTAAGACTAAAAATTATAATCATTTCTAATACTACCTATCCCCGTTTCCCGCTGCATTTTCCTCCTTAAGCATCTATCACACCATAAATTTCATTCTTTCTCTCTCTAGTATATAAGGTCCACAAGGACAGGGACTTTTAAGTTATTCACTGCTTTATCCTTAAGGCTCACAACAGTTAACAGCATGTAGTGGGTACATACTAAGTATATTTATGAAATGAATGAACAGGACATCCCCTGGGGGGCTAGGACTTAGAAACCTCATCTTGATCAGCCATTTCCATCCAACTGACTCACTAAGGATTAGAGAAGCCGCTTAGTAGGGGTCCTATCCCTAGTACCCCCCCCAAAAAAAAAAAAAAAAGTCTTCCCCAACTTCCCAAGGGAGGGACCCACCAAGAGGGCTGACTAGATGCCCAGCACTGTGCTGGGGCTTCAGGGGTAATGGGAGAAGGTGGAATCCCTACTGGCATGAGACAGATCCTGAAAGGAACGTTAAGACCCAGAAGCTGAGGGCTGGTATACAGCTCAGTGGTGGAGCACTTGCCTTGCATGCATGAGGCCTTGGCTTATACCCCCAGCACCGCAGGAGGAAAAAAAAGGGGGGTCAGAAACTGATTAGAGAACAGGACAAGGCTACATTCCAATAATGCTCATATTGATGAGGCAATGTTACCATTTGGGCCAGTTATCTCCCTTTTCAGATGTGTTTCTTCCGTAAATTGGGGACAGAGATAGTTTCTTTTCTATAGTGGGGTGGAGAAGACTCCAAAAATTTGTGTTTTGGGTCAAAATCCAAGGAGCTACAGGGACCTGGGGGTGTTTTATTCATGTAATTGCCCTTCATGGAGCCCTGGGAAATTTGGATTTACACAGGAAAAAATCCCACTGATTTTAGATGTCAGACAGAATTAACTAGCACCCAGCTCTGACAATACAGAAATGCTGACACATGTAGGTTTTCAGGAGAGAAGATCTGGTACCAAGTGAAGGTACAGCATGGAAAGGAGGAAAAGAGACAGGCGGAGGGAGAGAATGAAAATGAGCTCACTGGGTGACGGGACCAGGACTACCGAATCTCCCTCCCAAGGTCAACCAGCTCCAGATTAATTGCTTATTAAGTTCTTTTGGGAACAAAGATTAAAAATTTGTGTGACTCTTAAAATAAAAATCTGTAGTATCCAAATGAGAATGGTTAGAAAATCCCTTTGATAAGAATAAAGAGCTATGTTAAGTGTAAAAATCAAACTGAAACTTCACTTGGGGAAGTGGTGGGGATGGGAGTGGGTCAGGGTAAGATTCACATCAGATTGAGTTAGGCAAGGTGTTATTTTTACCCACATTCTGGGGGCAGGCAGCCAGGCCCTGTCCCTATGATACATGAGTAAATACTGAGTTAATCCATGGCCTGGGATGATCTTAGTTGGAAGGAAATGCCTCAGAGGAAAGATGTCTCTGGAAGTAGTGGGGGAGAACCCCAGGTTCCTTTGGAGGAAGAAGGGGAGATGCCCAGAGTGAGAGAAAAGTACGAGGGGAACTTTAACCTCGGTATAAAGGCAGAGACTACTTGTTGGGGCCAGGAAGGTGCCAATGCTCAAACATCACTGAGGCCTTTCAGCCTGCTTGACTAGATCAAAATGGCAGCCTTCTGGCATTTCCCAGTAAGGATTCTCACCAGTAGGGACAGAGGTTAGAGCCGTGTGTGTGAGGGGACACCATGACCCTCTTTGGGGCTCGGACTGATTTCTGGCCTATTTGAGATCTCCCTACAGATGTTGCATATGGAATTTGTATCCATTTCTTAAGCTAGGTAAGGGTAGCTCAGCATTCCAGGAAAAAAAGGTTCCTGAGGACACTGGGTGGCTGACTTTGAAAGTCCCCTCAACTCGCATCAGCTGAGCCAGCAAGTGGCTGTAAGTATGTATGTAGAGCAGAGTTGAACATGGTGGCCCAGACATATTGTCATTTTAAAAATCTTTAAATTATTTGCAAATACTAAAAAAATCAGAAAAGCTTTCATTAAAACTTGGTTTCAGGGCTGGAGTTGTGGGTCAGTGGTAGAGCACTTGCTTAGCATGTGTAAAGCACTGCATAGAAATAAATGAATAAAATAAAGGTCCATAAGCAACTAAAAAACAAACAAACAAACAAAAAAACCCCCTTGGTTTCAGCCAAGTGTGGTGCACAGGCCTGTAATCCCAGCTACTCAGTGAGACCTAGTCTCAAAATAAAAAATATAAAGGGCTTGGTGTGTGGCTCCATGGTTAAGCACACCTGGGTTAAAAAAAAACAAAAAAAAAACCTTGGTACCAAAAAAAACCCCTACAAAACTTGGTTTCAGCTGGGCATGGCAGCGCAAGCCTATTAATCCCAGTGACTTGGGAGGCTGAGGCAGGAGGATCACAAGTTCAAAGCCAGCCTCAGCAACTTAGCAAGGCCCTAAGTAATTCAGTGAGACGCTGTCTCAAAATTAAAAAAAATATATATAGATAAAAGGCTGGGGATGTGGCTTAGTGGCAAAGCACCCCTGGGTTCAATCCCTGGTACCAATAAAACAAAACTTGGTTTCTAGCTTTTTGTTGTTTTTGTTCTTGGTACTAAGGCTTGAATCCAGGGGCACTTTATCATTGGGTTACATCCCAGCCCTTTTTTTATTTTAAGAAAGGGTCTTGAGGCTGGAGTTGTGGCTCAGTGGTAGAGCACTTGCCTGGCATGTGTGAGGCCCTGGGTTTGCTCCTCAGCTCTCCATGTCACGACAATCCTATTTCTCTCTATTGAGTGTCTGACTCTGAGACTATCAGTCAGCTCTTCAATAGGACTGTTCTTGCCCTGTTGTTCTTGTAGAAGGGTTATGAGTAAAGTACACTATTTCTAAAACTTACCAAAGTGGGAAAACAAAAGGTGGACTAAGAAGGTTGTATGTTTCAAGAAAAGTGGGAGCGAGCCCATTCTTTTATGGCCAAGAAGAATATTGTACACCAACTGTTTCCCTCATTTCCGTGGCCTGCCTGGTACCTGAAGGCCTTTTCGAAGGTATGGCCCGCCTGGGCATGCCTGTATCCTCATCCGGGAACAGAAGTTGGGGTGCAACCCTGTTTTTGACACAGGCGCTGGGCTGTTAGGAAAGAGCCCGTGTATGATAGCGTGGTGGGGAGTACGAACCTCCCGCCTACCATTGCACTTGGTGATGAGCTGGTCCTTCTTGCTGGACTCCTGCAAGACTCTACTCTTGACATTGGAGAGCCTTTGTAGGGAGGATAAGACAAGATGGTGAGCAGGACAGCAGGCAATGGGACCCCCACCCTCCAGAGCCCATCCTGAGGCCCACTCACGCTTTTTCAAAGGCCAGCTTCTCTTTCTCCAGCTGCTTGGACAATACTTCTACCTCACCAAGGGCAAACTGCAATTTCTCCTCTTCCTTGGCCAGGAGGACCTTGGTCTTAGCATGGGCAGCTTTCTCTTCCTGCAGGAGCAGCAGCAGTCACCTTAATACCTCAAGCCACTTTGGGTCTCCTAGGCTCCATTAAGCAGCTCCCATTCTCAGATGGGCACACAGAAGTAAGGGTATAGAAAGATTCTTGCCTTAATATGGGGGATGGAGGCTCTCAAAAGCCAATACTCTGCCCAACCACAGGGATCTTGGGAAATGGAGATTAGGAGCCTGCAGAGGGATTACTCACCACCAGCTTCTTCTCCACTGCCTGGAACTCTTCTTTACTGACAAAATTTTCGTCCTGGAGAATCATCTGCAACAGAGCCTGGCTCAGGGAGGGGTACACAGAGTATCCTCTAGGACCAGGACAAAGGATGGATAATGGGATGATGCCCAGGGCACCTAGGATGAGGCAGGTCCTTGGAAGGGATAATCAATTCCACACATTCACTGAATTCCATCTATAAGTCCTGCCCTCTGGGCTGGAGTTGTGGCTCAGTGGTAGAGCACTTGCCCAGCACGCGTGAGGCACTAGGTTCTATTCTCAGCACCCATATAAATAAATGAATAAAATAAAGGTCCATCAACATCTAAAAAAAAAAAAAGTCCTGCCCTCAAGGAGGGACATTCCACAGATGTGTTTAATGCCAGTGATGGGAAAGCACAAGGCGGTGTGGTGCCCATAGGGGCTTCTGATCCAGCTTGGGGAAGGGTTAGATTTGCTTTTGAAGAGGTGACATGAGTTCTGAGATCTGATTGCTAAATAAGATAGAAGAGACATAGAGAAAAGTGTTCCAGATGGTTGGAACATACAAGCCAAGGCCAGCTGCCAAGAAAAAGATATGGGTACCTTCAGGGAATGGAAGGTAATTCAGTACCTAGAGCTGCATACATTTTGTTGAAATAGGGTATTAGGGTAGCCAAGGGAGCATGTGTCTCGCTTCTTCCTCCCACATCCAACTTCCCAGAAGGAAAGAAGTTGTCTAAGAATCATTAGAGTGAGAAACAGATGTGAATCCAGTTTTATTTCTGAGATGGAGATACATCTGAACATTCTTACCAAGATAGAAAAACAAAACCAGAAAAACTATGAACTCCAGCTGTCTAGCATTGGAAGTAATCTGTGGCTCCAATTAGCATCTATTAGCTGGAATTTGAGAAGGCAAAAGCAAAGGGACATATAGGCTGGGCTGGAGGTTCTTGAGTTAACGTGATCAAGGGCCAAATCTGTGCTTACTGCACTCATTATGGCAATGTACTTGACACATAATAGAAGAGATGATACAGTGTTTTCTGCGTGCAAGTGAGGGCACTGGGAAATCAGTGAAGTCGTCTCCACTAAAAATAGAGAAACTGAAGCTCAGTGACTATTACTATGCCCTGCAGCAATAACGCAGAGTACTCAATTTAAATTTAAATTCCTTGGTAAATATTCTGGAAGGTCCCACGCCCTTTTGGCTCCACCCCTTCCAGCCAAGTCCCATTCGGTCTCTGCCTTCCCAAAGACGCCTTTAGTAGCGTCCTAGCCACGCCCCTTGCATCGAAACAGGGTCTGGCCCCGCCCCCGCCAGTGAGGCGTCCAGTCCAGCCTCTACCAGAGTTCTTCCGCTGCGTACCACATTCCTCAGCTGGTGGATTAGTTCCTCCTGAGATTCAATCACGTCCCGCAGTTGATCGAAGGCGAGACACACAGATCCTGACCCCCCCTGCGACCACCCGAGGGGCGTCGCCATCTTTCGCCCCCGCCAGCTCGTTGGAAATGGCTGCCGCCAGGCGCCTTACTACGGCGCCCACCAATGAGAATGCGACGCCACAAAGCACCCTGGCAACAGGGGGTGGGGACTTCCTCTGTTAGCAGGGGTGGGTCCTGCCTCTTAAAGGAGCCGCATGGGATAGGGGAATCCTATCAACTCTCTCTCTCTCTCTCTTTTTTTTTTAAAGAATATTTTTAGTTTAATGTTTTAAAGAACATAGTTTTTAGAATATTTTAAATTCCTTTATTTAATGTTTATTTTTATGTGGTGGTGAGGATTGAACCCAGTGCCTCACACATGCTAGGCAAGCTCTCTACCACTAAGCTACAAACCTGGCCCCCCAACAATTCTTGAGAATTTAAGTTTACAGGAAATTTGCTTATCTAGTGTATATATGTGTATATGTATATGTACACATATATACACAAGATATACATATGTATACATATATACACTAGATAAGAAAATTATACATATATAATTATCATTATTTACAAATACCTTTATTTTGTTTATTTATTTTTATGTGGTGCTGAGGATTGAACCCAGTGCTTCAACCAATAAGCCACAACCCCAGCCCCTCTATTATATCTTCTACTTCTCAATCAGTCCTGAGGACAGGCAGGCCCTACTTCCTTTAAGTGTCAATGAGTGGGCAGCACTCAAACACCAACCCTGAGCCTTCTTCCAGGTCCTATTATACTACAAAAAGGGGAAGCAACAGTCAGTTTAGGCACCCTTGTGTGTTTTGCTTCACAGATTTCTTTTCCCTACCCTAATCTCCAAATTTCCCCTGTAGTATGAGCCTCCTGGAGCACACATAGTACTTAGGTCACCCTGGTTGGGGCCCACCACAGACTCGTACTTTATAAGTCAAAAGCACTCAGATTTTTGGCCAACCAAGGCTCAGTGAGACTCAGGATAACATGACGTCACAAATAGCCTGTGATCCTGCCCCAGGAAAAGTTTGTCATTCTAATTGATATTCAGGTTATCTATTGTTTTATAATAAACTACTCCCAATTTTTTGTAAATCACTTAAAAATAATTTTGCTGGGGCTGGGGATGTGTCTCAAATGGTAGTGCGCTCACCTAGCATGCGTGAGGCACTGGGTTCGATCCTCAGCACCACATAAAAATAAAATAAAGATATTGTGTCCACCTAAAATTAAAAAAAATATTTTAAAAAAATAAAATAAATCATTTTGCTAAGCTGGGCACAGTGGGACCTGCCTGTAATCCCAGCAATTTGGGAGGCTAAGGCAGGAGGATTCCAAGTTCAAGGACAATCTAGGCAAATTAGTAAAAACTTATCTCAAAATAAAATTTTTAAAAAGGGCTGTGGATGTAGCTCAGAGGCAGAATGCTCCTGGGCCCGATCCTCACTACCCCAAAATTTATAGTACTAATACTAATTTTGTTCATGAATCTGCATTGTGGGGAGAGTTCAAGGATGCGAGCTGACACTGTACGAAACATGTCAGCTGACACTGTTTCATACAGTGTCAGCTGGAATGGTTTAACTGGGGTCAGAAGTGCCACTTCTAAGATGGTTCACTCTTATGACTGGCATGTTGGGTCTCAGCTAGAACTGAGGACCAAGGTCTTGGTTCTCTTCATGGACTGCCTTAACTTTCTCATAGCATAGTAGTTGAGCTAAAGAGAAAGCATCCAAATTGACAGAAAACAGAAAGTGCCAGTGTCTTAATGAGGCAAGCACTCTACCAACTGAGCTATATCCCCAGAACCCTCTGCTGTACTCTTTTAGTCAAGGAGTCATGGAATCAGATTTGAAGGGACACCCTCACCCCCCCACCCCCATCAATGGGAGTAGCAACAAAGAATTAGGCTGCTCCATCACAGATGGTATGTTACTCCCTTAAAGGGTGATCTCGCATAAGACCAAATTGGAGCTCAGTCTAGTGAAGGAGTCAGAAAATACTTAAGTAAAACACTCACACAAATTCCAAATGATGCCATCGTTCAAATGAATATTATACCTAAGACAAGTGCTAAGAAAGAAAGGAATGAGAGGAATTTCAAGGGAGATTTAGCCCTGTCTGTGGAAGGAAAAGCATCTGTAAGGAAGTGATTTTCTTGCTTAAATCTACAAAGATAACCAGCAGGTATTTAGAAAAGGAGGTAGGGACAGGTAAGTAGAAAAGGATTCTAGAAAGAGAGAACAGTATACACAAAATCTCTGAGGCAAAAGGTGTTGGCAGAGGATAGAAAGTAAAAGATTATTATGTTAGAAAACTAAAAAATCTCTAGGACAGTGAGTAGAAGCCAGGAATTTGGCAGAGCTTTGCCAAACCATGGCGGGCTATTCTGAAGACTGACAATTTTCATCCCAGAGGCATAGGAAAGCTACTTGAAATGTTTTATTTATTTTCTGGCACAGCAGATTGAACCCATGGGCACTTTACCATGAGCTACACTGCGAGCCCTTTTTATTTTTTGAGACAGGGTCTTGCTAAATTGCTGAGGTTGGCCTTGAGTTTAGGAACTTCCTGCCTCAGTTGGGATTATAGGCATGCGTCACCTCACCCAACTGGGATCTCAGATTTTTGCTGTCAGCTGTTCCTTGGGTCTCTTCTGCATGGCTTTTCTATGTAGTTGAATAGCAGTCTCAGGGTAGCTGGATTCATATGGTGACTGGCATCCCTCAAAGTGCAAAAATGGAAACTGCCAGTTTTGCCACATTCTATGGGTTGAAGATCAACAACCAACTCAGATTTAGAATGGGGACTACACAAGGGCATGAAGATATGTGGTCTATTGGAGAACACCAAATTCAGTGACCACACAGAATCCCTCTTGGGATTCTGACTTTTGTACTTGGATAGAGAGTGATGCTGTTCATGGGAATGGAAGCCCTAGGTGTGGCTTCCATGCTCCTACATTTAAAAAAATTCACCTCTGTAGGAAGAAGAGTGATTTTGTTGCAAGTCTCTCTTGAGTTGAAACTCTGAGTCTCTCTGAGGAGTTGCTTTCACTGATCCTTCAGATTGGGTTAAGTCCCTGTTATGGATTCCTTGCTCCCTTAGGTCTTCCCTTTGACATTATTCCACTGAGGAGCATTGTCTAAAGTCTGGCTTCCTTGCTAAATGTTCACTTCAAGAGTTTTGGACCTAGGTCTCACTTGTTCCCTGACCCCTATCCCAAAAATGCAGATCAAATATCACATAGCAGGTTCTCAAACTTTGCTGAATTGAATTTCATGTCCATTTTTTTTTAAAACTGAAAGATATCATGACAATTTGGGCTTATGTAAATACCATGTATTGTATTTTTAAATCGACTTTCCTAAACATGGTGCATTGGGAAGAAGCCAACAAGGAACTTGGACTACACCTGATTTTTCTGATGCTCAATCTTGTCTTCATCTGTAGATTGACTATGATATGCTGCAGCTGCTGTTATCTGATAGAAAATATGGACTCCATGATGTCATAGATACTATCTACTGTTGTAAACACAAATAATTCCACCCCTGGATGATGTAAGACTGAAGCAGAGGACAACAGCTTCTGTAGCCTGAAATACTGTAAGGAAGTCAAGCATGTGCAGTGCCCAAGGATACCACGGGCAGAGGGTAAAATAATAAAGGGGAAAAAAAGCCATTCTTTTTACATAAAATCATTTAATGTTTTCTTTGTTAAAATACACTCAATCTAGATGCAGTAGATCAGGTGAACAGAGTGTTCAGGATTTGAACTCCACCAGGAGCTGATTTCATCTTGTCCTCCCTGACTCTGGTCACAGAACATTCACATCTATAAATCTGCGTACTGAATATGATGCAAATGATGTAATCAGTACCTAACACATGGTATATAATTACGTAGTGGCCACTGCACAAGGTATCAACAATGCAGCCTCAAAATATACGATGTATAGTAACTTGTCTATCTCCAAAAATAATTAAGACACTAAGCTGACACCTTAATTAGTCCAAAATAAATGCAAATTGCTAACTCCTGTGAGGAGCAGTGCATGCAGAGACTTGGTTGTGTGGCCAGTTGTTAACAGAAAGCTTCTGGAATTCCAACATGCTTCCTCACAGTGTTCTGAGTGTGAGGATAAAAATAAGGAGTACATAGCTTGGCCAGGCTGCTGAATCTCATGTTCTGATGAGGTCTGGAGTTCACTGTAATTTCTAATGGTTTCCAGAGAGCGCAGCAATGTTCTTTTTGGTACTGGGGATTGAACCCAGGAGCATTCTGCCTCTGTGCTATATCCACAGCCCTTTTTAAATTTTATTTTTTTGATACAAGGTTTCATTAAGTTGCTGAGGCTGGCCTTGAACTTGTGATCCTCCTGTCTCAGCTTCCCAAGTTACAGGGATTACAGGCATATACCACTGCACTCAGTGCAACATTATTTTCTTACTCTTAAGCCATGAGGCCTGTTAAGGAAGCTTAAAAGTTTTCTGGGTTTGAGCAGATGAACTCCAGGTCTACTGACCTGGGTACATGGGTTCCTTCAAGCTGCAAGTTTCTTTGTGAGAAGGATTTTCATTCTTCCCTCCTTAGTTCTGATCAAGCAGTGCAGGAGAGCATCTTCACTTGAATGAGAGCTTATTTCTATGTGAGCTTCAAGCCCTCTTTCTTAGCCTCACTCCCAACACCAGGGTCCAATCTGTAGTAGCCCTCCAACAAGTAGTCTTGAGCTGTGTGCCAAGTTCCAACAATGAGAATAGCCTTCCCTAAAGAGTTTATATACCAGTAAAAATCTTCCAAAGGATTTAGGCAAGAAGGAAAATCTTATTTTACCACCATGCAGGCAACCCATCTACAATACAGCCAAGGATATTTGTTTAACATTATTCTTGATAGTACCAAATAGATTAAATTATCCGTCAACCAAAAGCAAATATGGTTCCCTTGAGAAAAACCAGATGTGGGTATTGTGGTCCAGTAGTAACAAATAAAACAATACTACTATAGCATCACATTTAATTAATCACTACCATGAAATCCATAAAATGTTTGACAACACTATTTGTGGATATCTTCTAGGGCAGGGTCTTTTGCCTTTTAACCTATCACTGTTTCCACTGTGTTTTTTTTTTTTTTTTTTTTCTTTTTTTGCAGTACTGGAGATTGAACCGAGGGCCTCATGCATGCTAGACAAGCACTCTACTACTGAGCTATATACCCCCAGCCCTTTCTATTTTGAGCCAGGATCTCACTAAATTGTCAAAGCTGGCCTTGAATTTACAATCTGCCTGCTTCCCAAGGGACTGGGATTACAGGTGTGTACCACCATACTCAGCTATGGCTCATTTTCTGGCAGAGGTGGAGGCTGGAGAGTGGCTGGGATTATAGGTGTGCACAATTGTGACCAGATATGGTTCACTTTCTAGCAGAGGTTGAGGAGAGCTTTGATTTTTTTGTGTGTAAGAGCTTTCCATAAGACTGTTTGACTCATGGAAACAATTTTATAGTGTAAATTCTCTGTCACTCAGAGGTCAGGAAGACCCAACAAAACCCAGAATAGACCTAGCTGGGCAGCAAAATCTGGCTATATCCAGAACTGTTTCTCCTTCCTATAACTGAACATTTGTCACTACCAGTCACCAGCCCTCCCCCTGCCTTTTTTCTGGCACCTTGGATTGAACCCAGGGACACTTTACCACTGAACCACATCCCCAGTCCTTTTTATGTTTTATTTTGAGACAGGGACTTGCTAAGTTGCTCAGGGCCTCCTTAAATTGCTGAGGCTAGCTTTGAACTTGCAATCCTCCTGTCTCAGCCTCCTAAGACTCTGGGATTACAGTTGTATGCTACCATACCAGGCCCAAAGCCCCCATTCTTTACCTAAGAACTCATCTCCTGTCCTTATGGAATGTGCACATATGAACAGTGCTAGACATCGGAATGGAGAAACTTTACTTTGGAACTCAGACTTAATGTAGACCCTCCTTTCAATAGGAACTCTTCTTCCAAACCCAGAGAAGAATGTAGACTATGGTCATCTTCCTGGTCCTTTCAATTTCAGAGGCTCATAATAATCTGGGCAGCGCATTCCAAGTCGCTCCCTTCCACAGGAAAAGCGTAGAACCACATAGTCTAGGCAGCGACTTATTTCTTCCTTGTCACCAGAGGGAAGGGCTGCCTGCCTTTAAGGAAACTCTTACTTTGTATACAGAATTTATTCATGTGGTCCTGCTTTTAATGAACAACAGGAATGCAGGACTGCCATAAAAAGAACAGAGGAGTGGGTTGTGGGCAACAGAGGCATCCTTGGGAAAGATGCTGCTTTGCCAGTCTGGCTTGAATCACCTGAGAAATGAGGATGAGCTCTCACATTTTCCACTGATAATTCGCCTACCAACCAGTTCTACCACTGCCAGTTGTATAACCAAGGTCAACCATCCTCTCTGGTCAAGGTTCTCATTCATAAAAACAGAGATAATACACCTACTTCACAGAGTTGTGAGGAAGCTTCACTAAAAAAAATACATGTGAGAGCCTGTGTTTTATAGCAGGCACTCAATAAATGTTGAATGAATGAAAACCATTTTATACCACAAACTCGAGGGTAAAACAAAATGACTGCTGGGCCAATGCTAGCCCCTAATGGACACAGAGGCAATCTTCCCCTTCCGTCTCTAGGCATGAGCCATAGCCTGGCTGGAATGCCTCCTCTTAGGTCTGATCACTGTTCCTCTGTGGGGTGTAGGGACTTGGCTCAAAAACGATGATACCAAATGATGATACCAAGGGGAAATGACAAAAAGAACATTCTCTAGTTCTGTGATATACTTGAGAATGTGCGCTGAGGAGCTGAAACTTTGTCTTGCATTTTATCTTCTCCCTCAGTCCTTGCTTCCTGCTGCTGAGTTGTCAGTGGAACTGTATCACAGCTCAACAGTTTCTAATTTCTGGCCCCTCTATGGGAGGGAGGAGTAAGGAAAATAAAAGAACCTCGAATCAGTCAGTTTGCTAATGCCCCTGACTGAACAGAGACTAGGATAACAAATAACTATTGGTTAAATAGTTTAAATGTCTCCATATTCCCCTTAGAAAATGGAAAGTTGAACAGGAACAAGTTCCGAAGGCTGAATCTTAGGGGAGATGATGACTCTAATGCAAGGAGAGGTATAATTTTTCAGACATTGTAAGTAATATAAAGCTGCTTTGGATAAGTCCAGGGGTACCTAGGTATTGAAAATTCACTGAAGAAGGGAAGGGAAAAAATGTAGATCTTCTTTGGGATGCCCTTAACTACATTTACAGAGGCAGGGGTTGGCCTGGCGCAAGGGGGCTCAGTGAAACACTTTGCCATTCATGTCACTTAGGAATGTTCCTGTCCTGGGAGCCACTCCCTGGGAAGGAATCTGTGATGACAAGTCTGGCTCCATGCTCAAGTTCTTAATTCTGCTCAGTAAACAAAGTTAGTAAATTGTAAAATGTTTGCCATTTCCTAATTTTGTATTATAAAATGGAATTAGGAACATAAATAGTAACAAGTAACAAAACCCCAACCCTGCCCTGGACCATCATTCTCTCAACCACCTCTGCGGAGGCCAATAAGTTTGGAAAGTTTTTCACAGTTTTCAAGTTTGAGTGACTCTGCTTTCTGTTTCAATCGTTCATCTCTGTATAATCCTGCTAAATTTGTCAACTCCGATTCTGAAAGATAAAAAAAAAAAAAAAATAACAAAATCATCAAGAGTTGAGCTTGTTTCATTTCAACATTTCTAGAATCAAAGTGCCATTTATTTATTTATTTATTTTGGGTACCAGGGATTGAACTCAGGGGCACTCAACCACTGAGCCACATCCTTAGTCCTATTTTGTATTTTATTTAGAGACAGGGTCTCAGCTGAGTTACTTGCAGCCCACTTTTGCTGAGGCTGGCTTTGAACTTGAGATACTCTTGCCTTGCCTCCTAAGCTGCTGGGATTACAGGCATGCGCCACCATGCCCACCCAAAGTGCCTTTTATTTTAATGCTTTTCTTTTCCTTTAAATTTAAGCAACAGTTCTTCCTGTAAGCTGCCTGAGGTGATCTGTGAAAATGATTCCCTACTCTGTTGACCCGAAAAACCCCACAAAATGATGTAAATCAAGAGGTTCTCAAGTTCAGTTTAAGAACACCCATGAAACTGCATAGGCCATCAGGGACATGCATAGGTGAAAAGATACCAAGTACCTGAAAGATGTCACATTTTTGGGGGGGGATTGAACAGGGACAGGGGATTGTACAGGGGATTGAACTCAGGGACACTTGACCACTGAGCCACATCCCCAGCCCTATTTTTTAGTTTAAGCCTAAAAAGCACCTTCAGACAGGGTCTCACTGAGTTGCTTAGTGCCTCACTTTTGCTGAGGCTGGCTTTGAACTTGTGATTCTTCTGTTTCAGCCTCCCGAAGCAAAGATGTTACTTTAAAGAAATAATGGTGCCATTCTGGAATTATAATGGTAGAATTGGGAGGTATGCCAAGCCAAAGAGTGGAGCTGGTCATAGGGTTGGTAGCCCAAAAAGAATGCTGAATTTTTGCTGCTCATGCTTAAAAATGCAGAGAGTAATGAACTTAAGGATTTAGACAGAGATTCTCTGATCACTGAACATACCCAAATGAACAAAGCACCAAGATGCACTGCTGTATTTACAGAGCTCATGGTCAGATAAACCATGCCACATTGAGATGATTCTCACTGAAAAGGAACAAACTGTTCCTAAACCAGAAAAGGAGGTTGCACAGAAGGAAAAGATATCCCAAAAGAAACTGAACAAACAGAAACTCATGGCACGAGAATAAATTCAGCATAAAATAAATGCAAATAAAAGTAAAAAAATAAATAAATAAACTTAAGCAACGTTTACTCATTTATTCAAGAAACATGTTCTAGCACTAGACCAGGTGCTGAGGATTAAAGGACACCTGTGATCCTGCTGTCCTACAGTATCTGTGCTCTATTATAAAAGCACTGGATGTAGTTCTTATCTATAAAACATTTGGCACCAGACTTAGGAAAGATGCATGTGTGCAGTAAGAGGAGACTGTCACCACCTTCCCACCAATGGTATTCAGATGGCAGTTGGAGAGACTGAAGTCCAATGGCCTGTTCCTGTCATTTGAAACAAAGACAGCTGCTTCATTCTTTCTCTGGCCTTGATGGATCATAACTCACATGACACAGGGCCTATCTCTGTTGGGAAGTGTCTACAGAAGGCCAGGCTGCTAGTGGCTTTCTTTACTGCCTCTCTCTCTCTCTACATGTGGGGTCCCCAACTTAAAGGCCAAAGGCAACTGGGCTCTTTTTTTTAAATATTTATTTTATAGTTATGTGGTGCTGAGGATCGAACCCAGTGCCTCACGTATGCTAGGTGAGCCCAACTGGGCTCTTTTAAAAGTGAAATCATAGTGTCCAACTAGCTCAGTCAGTAGAGAATGAGACTCTTAAAATGAAATCATCTGGATCTGGTGACCTTTGTCTCCTTGGCTAAATGAATTTCATTTTCTCTTCATGATAGAGAAGGTCATTCTATTTTTAACTAGAATATAATCTCTGCTGTATTCCCTGACCCTATGGTGGTTTGGCTCTATTGACTTTTTATTCTTTTGTGAGGTTTCAGAAATATTCTAATTGAGGAAGACCTAAAAAGCATCTTCAGAGGTATGCCCAACAGGACACATTAATAGGAGGGCATGCCTGGATGGCGTATGGCTTCATAGAGCCTCCTACAGCAGGCAGCTACTTCATATTTAAAGGACCACACTTGTGAAAATACTATCTTAATCATTTTAAAATATGTCTAATCATTCTTAATCATCTTGGTGACAGATTTTGCTTTTCTTGGGGGAACAAGAGGCACCTGTCTGATTAATCAGCAAACTGCCTGGAAACAGGAATTAATATTTAGCCAGGAGAAACAATGGCCATTGCTTTCTGAATAAGTTTCTATCAAAACAAAGCACTTGCTGGTATTTCTGTTCACAATAATTCTATTTGCACCGCATAGGACTCAAAGTGCGATTAAGTGCAGGACTCCAGGGTGAGGGATGGATATGCGTGAAAACCCTCCCTCTACAATGGAGCTGCAGAGCCTGGGCTCTAGCCCAGCAGTGACTTGGCAAGCAGCGAGTCCCCTAGGCTCTAGGACAATGTGCTCTCACCCCGTGGGGAGGGTGCCTGCAGCGCCAGCAAGCTAGAGCTTGCCTTGGCAGAGTCAGCCTTGCAGGTGATGGTGCTTCATAGAGGATCATGTGCGGCACCCAAATGAAAAATCCTCTGTTCCTGTGTCCTGCCCAGAACTCAGCATGTTTCTCCAGCTTCTCTGTCATGTGGGAAACCTAATCAGGAATCTTCCATGAAATCAGTCTATGCTTTTGGTCCTTCAGAATCACAGTTACACCAGTATATGGAATAGATTCTGTGGTTTTGCTTTTCATGGACAGTTATTTCCTTAGGTTTTTTGGTTACTGGCCTTTTTAAAATGCCTCATTCCCTGAATTTTCATTCCAGAAAACACTAAAGGCTACTGATTCCTCATATTTTCCACATTGGAGAACACTGTTAACAAGCTGATGAAAGATAACTGCACATGTGTGAAAGCTTTTCTCAAAACATCACATTCTTTTCATAAAACTGTTGAAATTGGGTCAGGGACCCCTGCTCCAAAGTGATGACCTGGCATAAGGTCAGCATTTCAAGGAGTGGTGTCCCACACCCTCTCTACCACACTCTTGAGAAACCTCTCCAAACTATAGGTGAATACCTTCACTCTTATATGTGCAAAGGGTCAACTCAAAGAATGTTATTTTGATGAATTTTGTTAAATTCAGTAACTTTTAAGTAGCTGAAAAAAATCTTTGGGAGGGGAGGATCAAGAGAACATCTTTTCTTAACAAAATGTTCCTCTTTGCCCCTAATGCCAGTATAACAGATGGACAGAGCACTGAGCCTTGAAGGTAAACTGACTCTGGCAAATTGCCAAGCAAAGCAAATCCCAGAGCCTCTCTCAAGAATAGTCTGTGCAAGAGCCCAGATTGGAGCTTGACAGCTGGAAGGTCCCAACAAATCCCAACTACCCTCAGGATCCAGCCCCATGAGACATTGTTGCCACCAGTCTACAATGCAAGGCCATGCAAAAACCTGAACTCCACCAGGAATCAGGCATTTATATGCCAGGCACTGTGCTGAGTTATACCCTCACAATCTCCTATACTCCATATACCCTTTCCAGGAGGAAGTTAATTCCCATTTTCAAAGCCTCTGCCTCTACCCACTCATTAACCTGTTCAAGGGCATGTTAAGAAGTGCGCCTCTGTCAGGGCAGGGTCCAGTCAGGGTCTCAGTCAGCTCAACTAGGCCAGGATGCAGTTCCCAGCTGTTACTTTTGTTCCGCCCCGCCCAGTGCAATCAGTGTTCATAGTAAAGAATAACTCATAAAAATTAATCCAGATTAAGTATTCTAAGGAAAAGCAGAGAACAGAAATAAGACTCAAAAAGATAATGGCTAACTTTGTTTTGATAAAAACAGTTTCCATTTGTATTTTGCCAAGAGTGAACTCTGTTCTCAAGTGGGTTTATTTTTACAACCTCCAAGTGCTAAATTTAACCTTGTTGGCTGCATTTGCTGCTGGATTCAGAAGGCAGATGCTGCCTGTTCTCAAATGGCACTTGAGCAGTGTGGAGGCTCCATTCAGCCATTGTACTTAAATGCCAGAAATAGATTTTTAAGGGGTACATGATATGAACCCCTGTTCAGAGTCTGTGAGTGCACGCAGCCCACTTACTCGTTGGATTTTTACTTGTGCCAAAGCTCTAAAACTAGGCCTCAAGTAGATGGGAACAAAAGTTTAGAAGCCACCTTCACTGCAATTTCTACCAGAACTTTTTGTATAGTTCTAACATTTTAATGCCACAGAAGAAGGTGTGTGTGTGTGTGTGTGTGTGTGTGTGTGTGTGTAGGATGTGGGGGCATATGTATGTTTTAAAGATATGAAATATAGATTTTCCCATTCAATTCTTGCATTGAGCAACATATCCAAGACCCTCCTAGTGTCCAGAATAATGGAGATGTTTAGGAATTCAATGGCTTTCACTTGTTTTGGATCCATCTTTATAAAGTCTTTTAGCCCCGGCCTTTATCTTATTCCCAAAATTCTTCCTTCCTTTCTCCCTCTGTCCCTGCCTTTCTTTCTCATTTTCTTTCTCATACAATGGATTGAATCCACGGGCACTTTACTTCTTAGGTACACCCCCAGCCCTTTTTATTTTTTATTTTCAGTCTTACTAGGTTGCTGAGGTTGGCCTTGACTTTGCAATCCTCCCACCTCAGCCTACCTAGTTGCTGGGATTACAGGAGTGTGCCACTGCACACAGCTTACCCATTTTTTCATTAAAAAAAATCAAATTCCTCCTCCTGTTGAATTGCCCATTATGTCCTAGAGTCACTGCCCACCAATTAATGTACCTTGAGAGGGCGGCTGAGTTCTGCTATACAGAAATAAGAGACCCATAAAGATCAGGAATAGACATTAGCCCTGATCTGTTATTCATAATCCTCAGCATTTCCATTCCTTTCCACTCCTGAGAATGCACCCTCCAAAGACATTTGTTGAGCACCTGTTTTGAAGCAAGGACTGTGCCAGCAGCTTGTGACATTAAAATTAGTTAAGACATCGTCTTATCTTTGGAGAACCAGTAGTCCTGCACGTCAGATTGACAGGTACCCATGGAACATTAATACTATGTAATCAGTACTATGCTAGCAGGAAGAACAAAGTGGTTTAAGATCATACAGGAAGGACAGATGAACTGGGGGTTAGGGTTGGGAGTGTGTGATGGGTCACTGAGGCCTTAGCTATGACCAAGTAGCTAATTTTAACAGACACTGTTAGATGTTTAACTATACCCAGTAATAAGGTTTAAAAGATGACTTAGCATTTACTTTGAAAAAAAAATTAACCAAAGCCTAGTTTTATAATATACAATTCCTAATGTTTTTTTTTTTTTTTTGGTGTGTGTGTGTGTGTGTAATTCAAGTGGAATACAAAGTGAAGCTGCTAGCTGAGGTTGGGCTAGCCCAGCTGCCAGCTCTCCCTTAGTAACAACTGGAGTTGTAAGCCAAGTGGCAGATATTGTCACTCTCACTGTCTCCAGAGAAGAAAAGAGTGTGCAGGACTTGCTCATATTCACCCATATTGAAGAGGCAGAATCAGAGGATTATTTTTATTCTGTGTGACCACAGTCAACAGAGGTGAGGGTAGGGGACACCTGACTCAATAGGAGTAACATCTAAACATTTGGCGTGATTCAAAAAGTTAGGCTAGCTCAATCAGATTTCCCTCTGGGGAATGTGGAATTTGGAAATTATGGACCAAAACTGTGGACTAGCATTAAGAGCTTCACGAGGGAGCTTGTAATGAAGAAATGGGCCAATGACAGGTGGGATTTGGAAGCTGGGAGAGCAACAAGGAGGGTAGCAACAGTTATGAAGGAGAGATGTTTGAGGAAATAAAAGGTAGATGGCGGAGAGGACAGTGCAGCAGATGGGCAGAGAGAGGCAGAGACCCAAAGAGAGGCAATAAGCACTGCCTAAGTTTCTACAATTTCTAAGTCCTAAGCACATGAATCCTGTCAGTAATTTCCTCCCTTTTTGCATCACGAATGGGCCTCTGTCTCTGTTTACATAAATATATAACCCCAATAAGAAGAGAGAAGGGATCAGGAAGCTGGGTCCACCTTATGCTGGGAGTCTGGCCATTAGCGAAAGCCCCTTTGACAGATCTTACTTTGCTGTTTCTCCTTCCAACAACTTGTCTGGATGTAATCGATGTAATCCTTCTCTATCGTCTTCTCCAGGTCATGCAAAGAAGCCCCTCTATAGGCCTTGTCAAAGTTTTTATCCACGAAGTAAGGCACCTGCAGGTTCTGAGTTTCTCTGGAAATGGTGTAGCCCAAGGTCCTGAAACAAAGAGTGAAAGGCTTGGAGAGTTTGCAGTATTTGGCAATGTCACTCCTAGCTCTAGCCTCGTAGACTCCATGTCACAATCACCTCCTCACAGGGCAGAAGCAGATACCAGTTTTTTTTTTTTAATATATATTTTTTTAGTTGTCAATGACTCTTTATTTAATTAATTCATTTATATGCAGTGCTGAGAATCAAACCCTATGCCTCAAACACACCAGGCGAGCGTTCTGTCACTGAGCCACAACCCCAGGCCCAGAGGCAGATACCATTTTTATAATATACTCAAAACTTCTTATTTCCCTAGTAAAGTAGAAAGCAAAAAGCCTTCATTATCAATATTAACATGAGCACGTTCATATTGTGAATTCAGCTTCAGCATATATAGTTTGTTCTCTTTAAAGATTTACCTCTCTTATACTGGTCTCTATATAAAAAGTAAAATGCTGAATGCTGAAAAATAAATAAAAGTTGTGTATTGTGTAGGACTTAGCATAGTACCTCACAGAGTAGGCTATAGGTAAATGCTGGTTGCATGAGCTGATTAATATTAGAGCAAAACACTTGTAAAAAACTATATAGCTTCCTACAACCTAGAACCAATTTTTAGGACATGACATAAAGTACTTCACACAGAGTTGCTAAGTGACAACTGCAAAAAAAATGTAGACAAAGGATTTCTTTCTTTTTTGGGGTGATGGGGAGGTGGTGGGGGTACCAGGGATTGAACCCAAGGGCACTCGACCTCAGAGCCACATTCTCAGCCCTATTTTGTATTTCATTTAGAGACAGGGTCTCACTAAGTTGCTTAGCACCTTGCCTTTGCTGAGGTTGGCTTTGAACTCATGATCCTTCTGCCTCAGCCTCCCCAGTTACTGGGATTATAGGCATGGGCCACTGTCTGGCTAGACAAGGGATTTCAGTGATGCCTCAGGGCTTACTCCCTGGGTCCAAGTCACCCAACACTGTCTGATACTCAGAGAATATTTTTTTTGGGTGGTGGTGCTGGGGATAGAGTCCAGTACCTCATACATGCTAGGCATAAGTTCTACCACTGAACTACATCCCCAGCCCAGATTCCATTATTATTTTAAAAATAACTAATTCAGTGATTCTTAAATTTTAGTATGGGCCAGGATCATCTGAGGGTATTGTTAAAATTCCAGGTTGTTATCTACGTGCAGTGGCACATACTTACAATCTCAGCAACTTGGGAGGCTGAGGCAGGAGGACATAAGTTCAAGGCCAGCCTCAGCAACATAGCAAGAACTTGTCTCAAAATAAAAAGGACTGGGGATTTAGTTCAGTGGTAAAGCATCACTGGGTTTGGTGCCTAAAACTCAGATTTTAGCCAGGCTCAGTGGTGCATGCCTAATCTCAGCAACTCAGGAGGCTGAGGCAGGAAGATCACAAGTAAGATGCCAGCCTGGGAAATTTAGCAAGACCCTGTCTCAAAATTTAAAAATGAAAAGAGCTGGGATGTGGCACAATCGTAGATTGCCACTGGGTTCAATCCCCAGTACTGAAAAAAACAAAACAAGACAAAAAAAGACTCAGATGGTTGGTACCCACTCCCTGAGTTTCTGATTTAGTAGATACAGAGGAGAGCCTAAGAGTTTGTTTCTTTCTTTATTTTTGCAGTACAAGGTATTAAACCAAGGGCCTTGTCCAAGCAAGGCAGGTGCCCTGTGATTGAGCTAAATCCCCTCATCCCCTTAACCACTGGGCCACATCCTCAGCCCTTTTTACTTTTTAAATATTTTTTGTTGCAGATGGACACAATACCTTTATTTTGTTTATTTACTTTTTTTTTTTTAATGTGGTGCTGGGGATCAAACCCAGTGCCTCACACATGCTAGGCAAGTGCTCTACCACTGAGCCACAACCCCAGCCCTATTTTTTATTTTGAGACTGGGTCTCACTAAGTTGCTTAGGGCCTTGCTAAATTGCTGAGGCTGGCTTTGAAATTGTAATCTTCTGGGGCTGGGGTTGTGGCTCAGCGGTAGAGTGCTCACCTAGCATATGAGAGGGGCTGGGTTTGATCCTCAGCACCACATAAAAATAAATAAATAAAATAAAGGTATTGTGTCCAACTACAACTAAAAAAAATTATATTAAAAAAAAAAGAAATTGTAATCTTCCTGCCTCAGCCACCTGAATCATTGGGATTATAGGTGTGGGCCAATACGCCTAGCTAAGTTTGCCATTTTAATATGTTGCCAGTTGATTCTGATGATGCTGGTCTAAGGACCTAACTTGGAGAGCTAAATTAATCAAAATAATTAGGGTTGAGGGTATAGCTCAGTGATAGAGAGCTTGCCCAACAAGTGTGAGGCCCTGGGTTCAAGCCTTAGCACTGCAATGATAACAATAATAGTTAATTGAAGAAATAAAATTTTCCTATTAAGAGTTTATAATCTATATGCATTAACAAGCATCCTGATTCTCTACATTTTTGGCAAAAACAAATGTGATATCAATAAATATCCCTTTCTTAAAAATGTATTAAACAAAATTATGTGAATAAATATTCCCCCCAAATATTTAAAAATAATAATAATAAATAAATATCCCCTTCTTGTAATTTTTTAAGTTGAAAATCATCATCGGGTCCAAGTTACTATCCCCCCAGGCTGCAAATGTCCAGTAACTCTATTACAAGTTCATTAGTGTCCTTTCTAACTCCATCATGGTGAGAGAAGGACTTTCTTCAATAGAACTCTTCAGAATTCTATTGATCCTTCAGAAACCACTGGTTGCTGTTCTGCAGCTGACCAGATGATGTCACTGTAGAACAACAAACTCTATCTCATAAGGCACACGTGAGACTGCTTACAGCATTTGAGTCTGCACTATTACTACTTTAAATATAAAATCAGTGTTTTCTACAGTGAAAGGTGAAACAAAGCGTTAGTAATATATCAGAAAACCTTCAAGACTTTCATTCACCAGACTATTATTAAAGAAGATTTATAAGTATTTGACTTACGATTTATAGAATAGACTATATGGAGGATTAGCAGCCAGCAGCTGAGTAATGACAGATACAATCACAATCACAAGAACTGGAAGTAACTGAATAAATGCAGAATACGTGGTCTAAAAATAAAGAAAAAAATATTTAGTAGAAGTTTCCTTTCTCAATATAAAAAAATACAAATGCAAAGAAGTCTCAAAGAAAATACAAATTATCAAAGCACTGCACAGAGTCCATAATGCCCAAGGCTTTTCTGGCAAGGCTGTACCAGCAACTGAGAGGTACCATGCAACCTTATTTATACTCTTTGCTGAGAAGGATGAAGGAGGCCTACCCACAAACTGGACTGACTCCGAGCAATCTTCCTGCAGCCCTAGACCAATGAAGCAGACACCTCTAACTAAGGTCTTCCCAGACTGTGACTCTCACAGTGCTGGGACTTTAGAAGCCATATTAATATGAGGCAACTCTTGCCTTGGCCACAGCTGACTGAACTGGGAGACATCTAACTCTAGCAGGGATAACCACATTCTTCCTCCTTGGGGGGAATTTGGGGTTGAGATTCATCACCCTTTGCTGCTAGGCATTTGAAAAAAGGATACATACTCACTCTTACAAGCTGTGAACCAGCCATTTGAAAGGGGAAGTAGAACAAGTTAGACTGCTAGAAAGAACAAAAGAGAGGTAGAGTGGTGGGAAAACTGGAGATAATTTGGCCCTAAAAAAACATGGTGAGCCGGGTGTGGTGATGCATGCCTGTAATTCTAGAGACTCAGGAGACTGAGGAAGAAGGATTTCAAGTTCAAGGATAGTTTCAGCAACTTAGCAAGACCCTAAGCAATTTAGCGAGATCCTGTCTCAAAATAAAAAATAAAAAGGGCTGGGATGTAGCTCAGTGACAAAGTGCTTGTGGGGTTAATCACCAGTACAAAAAAAAAAATTTTAAAAATTATGGTGAGCTTAACTGCCTGGAAGCCTGCCAGCACCCAGTTCGTGGTTCCTATCTGTCAGGAGGCCCAGCTGTGCTTCTTGCCATTGAATTTCATGAGACTCCCTTGAACTCTTAGTTCTGTTTTTTTGTTTGTTTTGTTTTTTTGTAGTACTGGGAGTTAACTCAAGGGCACTCTACCATTATTATGGTAACTATATTACCATCCTTTTTAATTTAATTTAATTTTTTTGCTTGTTGCAGTACTGGGGATTAAATACAGGGATATTTCACCACTGAGTCATATTTCCAGCTCTTTTTATTCTGAGATAGAATCTTGTTAGGGGCTGGGGATGTGGCTCAAGCGGTGGCGCGCTCGCCTGGCATGCGTGCGGCCCGGGTTGGATCCTCAGCACCACATACAAACAAAAGATGTTGTGTCTGCCGAAAACTAAAAAATAAGTATTTCTCTCTCTCTCTCTTTAAAAAAAAAAAAAAAAGAATCTTGTTAAATTTCCCTGGCTAGCACTGAATTGGCAATTCTCCTGTCTCAGCCTCCTGAATTGCTGGGATTACAGGCATGTGCCACCACTCCTGATTAGTTCTGCATATTTCAGAGGGTCCTATTTTCTGTAGTCATGAAAACCTTGATCAAGATATAGCGCCACGGGGCTGGGGCTGTAGCTCAGCGGCAGAGCGCTTGCCTAGCACATGAGAGGCACTGGGTTTGATCCTCAGCAACACATAAAAATAAATAAATAAATAAATAAATAAATAAATAAATAAATAAATAAAATAAAGGTATTGTGTAAAAGAATTAAAAAAAAACAAAAAACCTCCTTGCCAGGTTTGGTGACACATGCCTATAATCCCAGCAGCTCAGGAGGCTATGGCAGGAGGGCTGCAAGTTCAAAGCCAAACTCAGCAACTTAGCAAGGCCCTAAGCAATTTATGAGACCCTGTCTCAAAATAAAAAGGGCTGGGGATGTGGCTCAGTGATTAAGTGCCCCTGGGTTCAGTCCCTGGAAGGAAGAAGAAAGAAGAAAGAAGAAAGAAGAAGAAGAAAGAAGAAAGAAGAAGAAGAAGAAACCATCCCCATAGGAAGACTGAAATACTGGCAGAGTCTGAAATACTGGGAGAGTCACAAAAACTAGGTGGGCAGGATGAGGTTACCATTCTGGCCTACTTGGGCCAATGATTCAGCTCTTCACACTATTGCCTCTGCTTCCCTAAAGGATACTTTGGCAACATATCTCAAGTTTAACTTCTAGAACTTGATCATGCACAATAAAGGTGGGCTCAGTACAACTGTTTATGAGCAGCAGCTCTCCTTTCTTCCCTAGGCACCTGAGGTTTATCGTCTTCCTCTTCTTTCCGTGTCTGTGTTTTCTCATGTCGATGCCGCCGTCGATAATAGTGAGTGTCATCTGTCACATTTGAAAACATATGAATATTTCCTGGAAAAGAAAGAAAATAGCCACTTAATAGAGGATATGGCAAACATTCCTTTCTTGCAAGATATTTACTCCAAACTAGGTTCTTTAAGGATACAGTATTGCCCTATTTTACCCAGTAGAAGAGAATAGGTAAGACATAAGTCAGCTGGAGACAAATGGTGCTTAGCTCTTCTGACTTGGTTTAAATAGTCTTTTGCAACTAATAAGGGAGAGAACACTGAAAGGCTCTGAGAGAGAGAAAGTACATTTGGGCCATGAATCCTAGGACTACTTCTGTGACTAAAATCAGATTGTGTCACTGGTACCACAAAAATTTTTCCATTTATTTCCTGGATATTGAATTATCTCAATTTCTAACACACTTAGAAGATACTTTTTAAAACATTTTAACACTGAATTGGATGCTCATTGGTCAATCTTTTTTGTTTTTTAGAGATGGGATCTTGCTATGTTCCTGGCTAGTTTTTTTTTTTTGCAAAATCAGGGATGGAACCCAGTGGCACTCTACCACCAAGCTATATCCAATCCCTTTTTGTTTTTTCACTTTGAAACAGAAAGATGTCGAACTAGCTGGGATTACAGGTGTGTGCCACTGCACCTGGCTCTAAGCTACTCTTGAACCTGTACACTTAGGTGATCCTGCTGTCTTAGCCTTCTGAGTAGCTGGCACATACCACTGGGCCTGTGTTCTTTTCTTTTGCTTTTTGTGTCTTTGTGTATGTGTACTGGAGATTGAACCCAGGGGTGATTTGCCACAAAGTTATATCCCTAACCCTTTTTATTTGGAGATAGATAGGGTCTCACCGGGTTATTCAGTGTCTCACTAAGTTGCTGAGGCTGGCCTCAAACTTCTAATTGTCTGGCCTCAGCCTCCAGAGTTGTGGGAATTATAGCCATGTACTGACGGGGTAATTTTCTAATGTATTTATAACTGCTATTTTTATAATGATAATAGTATTTTTTCTATTCATTTATAAAACACTTAAATATATTTATCTAATCCTCATAGCAACTTGCAAAGTAAGACATTATGATCAGCCCCATTTTTGGGGTGAGGAACTAGATAATGAGAAATGCTAAATACTGGTCAAAATTATCCACAACTAGAGGCTTGAGATTTGCTTCAAATTCCTGTGCAACTGATTTGAAATTCCTGTTGTTCCCATCAAACCACTGTCCTTTTATTTAGATCTTCAAACAGGAGCTTGTTACAAGCCATAAATAAAGAAATATTTTTAAGAATCATAACATTGGTCAGGCGCAGTGGCACATACCTATAATCCCAGTGATTTGGGAGACTGAGGCAGAAGGATTACAAGTTCAAGGCCAGCTTGGGCACCTTAAAAAAAGAAATCTCAAAATTAAACAAAACGAAACATAAAAAAAGGGCTGGGGATGTAGGTCAGTGGTAGAGCAATCCTGGCCTCAATTCCTGGCAAAAAAAAAAAAAAAAAAGAATCATAGCTTTGGGTTACTAACCTGTAGGAAAATGGCCTCCAAAGAAGACATTGAATAGCTCTTCTGGAGTGATGTCAGCTTCAAAGTCCCTGTAATAATTATAAGGTCTGGCTTGAGGTGCAGTGAAAGTCACCTGTTCATCTCCATATTCATCATAGCGGAGTCTCTTATCAGGATTGCTCAGAACCGCAAAGGCATTTCCTATTGCTGCAACCAAGAAGAAGCACATGAGCACAGTCTTTACTGTGGTTGAGAGTAATCACAGCAGTAGCAATGAGGAGCCCAGAGTTGATTGTTGTTAGACAACTTTCCAAGGGCCCAAGGAGAGGATCTTTGGCCTGCAAATTTCCCCAAAGTGCTTGTGATAGCTTGTGATCTAGTTTGGTAAGCCAGAAATAACAACGCTGAAATCAGACAAACAAAAACTGCTGATGTGAGAGTTAACTCTTAATCAATTCTTGTCAGGCATAGTGGCCCTTGCCTATAATCCCAGCAGCTAAGGAGGATGAGGGAGAAGGACTCCAAGTTCAAAGCCAGCTCCAGCAACTTATCGAGGCCCTAAACAATTTAGGGAGGACTGGAGATGTGGCTCAGTGGTTAAGTGCCGCTGGGTTCAATCCCTGATACCAAAAAAAAAAAACTTGAAACTGATCCTGGTGGGCCACTGGGGGAGGCTAGGGCAGAAGGATCATAAGTTTGAGGCCAGCCTGGACAACTCAGTGAGACCCTGTCTCAAAAATAAAATAAAAAAATTTTAAAAGGGTTGGAAATGCAGCTCATTGGTAGAGTACATTTGCCTAGCATGCAAAGGCCCTGGGTTTAATCCCCAGTAACACCAAAAAAATAAAATAAAATAAAAAAGTTCTTACATCATCATAGCTGTCCTGGAAATTGGGACCCAGTGCCTCAGTTCAGATTGCCAATCACTGCAAGTCTCAGACATATTGGGGAAATGTCTTCCAATTGTCCAACACTCACGCATCAAAAATATGTTCTTGGTTGGACACAGTAGCACACATTTGTAATCCCAGTGACTCAGCAGGCTGAGGCAGGAGGATTGCAAGTTTGAGACCAGCCCCAGCAATTTAGCAAGGTCCTAAGTAACTTAACTAGACCCTTTTGGATCCTTATCCAAAATAAAAAATAAAAAGGGCTGGGGAATGTAGCACAGTGGGTAAGCACTCCTGTTAAATCCCCAGTACCAAAAAAAGGAAAAAAAAAAATTGACAAGATACCATACAGGTGCTCTATCATGTTAGGCTGTCCTAGTATTAGTAATGCTAAGTTGGATTACTTGGTTGTAGTGGTGACACCCAGGTCTCTCCATTATAGAGGAATTTTTCCCCTTTGTAATCAGTAAGTATTCTGTGGGATAAAACTTTAAGTTCATGGAACAACAATCTATCATCCAATAGTTTTAGCATCTACTGATGAGTCTTACATTAATCAATGACTTCATTGTGAATCATGCTCTTAAATTTTTATTCATATGTTGGCCAAAAAAAAAAAATGTTTTCCCCCAAAACTGGGGTTTGAAACCAGGGTACTTTACCATTGAAATAAGTCTCCAACCCCCCCCCCCTGCTCCCTCTTTTTTTTTTTTTTGTGGTGCTAGGGATTGAACCCATGGCTTTGTGCATGTGAGGCAAGCACTCTCCCAACTGAGCTATATGCCCAGCCCCTCCAGCCCTTTGTTATTTTGAGATTGGGTTTTTACTAAGTTTCATAGGGCCTCTGCAACTTAGGGGGCCCCTTTCTCAAATAAAAGACTGGAGATGTACCTGAGTAACATAAAAACATTCCTGGATTCAATCCACAATACAAAAATAAATAATCAGACTGGCCTTGAATTTAGGATTCTCCTTCCTCAGCCTCCCAAGTCACTAGGATTACAGGTGTGCATCACTCTGCCAAACCCAAAATATTTTTTTTAAGAATATATTTCTGGGGCTGGGGATGTGGCTCAAGCGGTAGCACGCTCGCCAGGCATGCGTGTGGCCCGGGTTCAATCCTCAGCACCACATACAAACAAAGATGTTGTGTCTGCCGAGAACTAAAAAATAAATATTAAAAAATCTCTCTCTCTCTCTCTTTAATATAAAAAAAAAAAAAAAAAAATATATATATATATATATATTTCAGGGCTGGGGTACAGCACTTGGCCTAGCATGTGTGAGGCACTAGGCTCGATTCTCAGCACTGCATATAAGTAAATAAAGATCCATTGACAATTAAAAAAAAATATTTTTTTTTTTTCCCTGAGCTAAGTGTGGTGGCACATACATGTAATCCCAGCGACTTGAGTAACTGAGTTAGGAGAATCTTCAATTTGAGGCCAGCCTTAGCAACCCTTGGCCTCAGCAACTTACCAAGACACTGTCTCAAAATAAAATAAAAAGGGCTGGGGATGTAGCTCTATGAGAGAAAACCTGTCTAACATGTATGAGGACCTGAGTTCAATTCCCAGTATCACAAAAATAAGGAAATGAAACCAAATACTTTATTTTCAAATCAAATTAAGGTTACATGGATGAAGGCAGGAGAAAGCTTTGCTGATAATCACTACTTAAGAAGTGTGGCAAGAAAAAAAACCTGCTTAAGGTCTTATAAAACAACTGCAGGGAAGGTTGAAAACAACTGGCTATGAGAAACCATAACAAGGGAAAAATTCAGCATCAGCTCAGAATCAGACCTTTGAAAGCATCTGTTGCTCCTGGAGCACAGTTCTTGTCAGGGTGAAATTTCAGAGCAAGTTTTCTATAAGCTTTCTTAAGCTCTTCGTCACTGGCATTTCGAGAAACTCCCAGAATTTCATAGTAATTTCTGCATTTCTTGATCCTATAAAAAGAGAAATAATCAGAAATATGTTTACAAAGGGCATTTTTATATTATTAGCTGCAAAATAGTACATCAATCCTCCTTCAATCTGTGAGACTCAAAACAGACTTAAAAGAAAATTAGTGAACTCATTAATGAAACATTCAAATCCTCCCATCCAGGCTTTAATGCCTTTCAAAGTACTTTTAAATCTAGTATTTTATTTTCCCTATATTCCTGTGAGTGGATAGAACAAGAATACTAATCCTTACATCAAAGTTCAGGCTCAGATTTTAAGAGATGAACCACTGAATTTCAAAGCCAGAAGAAATAGCTAACTACCCTATTTATTTATTTAGGTCCCTCCTCCCATTTCCCTTATGGCTATCTGTTTAAACTGTGTTTGTAAAAAGTTAATATATACACACAGCAAAAAAAAAATAGCCACCAGTACTAAAGTATATACAATGAAAAATCTTCCTGCTCCCTCATTCCTGGTTCCCTTGTACCCCACCTTAGGGAAAACCACCATTAGATGTTTTTTGTGAATTTTATGTACAGAGAGAATATGCAACTAAACCACCCTATTTTTTCTTGCCTAAAGGAAACATCATCACTTTTTTCATCTTGCAGGGTATTTATTTTTTTTTAAATACTGGGGATTGAATCGAGGGGCACTTTGCCACTGAATTACACCCCTAGCACACTACTCCCCTTTTTTGGTACTGGGAATTAAATCCAGGGGTGCTTAAACCCTGAGCCATATCCTCAGTCTTTTGTATTTTGAGAGAGTCTTGCTAGTTGCTTAGAGCCTCACTAAATTGCTGAGGCTGGCTTCAAACTTACAATCCTCCTGCCTCAGCCTCCTACGTAGCTGAGATTACAGGTATGCACCACTGCATCCAGCTAGAACTTGTAATCCTTTTGCCTCATCCTCCCGAATCACTGGGATTATAGAAGTGAGCCACTGTGTCTGGCTGAAAACAAATATTTAAAAAATAGAGTGATGATATAATTATGCCATATAGGCTTTCAAAAGCTTCCCTGTATAATCATAAGAAAATAAGAGTAAAAAAGAAAAGTAACATGTTTGCATTATAAAAATAGTCTTAAATGTACAGAACACCCTGGAAAGGTCTTGGGAGTTCCCAAGCCATGCTTTGAGAACTACTGGACTAGAATATGAACTTAAGGTCAAAATACTTTGGTTTGAATCTGATCCTCCTGTATATTTAACCTTAGTGCTGCCTTCCAAAATGAACTAAAATTATACTCATATTTCAGAGAGTTAGTGCTATGATTAAATAAAGCATTTATCAAAGTGATTAATAGCATCTAATACTAAACATTAAGTATTGTATATCTACCTCATTCTTTTTTTTTCAATATATATATTTTTAGTTGTAGTTAGACACAATATGTTTATTTTATTTTTACTTGGTGCTGAGGATTGAACCCAGCGCCTTGCAAGTGCTATGTGAGTGTTCTACCACTGAGCCACAACCCTAGCCCCTATACCTCATTCTTTAAAAAAGCATTAGTCAACTGGGTGAGGTGGCACATGCCTGTAATCCCAGCAACTCAGGAAGCTGAGGCAGGAGGATTGAAAATTCAAAGCCAGGCTTAGCAACTTGGTGAGGCACTTAGCTACTCAGTGAGACCCTGTCTCTAAATAAAATACAAAAAATGGGCTAGGGATGTGGCCCAGTGTTAAGCACCCCTGGGTTCAATCCCAGGTACAGAAAAAAAGCATTAATCCATCTTTTTGTATAGTATGGATGCATATACATCCCTAATCACGAGCATTTTTTTTTTTTTTAAAAACACTGTTTTTTTTTTTTTTAATTTACATTTTAGTTTTCAGCAGACACAACATCTTTGTTTGTATGTGGTGCTGAGGATCGAACCCGGGCTGCATCCATGCCAGGGGAGCGCGCCACCACCTGAGCCACATCCCCAGCCCATAATCACGAGCATTTAAAATGCCTCTAATCTTTGGCTACTATATAATTCACTTAGGTATGCAGAGGCCCACAATTTTGTTGAGGAATGCATAGTAAATCAGCAACAGGCTGGACTATAACACAGTATCTTTCCTTCCTTTAGCCCCTGGCAACCACTTATCTACTTTCCATATCTGTAGATTTGCTTATTCCAAATTATTGATTGATTGATTACTAGGGATTGAACCCAGGGCTCCAGATTTCTTTCTTTCTTTCTTTATTTGTTTGTTTGTTTGTTACTGGGGATTGAACCCAGGGTCTTCTACCACTGAGCTTCATCCCCCACCCTTTTTATTTTATTTTGAGATAGGGCCCTGCTAAATTGGCCTCAAACTTGCAATCTTCCTGCTTCAGCCTCCCAAATTGCTAGGATTATACACCTGTGACACCACACCCAGCTATGGCTTTGATGGATAACATTCTTTGAAATATTAATTTTTGAATTCGCATCCTTTGAAGCTTTAGTTCCCCCCCGCCATGTCTGATAATTGAACCCCAGGGCCTCATACATGCTAGGCAAGTACTCTACCCCAAAGCTACATCCCCAGGCCCAAAAGTTTTAAAATTTTGATGAAATCTAATTTATCTATTATTTTTTCTTTTGTCACTTAGGTTTGGTTGTCATATCTAAGAAACCACTCCCTAATCCAATGACATAAAGACTTACATTTATATTTTCTTCTAAGAGTTGTATAGTTTCAGCTTTTATATTTAGGTCTTAAGGTCTTTGAGTTAATTTAAGTATATGGTTCAAGGTAGGAATCCAAGTTCATTCTTTTGCAAGTGGATATCCAGGTGCTCCAACAATATTGTTGAATACTACTCTTTTCTCCATGAGAATGTCTTAGCACTCTTGTCAAAAATGAATGGTCCAAGGGGCTGGAGCTGTGGCTCAGCAGTAGCACACTTGCCTGGCGTGTGTGAGGCACTGGGTTTGAGTCTCAGCACCGCATATAAATAAATAAAATAAAGGTCTATCAACAACTAAAAGAAATATTTTTTAAAAAAATCAGTGGGCTGGGGCTGGGGCTCAGCTGTAGTGTACTTGCCTGGCATGTGTGAGGCACAGGATTCGATTCTCAGCACCACATTTAAATAAATAAAATAAAGGTCTATCAACAACTTAAAAAAAATCAATGGTCCATCTAGGTACAGTGGTGCATGCCTGTAATGCCAATGGCTCAGGAGGTTGAGGCAGGAGGATCTAGAGTTCAAAGCCAGCCTCAGCAACAGTGAGGCACTAAGCAACTCAGTGAAACCTTAAATAAAATACAAAAAGGGCTGGAGATGTGACTCAGTGGTTGAGTACCGCCCCACCCCCCCACCCCCACCAAATCAATATGAAAGTTTATTTCTGGACTCTCAATTCTATTCCATTGATGTATATGTCTCTTTTTATATCAGTCTGCATGGTCTTCATTATTGTAGCTTTGTGCTAAGATTTGAATCAGGAAGCATATGTCCTTCAATTTCATTCCACTTTTTCAAAATAGTTTTGTCTGTTCTGGGTCCCTTGCATTTCCTTATGAATTTTAGAATCAGTTTGTCAATTTTCTCAATAAAATACAGATAGAGCTGGGTGTGGTGGCACCCCTGTAATCCCAGCTTTTCAGGAGGCAGAGGCAGAAGGATTGCAAATTCAAGGCTAGCCTGGGCAATTTAGTGAGACTCCACCTCAAAAAAAAAAATATTTTAAAAGGGACTGGGGATGTAGCACAGCGGTAGAATTCTTGCTTAGTAAATGTGTGAGTCCCTGGGTTCAATCCCCATCCCCAATACTACCAAAAACAAAAATTAAAAAAGACAGCTAGGGGCTGGAGTTGTAGCGTTGCTTCACATGTGTGAGGCACTGGGTTTGATTCTCAGCACTGTGTATAAATAAGCAAATAAAGTAAGGGTCCATCAATAACTCAAACATATTTAAAAAAAACAGCACAGCTAGGATTTTGATAGGAATTATATTGAATCTGTAAATCAATTTGAGGAATATTATATTATCAAAATTTTATTTCGGTATTGGGAATTAAACCCAGGGCACTTAACCAACTGAGCCACATTTCCAGCCCTTTTTAATTGTTTGTTGGTTTGTTTGTTCATTTATTTATTTCTTGAAACAGAGTCTCACTAAGAGCATAGGACCTTGCTAAGTTGCTGAGGCTGGCTGGCTTTGACTTGAGATCCTCCTGCATCAGTCTCCAGACCTGCTAGGATTATAGATGTGAGCCATGGCGCTTATCTTCATATTACCAATGCTAAGCCTTCTAATTTCTGAAAATATATCTTCTACTTTATTGAGGTCTTCTTTAATTTCTTTAATGAAGTCTTATAGTTCATAATGTACAAGTCTTATATATCTATTTATTTATTTATTTTATTTAAAGTTTTTAGTACAGGGGATGAACCCAGGGTACTCCACCACTGAGCTACACCCCAGCCCTTTTTTTAAATTTCAAGACAGGGTCTTGCTAAGTTGTGTAGGGCCACACCACATTGCTGAAGCTGACCTCAAACCTTTGATCCTCCTGCTTTAGCCTTCCAAATTGCTGGAATTGGAGGTGTGCACCACCATTCCTGGCCAGCATTTTGGTTTTTTTTTATGCATTTATAAATGAAATTATTTTAACTTAATTTTTAGATTATTTATTGCCAGTATATAAAAAACAATTAATTTTGCATATTGATCTTATATCTTAACACCTTTGCTTAACTTATTAGTTCTAATAGTATTTTTGTGTGTATGCAATTCCTTAGGATTCCTATATACAAGATATTGTTATCTACAGACATAATTTTACTGTTCATTCCAATTTGGTTGGCTTTTATTTCTTTTTCTTGCTTAAATGCCCTGGCCTGTACCTCTAAAAAAAAGCTGAATAGAAGTGGTAAGGGGTAGATCTTACCTGTCTTTTTTCTTAATCATGGTGGGAAAACAGAGATTTTTAACATTAAATATAATATTGCTATGGATTTTTTGTAGATGACTGTTATCATATTGAGGAAGTTCTCTTCTAGTTCATATGAGAGCTTTTATCATGTCAAATGCTTTTGTGTTTGTGTGGGAAGTGGAGTACTAGGAAATGGACCCAGAATCTTACATATACTAGGCAAGCACTCTATTTGTGAGCTACATTCCCTTAGGGAGACAGGATCTCCCTAAATTGTACAGTTTAAGTAGCTTCAAACTTGCAATTCTCCTCCCTCGGCCTCCTGAGTAGCTTGGATCACAGGAATGCACCACCATACCTAGTCTGTCAAATATTTTTTTCTGTAACTATTGAAATGAGTGTGCATTTTTTTTTTGGTTGTTTATTCTATTAACAGTATATTACACTGATTGATTTTTGTGTTATGTAATGTTTCTAAACAGAGATGAATTCCAGTTGGTCAAGGTGCATAATTCTTTTTACAAAATGCTGCATTTGGCTTGCTAGTATTTTATTAAAGATTTCTGGAACTATATCTAAAGGGATAATGGTTAATAGATTTGCTTTCTTTCCTTTTTTTCCCCTTTTGTGGTGGGGATAAAACCAAGAGCCTCATGTGTGTTAGACAAGGGTTCTATCACTGAGCTATACCCTCAGCCCCAGTGGTTTTATTTGTGTGTGTGTGTGTGTGTGTGTTTTGTCTGGTTTGGGTAACATTAGCCTTACAGAATGAGTTTGGAAGTATTAACTTCATTCATAATTTTTTTGTAAGAGTTTATGAAGGATTAATTCTTCAAATGTTTGGTAGAACTGGATGTGGTTGCACACACCTGTAATCCCATAGACTTGGGAAGCTGAGGTGGAGGATTACAAGTTCAAGACCAGCCTCAGCAATTTAGTGGTTAGGAATTTAGTGAGATGCTGTTTCAAAATAAAAAATAAAAAGGACTAAGGATATGGCTTAGTGGTTAAGCACCACTAAATTTAATCCCTAGTACTAATAAATAAATAAATAATGTTTGGTAGAATTACCAGTGAAGTCAGCTGAATTCAAGGCCTCACACATGATAATTCCCAGCTCATTTTATTTTTTATTTTGAGACAAGGTCTCACTAAGTTGCACAAGCTGGCCTTGAACTTGTGATCTTCCTGCCTCAGCCTCCCAAGTAGCTGGAATTATAGGCATGTACCACTACACCAAGCTAATTTTTCTAATTTTTAAAAAAATACATACTAACCAATATTCATCATATAAATTAACAGGTTTCACAATGACATTTTCTTTCTTTCTTTCTTTTTGTGGTACTGGAGATAAAACCCAGAGGTGTTTTAACACTGAGCTATACCCCCAGCCCTTTTTATTTTGAGACAGGGTCTCAATAAGTTGCTGAGACTACCCTCAAACTTGTGATCCTACTGTCTTAGCCTCCTGAGTTGCTGGATACATAGGCATGCACCACCAGACCTGGCTCACTGTGACGTTTTTCATACATGCACATATTGTGTTTTAATAGTGCCCACCCTTCCTGGCACCCTCTCCTCCATTATTTCTCAATCCAGACAGAAGAATTTGTGTATTTCATCTAGGTTATCTAATTTGTTGTTCATAGTATTCTCTTATAATCCTTTTTAGCCGGGAGTGGTGGTGCTCACCTCTAATCCCAGTGACTCAGGAGGCTCAGGCAGGAGGACTGAAGGTTCAAAGCTAGCCTCAGCAATTTAGTGAGGCTGTAAGCAACCTAGTGAGACCCTGTCTCAAAATAAAGAAATAAAAAGGGTTGGGGATGTGGCTCAATGGTTAAGTGCCCTTGGGTTCAATCCCTGGTACAAAAAAAAAAAAAAAAAATCCTTTTTATTTTTGTAGTAGTAGTGATGTCCCCTGTTTTATTACTGATTTTAGTTATTTGAGCCATCTCTCTTTTTTTCTTGGCCAGTCTATCCAAAGATGTGTCAATTTTGTTGATATTTTCAAAGAACTACCTCTTGATTTTATTGACTTTCTCTATTGTTTTTCCATTCTCTACTTCATTTATTTCTATGTTACATTATTCTATTTATCCTGCTTGTGTGTGTTTACTTTGTTCTGTTTCTAGTTTCTTAAGGTAGAAGATTAGGTTACTGATTTATGGTCTTTTTTTTTTTTTAATATTGTTTTTTTTTTCTTTTTAAGGAGAGAGAGAGAGAGAGAGAATTTTTTAATATTTATTTTTTAGTTCTCAGCGGACACAACATCTTTGTTTGTATGTGGTGCTGAGGATCGAACCCGGGCCGCTCGCATGCCAGGCGAGCGCGCTACCGCTTGAGCCACATCCCCAGCCCCGATTTATGGTCTTTTTAAAAAAACACATAAGTAGGGGCTGGGGTTGTGGCTCAGCAGTAGAGCGCTCACCTAGCACATTCTAGGACCTGGGTTCGATCCTCAGCACCACATAAAAGTAAAAAAAAATAAATAAATAAAGGTATTGTGTCCAACTGCAACTCAAAAACAAAACAAAACTCATAATTTTATAGTCATAAATTTCCTTGTAAGCAGTATTTCAGTTGCATCCCATAGTTTTGGTATATTGTATTTTCATTTTCATTCACCTTAAAGCATTTTCTAGGGGCTGGGTGTGTAGCTCAGTGGTACAACATGCCTAGCATGCTCAAGACCTTGGGTTCAATCCCTAGTACCACAACCCCCCCAAAAAAGGGATTTTTTTAATCTGCCATGACATAATTGTTTTTGGGGACTTTGTGGTTTAATTTCCACTGGTTGTAAGTATACCAAATTTCCTTTTGTTATTAATTTCACAGCATATACACTGTATGATTTCTTTCTTTCTTTTTTCCTTTTTTTTTTGCACCAGGAATTGACCCAGGGGCACTCAACCACAGATCCTCCTGCCTCTGCCTCCTGAGCAACCGGGATTACAGGTATGCATCGCACCACCATGAAATCATGGCTTATGATTTCAATCTTTTAACATTTATCGAGATTTGTTTTGACCTAAGATATGGTCCATTCCGAAGAATATCCTATGTATCCTTGAAAAGAATGTGTATTCTCTGGTCGTTAGATAAAATGTTCTAACAGATATCTGTAATGTCTAGCTGGTTTCCTCTGCCTCTCTTAAAGCCATAGCAGGGCAGACAGCTCACATTATACCCGATATTCAATATTCCTCTTCTACCCAGTCTTTCCTATGAGGTCAAGAAGCTATTGTGCTTTAAAAATAGAAGTAATAATGTCAATACTTACACAGCACATCCTTTGTGCCAGGCATTCTTCTAAGCACTTTACATACAATCATTCATTTCATCTCACCACATGCTTACCTTTGTACCCCAAGCAGTTGTTCCTCAGTATAAGTGGAGCTCCCTTCACCCTGTCGGTTCTGATTCCACTCATTCTCGCACTTCTTTTCCTTCTGTGCCTTCATGCAGTTACAGCAACCACAGGGGTCATGACTCTCAGGAGGTTTGTCTTCTGGGTATTTGTTTCTTCTAACTGCATCAATGTAAGCTGCAAAGTAATAGCTTCTTAATAAGGCCTCTGCCTGACTCTGCAAATCAACTTTGCTATATGCCTTAACTCTCTTAGAGGTTGCTTGGAGACAAGAGAAGGAAGGTATTAGGAAGAGGCAAAGGACATTATGTGGACTTTTTTTTTTTTTTGCAGGGGAGTGGTCCTAGGGAGTAAACCTAGGGCCTTGAGCACGCTAGGCAAATGCTTTATTATAAGCTATATACCCATCATGATGACTTTTGAGTATCTATACAAAGCTGAATAAACATCTTTCCTAGAAAACTATTACAGAAAATATGAGAAAGCAGCTAAGAAAAACTTAGAAATGCTAGAAATATGAAGGACAGCCTATATTCCCAGCAACTTGGGAGTCTGCAGGAGGATCACGAGTTCCAGGCTAGCCTCTGCAACTTAGTGAGACCCTGCCTTAAAATAAAAAGGGCAGGGCTGGGGCTGGGGCTCAGGGGTAGCACATTTGCCTGGCATGTGTGAGGCACTGGGTACGATTCTCAGAACCACATATGAATAAGTAAAATAAAGGTCTATCAACAACTAAAAAGTAAATAAATAAATAGGGCTGTGGATGTAGGCCAGTAATAAAGTACCCCTGGATTCAATCCCCAGTACTACAAAGGGAAAAAGAAGAACAAAGAAAAGAAACATGAAGTATAGAAAGTCTACCATACTTAACAATGGTCAATCATCAAATAAAGTCAGAAAAGGGGCATCTACTCAAAACCCTGCTTCTAGTGCAATACAGGGGGAAATTTATTTCTCTCTGCTCCATGGTCAGAAGCAACATTGCTCAGAAAATGAAACTTTTTTTGCAATGCCTCTTACTCCTAAGATTTAAAGTAAAGAGAAACTCAATTATTTTAAACTAACAATTATACATACAAAGAAACTTGGCTAGATAGTTCAGGGGGGAATGTAGGAGTAAGACCTACTCCTAACCACAAAGAGGTTAGTTTAATAGGAGAGGATTCAATAAATCATAACACCAGCAGAATGTAAAGAGAGTTTCATGAATTCAAAGAGAGCAGAGCCTCATGTCTTGTCTGGAGAATCGGGGAAAGGCTTTAAAAACATCATTTCCTGCTTAACATCCTTCAGTGACTACCCACTGCTCCCTGACACTCCTCCTATAAGTGGGCCTAACTCCAATGAATCCTTCATACCATCATTTGTAACATTTACTTCAAGAAGCCTCCCTTGACACTCAGGGCTGTGCTGGGCCTTATCAGTGTGCTTCAAACCCTCAACCTTGCTATGTTAGCCCAAGGCTTACTGGGCTTGTTTTGTAATTAGTTGATAACCCTTCAAACTCTCTCATTGAGCCTACAGTTCTGTTGGCTCAGAGGCCCATGTCTGTCAAATCCCCATTATAGGTTCAACACAGTAAGTAATGGATCAATACTTTTTGCTTGGCTATAGGATGGAAAAGGGCAGCCTATAGGTCCTGATTCATATTGCAGGGGCAAGATCAAACCAGGACTGAGGGTCGTGCGGCCCAGTTTGATGGGGTAATAGATAAGGTTAAGATAGCAAGCTGCAGGAGACCGCAGCACCCGGGGGACCCTCCAGTTACCCCGGTGAAGGAGGGGCAGGATGGCTGCGGGGGCCCTGGGCGGGGCACGGGGCAGGGCGGGGCTGGGGGCCGGAGGCAACAAATCGTCACCGGTGACTCTAAGTTCCCGCCAGGGCCCTAGCTCGGGCCAGAGTTCCCGTTCCGGGATTCTGGCCTGTATCCTGGGCGGTCCTCCACCCTTTTCGGAATGCTACTTAAGCTTAGCATCTTCTTACAGGCCTCCATCCTTCACCTCGAGCTCAGGATCCCAACCTTTATGCTCTTTCAGGAGCCCCATCCCTGATTTCTCCGGAATGCCACCTTATCCCACCCTCAAGCCAGGACCTGGTACCTTCGGTCCAGCGCTCCCCGCTGCCCAGAGTGGCCGCCATATCCTTTTCCAGTCAGCAGATGCTTGGAGCCTCCTGGGCGTCCGAGGCTGAAAGAGAAGGGGGGCATGGAGCGCGGGGCACGCTGGTCATTGTAGTTGTCTGTGTGGGCTACAAGGGACACGGGACTACAATTCCCGGCAGGCCTCACGAGAAAGGTCTGCGGAGGTGCAGATAGACCGAGGGGCTCGACCCAGAGAATAGCCGCGGGTGCGGCTGAACGACCACTGCGCAGCTACCGACACTTCCTCACCTGTAGAGAGCGAGTAGCGGCTTCTGCCCTGCCTCTACCTCAGTGCATCCAAGGAGGCGCAACTGAGCGTCCTGCCTGCGAAGAGCTTCGTAATCTATAGGGTAGAGGGTGACAATTTGACTCTACTCTTCAGGATGTCCTTTTTAAAATACACCAATTCCTGTTCAGTGTGAAGTCTGTGTTGGGCCCCAGAGATTCAGAGATGGTTTGTGGGGTGCACACTCCAGTTCTGGGGAGCTTAAGAGCCACGAAATTAGAATTAGAAAAATGAAGTAGAAACGCGCTTGTAGTTGTAGATGGACAGCGTACCTTTATTTTATTTGTTTATTTTTACGTGGTGCTAATGATCGAACCCAGTGCTCAAGACTTTTCTCCCACGCAGGCGTTTCTTTGGCCGGTTCCTTTTCTGAAGTACCAAATCTGGTGCTGAGGATCAAACCCAGGGCCTCACACGTAATCCCAGCTACTGCAGAGGCTAAAGCAGGAGGATTGCAAGTTCAAGGCCGGCTTCAATTTAGTGAGGCCCTAAGCAATTTAGCAAGACCCCTGTCTCAAAAAATTAAAAAAAGGCTGGGGATGAGGTTCAGCGTTTAAGCGCCCATGTGTTCAATCCCTGGTACCAAAAAACATAAACAACACAACAACAACAAAGATAAACGAATAAAATTTTTAAAAAGGGCTGGGATGTGACTCAGTGGTAAAGCAAGTGGGTTCAATCCCCAGGAGAGAGAGAGAGAGAGAGAGAGGCGCTAGGGTTGTGGCTCAGCAGTAGAGCACTCGCCTAGCACATGCGAGGCCCTGGGTTCGATCCTCAGCACCACATAAAAATAAATAAATAAAACAAAGGTATTGTGTCCGACTACAACTAAAAAATAAATATGAGAGAGAGAGAGAGAAAGAAGGAAAGAAAAAAAGAAAAAGGTCTGGATGGCTCTACTGGCTACAGTATCCTCATTCACTGACTCATGCATGCAGGAAGATGTGGGTGGGTTGGAATGTCCAAAGATCAGATCTAGGAAATGGCAAAACTGTCATCTCAAAAACAAACAAAAATACACCTGAAAAAAACTGGAATTCATTCAGAGCTTCACCCAAGAAGACTAAATCAATTATGATAGCAGCAGCAACTTAGGCTTTTGGGGGAGTGGGGTAGGTGTGGTGATGATGGATAACCCTGGACAGGAACTGGAAGAGGAAAAGTCCCAAATGGCATGCAATTCCAGCAATTCCCTGCAACAAATCATTGTGTGGCCCTGGCCAACTCCCTTCTTCTCCTTTGGCCTCAGTTTTCTTACCTGTAAGATTATTTCCACCTTATAGAATTTTTTGGATGGGAATTATATTGGGGTTTGAACCCAAGTCCTCACATACATCTCACCTATGAGGTTAGATTAGATTAGATTGGTGGTTTTAATTTTATCTATCTATCTATCTATCTATCTATCTTATTTTGCAGTGCAGGAGATTGAACCTAGAGCCTTGCAGTACTGGATAAGTGCTCTACCACTGAGCTACATCCCCAATCCTGTCTCTGGGATCTTATATGGAGAGTGGGAAGGGGAAGGAAGGCACATCAGGGAAGGCTCTAGCATCTTACCTTTCTTTGCTTCTTCAATCAAAGTAGCTCTGCTTTTTTCTGGCTTACATTTTGTGGTCTACTAAAGGAAAAAAAAAACCCACTATTTGAAAACTACCAAACTAATTGACCACTAAGTGCTTGTGTCATTTGTAGCATCAATTACAAAACAAGTCCTTAAGATAGTGCTCTGCAGTGCCCCCAATCCCAATAAGCACTGATATTGGATCATTTTCATTTGACTGAGCAGGGAGAATTAGCAGAGTTGTTGAGAGATCTGAATAAGATTGTTATAGAATATAATAAGAGTGTTTGTATTTAGTATCTTATATTGCATGTAGTATGTGTTTAATACATTGTAGCCAACCATTATGAACTAGCTTGGTGAAAGAGAAACATTTGTGTGTGTTTGTGTGTGGTTCTGGGGGTTGAATCCAGGACCTCATATATGATAGTAGATGCTCTACCACTGAGCTACTTCCCCAGCCCATTTGGGGGGGGGGGTAGGGGATACTGGAGATTGAAGCAGGAGCACTTGACCACTGAGCCTCATCCTCAGCCCTATTTTATATTTTTTGTTTAGAGACAGGGTCTCACTGAGTTGCTTAGTGCTTCACTTTTGTTGAGGCTGGCTTTGAACTCACAATAATCCTACCTCAGCATCTAGAGCCTCTGGGATTACAAGTGTGAGCCGAGCCCTAGCCCCTTTTTAAATTTTATTTTGAGATAGGGCTTCACTAAGTTGTCCAGGCTGGCCTCAAACTTATGATCCTCATGCCTCAGCCTCCTGAGTAGCTTGGATTACAGGTGTGTGTGCCACTGTGCCCAGCAAGAAATCATTTTTTTGTATGTGTTTTGTTATAGCAAATTAACAGTAGGGATGTAGGGTTGGGGTTGTGGCTCAGTGGTACAGTGCTCACCTAACACAGGTGAGGTACTGGATTTGATCCTCAATACCACCTAAAAATAAATAAATAAAGTCATTGTGTCCATCTACAACTAAAGAAGAATATTTTTAAAAATGTAGGAGTGTATACTGGGCATGTCTATACTGGAGTATGTCATAAGGTCATGGTTATGACTAACTGGACTCCCGAGCATATATATGTGGCAAAATTACTACAAGCAGGAAAGAAGCATAACACTACCAAGAATGGAGGGAAAGCTGCTTTTCCCTTCACCCTAACCCCTGAACCAGCAGCCAAAACCAGTGATTATCCCATATTTCAGAAAGAGCAGAAGATGACAAAAATATGAGAAGAAACGTCCATCACAATTAGATTGTTATACTCTTGAGTGGCAAGGGAGGCACCCAAACCATAAGATGAGTCAAAGGCTCTATGCTGGGACCGTGGGCCTATGACCAGCTTATATATTCCAGGCAGCAGTGTGATTACAGAAATCTAGATCCTGAAGGAGCTACTTGTGATCTGTGGCTCAGGAACCTAATCAGTAACATCCAGCAGGTGGTTGTATATAAGGAAGTTTTTTTTTGGTTCTGGGAGGGTAGACAGCCTGCTCGAGAAGATGGCCAGCTGAGATGGACTGCAACTTGGAGCCAGAATCACATGGTTAAAGTCTACAGGTACTCAGAGATGTCTCAATATCATGAAGTCATGGGTATTTGGCTGAGAGGGGGAGTGCAGGATTGAGAAGGGGTACCATGAATAAAGAAACTAGTTAGGAGCAGAATCCAGGTAATGGAAAGGCTGGGTATAGTGGTACACACCTGTAATTCCAGGTACTGGGAAAGCTGAGGCAGGAGGATTGCAAGTTTTGGCTGTTCTGGCAACTTAGTGAGACCCTGTCTCAAAATAAAAAGTCCTGGGAATATAGCTCAGTGGTAGAGCACTTTCCTAGCATATGCAAAGCCCTGGGTTTAACCCCTAATAATAAAATAAAAAGGAGGATATCCACAAACCCAGGAAAGACTGGTAAAATGAGTCATAAATGTTTTCCGACAGATTCACATAGAATGTTTTAGGAATAGCCTGATTTTGGGAAATTGTGTGCCAAAGTTAGGACAAGGAGGCCTGCAGCCAGGTTTTCCCATTTTCTACACTTACTTTAAAAAAATACTTGTTGAATTGTAGTGAATTTTTCCTGTTGATCCAGAGGTTTTCGATGTGCCCTGTAAGACTGAGTTCTGCCCCATCCAGGCCTGAAAGAAAGATACTGGGAAAATAGTCCTCCCGTCCATGGGGCCTGTGTGCCTGAGCTGGTGTATTGGTTGCCCTCCCATAGGATTGGGGAATAAATGAGAGGACACTTTACATAAATCTCCCCACCCCACCACTTGCTCCTGCTTTAGGACCATGTAGTCCTATATCAGAAAAGGGAGGAAGTCATTTGTAAATGGCCACCATCCTGTTGTCTAGACAACAAGGAGGAGATGTGGTCTTAGGGAAGCTGCAAGGGCAGCAGAAAGCTACACTCGGATTTCCTGTCAGAGGTGGGGTCTTGTATTTGCATAAATAAAAGTATCCTCCCAAATAACCCCCTCTAACATAGTTTGCTCAAGAGCAGAATTCAGCATTGAGTTCATCCTCAACCCCTTCCCAAAGTATAAAGTTTACTTAGCAGCAGGAAAATCAACATGGCTAATGTGGTACTGCAGTGTCAGCAGTAGGGTAAGAGCCTTTTAAACCCAAAGATATTAATACCAGTTCACCCCTTCTCCCACACATATAAATACCTTATGACTAACAGCTCATATTTGCAGGACATTGTCCAGAGTCAGGAGAAATCTGTGGCCTTATAATGGAGACGCTGACTGAATTATCTAGAGTGAGACCCACACACTTGACCAATTAGTTCAGTATGCTAAGCATTTGAATAAGTGCCCTAAACAGAATCCAAGACTTTTTTATACATTGTTATGTCACCTGGAGGGTTCTATCCCAGTGATAGATTTTTGTATTGGAACTGACTAGTAAGTCATGTGCCTTTTGCAGTGTGGTATAAATCAAATGTATGTGAATTTTTTTTTTAAAAATGCTGTAGTATTGCTACATAGGTTGGATTCTCTAGGAAATGACTGAAATGCTGAGATTTGCCTACTGAGGGTTTATTGGTGATGCTTCTGAAAACTACAGTTGTGAAGAGTAAGAGGAGCAGGATTGAGCAGGGGGGAAAATTGAGGCAAGGGGTCCAGGTTTTCATCCCTTCCCTCATCCCCACCAGCCAGCCATCAAGCAGCCAAAAGCTCTCTGTGGCCAGCACACTGCTGCAATTGGGGAACAAATATCTTAGTCCTGAAGTGGGACCTGGGTGGTACTGCTTTAGACTGTCTGCTACAATTGCTGATGAGTACTTTACTTCCCAAGTATCTCCACTTGTTATTTCATTTTACCTACCCAGTAGCTTGTGAGGAGAGAAGGAATTCCTGAGAATGTTAAAAACTTGCCAGTGACACCTAGGTCGTGTCTCTGGCTCCCACCAGAGTAAACTCTGCTCAACAGATTCATTTCATTCATTCATTCATTTTTTTTTTTCTTAGATCTAGAGTTCACAGAACTGTGGGATATAAAACAAAAGAAGTTAGTGAAAGCCAAGTAGTCCAGCCACCTCACTTTATTATTTATTTTTGGTGCTAACGATTGAACTTACAGCCTTGTACATGCAAAGCAGATGCTGTACCACTGAGCTACACACCTTCAGTCCCCAACAAGCTCTCTTTTGTATCTCCCTCTACCCTCCCTCAACCTCCCGAGCCACTGAGACAATAGGTGTGTGCCACCGTGCCTAGCCCACTTTAATAGTTTTTTGGAGGGGTTTTGGGCACTAGGGATCGAATCCAGTGGCACCTTACTGAGCTACACCCCCTGTCCTTTTTATTTTTTATTTTGACACAGGGCCTTGCTAACTTGATGAGGGCCTATATGAATTGCTGAGGCTGACTTTGAACTTGCAATTCTTCTGCCTCAGCCTCCTGAGTTCCTGGGATTATAGGCATGTACCACCATGCCTAGTATTTTATAGTTTAACTGAGACAAATAAAACAAAACTTTTTGTTGTAGACATTCTGTCTCATACCACTTTATGAAGTCAAAGCCAGAAGAAAATAGCATACTGTTCCTGCAGGTGAGTAAGCTCCATTCTCCCTGTGTCCTAAACTGCTTATTAGCAGTAGATTAGATACACACAGATGACTTCTCTTGATTCATTTCCAAACCAATGACATGGTAGACATGACTATTACTAAGAAAACAGATATTTCCTTTCTTTTTAATGACTTCACAGTATGTCTGCAATCCTTTATTATGTTTCTAGGACACAAACACAATGTCAGTCAAAGGTCAAATGTGTGGGTTTTTGGTCCTTAAAGACCTATCCTTGAAGTAAATCTTCCCAGTGCTCATCTCATGCTCAGAGCCAAAATGAAGTGTATCCATGCTGGCAGAGGACACTTGAATTTCATTCAGCTTTCACTCCTGGAGTTTCTTAGTCAAAATGGATTGTGCTTCCCTTGTTTTTATTCTACAGATTTAAAACTTTGTATTGCCTGGGCTGAGAATGTGGCTCAGTGGTAAGGTGATTGTTCAATCCCCAGCACTTCAAAAAACCTTTTTATTGGTGATGATTGGTCTCTGTTTACAGTCCCTTGTGTCTCATTTCTGTTGAGTAGGTCAGTCAGTTACCTCAACCCCACTTAATAAAATAGGTGAACAGAGGCAGACTGAATAAAAAGTTCCTCTCCCACATTTCTCAGAGAGCTTCCCACAGAAGCAGAAAGAGGTATGAATGCTTGGCCTAGTAAAGAAAGCTGGAAAGCTTCTGGAATGTTAAAAAATGTACAAGGGAGACAGGCATGGTGGTGCACACTTGTAATCCCAGCAACTCAGGAGGCTGATACAGGAGGATTACAAGTTCAAGGCCAGCCAGGGCAATTTAGGGAGATCCTGTCTCAAAACACAAAAAGGACTGGGGATGTAGCTCAGTGATAAAGTGCTTGAAAGTATGAGGTCCTGTATTTGTACCACACACACAAAGAGGAAGAAATGTGCATAGAAACATAGACCTTAAAAGAAATTAGACTGCAGACTAGAAAATAATTTTAATGCAAGTATAAAGGATCAGTCCACTGCGGTATTTTTCCTTCTTCTTGCTTTATAGGCTACTCCTTCGTATGACTCTAGAAAGAAGAGGACCAGGCCATATTTCTGTCTGTGTGGGAAGCAGTCTCTCATGCTGGAAGCTTGCTGCCATATCTGGAGGAGTGCCAGTGTCCTTTAGATCCAGGAGCAGACACAAAACAATAAAATAATTTATATATGGTTTATTGCCTCTATCAATTTCATCTCTTCCTCCTTATAGTCATGGAACAGCTGCATCATCCTTGGACCCATGGGGACCAAAGTCACTTTTAAAGAACCTGCAAAATGAATACATAATGAGGAAGGGTGAACTTCTTAGGAAGGGGAGGGTAGGGGAAAGGGCAGAAGAACATGGGTCTTTGGAAGTATTTCCTTGCTGACCAAGAACCAGAGCCTGAAAATAGGAGCAGGAGGAGGGAAAGATGAATTTGGAGAAGGAAGGAAATAGATGAATGTACCTTCTCTGCTGAGGGGCAGCCTTTGCTGTTATTCATGTTGATATTCTTCATGGAGATGAGGGTGATGCTGTCTTTTTCTCCATTGGCTGTGGAGCAGCTGGGGCAGGAAGGAAGTTTGTGTTACAGAAAGAAGCTGGAAGGGCAATGAGAGGCAAGGAACCCAGCAGGGGTGCGGGGGGGGGGGGGGCTTCAAAAACATCTATATTTAGGGGGTGCACCATAGTGAACCAAGAGTGAGCTTTGAGGGGCTGGCATTGTGGCTCAGAGGTAGAGCGCTTGCCTAGCATGCGCGGGGCCCTGGGTTCAATCCTCAGCACCATGTAAAACTAAATGAATGGAATAAAGGTATTGTTTCCAACTACAACTAAAAAATAAATAATTTTTTTTTAAAAGAGTGAGCTTTGAAGCTTCAAAGACTTGCATTTACTACCCATTACTGATTTGATCTTGATCAAGTTACAACTTCCCTACAGCCTCAATTTTTAAATTTTATTTTTTATATTTGGTATTGGAGATTGGACCCAGGGCACTCTACGACTGAGATACACCCCCAGCCCTTTTATTTTTTAAATTTGAGACAGGGTCTTGCTAAATTGCTGCCTCAACCTCCCAAGTAGCTCAGATTTTAGGAATGTGCCACCACAGCTGAAACCCTCAGTTTTTTAATTATATAAAATGAAGTTACATTTACCTTGGAGAATTGTTGAAAGGATTTGAGCTCATATTGCACATTACATACTATTACGAGTGGCCCAGTCAATAAAAGTTTCCTAAACTTAGAAGAGAGGTCTTATCTTAGAATCTGCATTCCTATAATTATCATTAAGGGCTTAGCCCTGGAGCTGAAGAGTTCCTTGGGGTGGGGAGGCAGGCGTGGCATTTGCCTGGAATCCCAGCAGGTTAGGAGGATGAGACAGCAGTATCACAGGTTCAAAGCCAGCCTTAGCAATTTAGCGACGCCCTAAGAAACTTAGGGAGACCCTGTCTCAAAATAAAACATAAAAAGGACTGGGGACAGGGCTCAGTGGTTAAGCACTGGGTTCAATTCCTGGTATCAAATAAGAAGAGTTCCCATCCATCTCGTGTCACTTGGTTGTTTCTTTTCAGGTCCGCCACTGGCCTTCCTACACCTACCCCCGGCCTCAGTAAAGGCGGCAGGATTATGGTGTGTGTGTGTCAGTGGTGTGTGATGTATGATTTGTATGGTGAGTATGTATGGGGTGTATATATATGTGTGAGGTGTACGTGATGTGTGGTGTGTGATGTGGGGTGTGTGTGTGTGTGTGCACGCATGTGTGTGTGAGGCAGGAAGTGTTTTCCTTTTGGAGTAGAGAAAAAGGGGGTCAGATAGAAGATGCCTCCCTTGAACTTCTGACAGTCTTACCTTTCAGATAGTCCTGAACTCCCTGGTTTCTGGGGATCTGTAAAAATGCAAGGACATACATTAGGGTCACTTGCTATAATTCAGAATTTCAGCCTTCCCCTCAAAGCCCCCCCAAGGGGATCTTTCCAACTCATCCATGGGGCTTATAGGCTTGTGCCATTCCTTCCCTCAGCCTGAACTGGGTGTCCACCTTGGCCTTGGGCTCCAGGTCCCCCAGCACAGGGGAAAGACATATACCTTCTGACTCCTTGTTCTTCCGACACTTAAACCTTAGACTGACCACACCGACTAGGATGATCACCACAACCACCAAGATGACAATGAAGCTGATCACACCTGAACAGGGAAAAGAATGGGGTTAAGGAAAGATGATGACAGGGGACAAGAGGGGGCAACAAGAGTCCAGAATACCCTTCCTGGCTAAGTACTATATAGACAGGCTCAGGGAACAAAGTGAATTTCACTTCTCTGCTGAACAAATGAGCTATCAGCCTGCTGTCCCTGGCTGGAGTGGGCTTTACAGCCTAGCTCCCTCCTGTCATAAGAACATGGAGTCCAGCACAGCCAAAAAGAGCTGGCTAGAGGGCCAATGGAACCTTTCTTCCATCAGTGCCTTGTTCATAAGCCAGTCCCTCCTGGAACAAACGGGTAAGATTTGAACTTGTGTGCTCAGACCCAGATCCTATCCCCACGTCCTAATCTTCCTTTCTCACCAAAGGCAGCCACAGTGAGCACAGTTGCTAATGTGGGGCTAGGCAGGATGGTCAAGTCTTCCATCATACTTGAGTCCATGGTGACTGAATTAGAAGTATCATTTTGAGATGTTTCTGAAACAGAGTGGGTTTGATGTATCAGTGAAGGGTGCTGACACAGCCACCAAAGACAGCTAGCTTCTCTCCTGCTCCCCATATACAAGGCTACAGAGCCACACCCTACAAGACTTCCTTGCCACTCTGGCCAGATCTCATGGGGATAGAGGTTGGAAATGTGGACTGTGAAGATGTGGGCTCATCTGAACAGCACTGCTAGTTGCTCACGTTACTGGTTTCAGAGGATTCCAGAAGGTTCAGGATGTTTTCCACTACTCTTTGGAGCCCACAGGAAAAGGATTTATGCTTTAGAGCTAGGAAGCCAGATCAGGCTAAGTAGAGTTGTCTGTGTTTTGCCAAGGATTGGAGATGATTCAACAAATTGGGTTGTCAGTTAAGGAGACAGTACAGGTGTTGGGCCCTCTTAAAAAGTGGCATGTCACTCCACTCCTCCCCTGTTCAACTAATTGTATCTCAGGCCAGACTGCTGTTCCATTTCCTTATCTCTCCTCACCCCCCCTCCCAAATAAGTCTGGAGAGTAAACTATCCAAGAGCCAAGGGACAGCTTGAGAGAAAGGGCCACAAGACATCTCCAACCCCCCTCTTTGCCATGTAGGACATACCTCCCCTTGCGCTGCTGCCTCCTCCGCCACTGCTGCTACTGCTGTGTGGAGCTCCAGTGCCTGTGCGGGAAACAGGTGGCCACAACAGAGGGTGTCCACCCTCCCCAGCCTTGTCTGAGAAGCATGGCCTTTCTCCACCTTTTCTGCCCTCCAGCCCCTTCTTCTCTTCATCTATGCCTTTCTTGGTCCCAGGTCCAGTCTCATTTTGCCTTCTCTGTGGCCAGGCCTAACTTCCTGTCTCAACTCCTCTCCAATCTCTTTCATTATTTCCAAACTAAGGTGCAACTGATGCGGCTCCTGGCCTCAAGACCCCCACACCTCTGCCTCCCAAGGAGGGGAAGAAGGACCCCACCCAGATGTAACCCAGGGTTCTTCACCCCCTGCCCCTCCCACCCTGGGTACTCACTAAGTTCCGCTGTGTGCTTCTGTGCCTGGGCCTGAGTCAGGTTCTTAAAGGAGTGCCCATCTGTGACACTTGATCTCCCTGTTACAGGGTTCCTGGATCCCAGGGGGCTTTGTGGGGTCTTCTGCGAAGTTGCTATGCATTAGGAAACACAAATGGCCTGCTCAGGGCCTCAGGCAGCCCGTGCACAGAGAGGGCTCATTAGTCCAAAATCCTCCTCTTCTTTCCTGCTTACAACTCCAGAAGCGGTCATTCTCTGGTTCACCTCTGGGCCTTTACCCTTGATGTTTATTCTGCCTGGCACATACCCCATCATCCTCCACCTCACCACCTTCACCTATTCATAACTCCTTCTTGGTTCAGTTTTGGAGGCCAATGCCTCTGGGAATCATCCCTGGCCCCCCAAGTCTGAAGGCTGATATTTGTCTGGCCTCTACAGCATTTTTTACTCTTGCCCATGAACTTTCCCCCTGCTTTATAAAAATTGCTAATGTAGGAATTGTAGGCTTGTCCCTTCCCCCACTGGTCTATAGTCTCCTGTAGAGAAGATGCAGTGTCTGGGTCCTCCCCAGTTCTTCCCTGGATGGCATTTGTGGTATCAAAGGCCGAGTACCTGGGATACTGGAGCTGAAAAGAAGCCTTGGGCTGCCAAACTCGGAGGAAGATTTTTCTCCTGCAAGGATGGAGGCAGATGGAGAGTTGGGGGTTAAGCAGGTTTGATGACACCCCAATCCCTTGCCCATCCAAGAACTCTGGAGCTTTAAACAGGTTTGAATGGCTGGGGGAAGGGGTTGGGGAGAGGGAAGGCCCCCAGGCAAGCACACTCACTCACCTGTATTGGGAGAAGTTGGCTCCGTGACCAGACTTAAACTGCTAAAGGGTCCTGAAACAGATCATCTTAGGTTGAAGGGTCTGCTACCTCCTAGCTCTCTATGCCCTTCTCTTCTTCTCTATATCTGGCATTTTCTGGTCTTTCTTCCTACCCGTCCTCCACCCCCTTCATTTCTCTCCTTTTTCAAGACATGTTAGGCTGGGCCAAGTGAAAAATATCCCTCTGTGAGCTCAGCCTTAGACGAGCCACTGAGAACTGTGCCCCCAGCCCCAGAGCCCTGGGGTCAGTGCTAAACTGGCCTAGCGCTCCTCTCACCTTTCCTAAGCTTCTAGGCCCAGTTGCTAGAATAGGACCCACAAGTTGGATCCTACCCTGAGCAGTCTGGATTTTCATGGACTGGAAGGAAGGCACACATGGCAGAGGGCTAAAGGATAGGTCTCCAGCTCATGGTGTTGGCTTCCATTAGAAATGGGACTCAATTGCATCATCACCACCACCTCATGGTCCAGAGTCCCAGAGTCCTTTCCTGGCTCTTGACCAATCTATGGGTACGGTACCAACCTCACACAAGATCGGGGGAAGGATTTTTGTTTTTGTTTTTTGTGGTACTGGGGATTGAACCCAATCTCATGCATGCTAGGAAAGCACTCTACCCAGCCCAGAGGAAGGTTATTTTAAACTAATGGCATGTTCAAAGAGAGAGAGCCAGTAGCCTGGCATGACTGGACAAGGACCCAGGATTCCAGGTCTCTAGGCTAATGTGCACCCTATACTATTGCTCAGGCCATTAATTTTCCTCTGTGAAGATTGTTCTCCCAAGGGGAGGAGATGGGAAGGTGAATGAATGAAATGGGTTTGGGGTGGGTTTAATGCTTATATTAGGGTGTGTGTGTGTGTGTGTGTGTGTGTGTGTCTCTCTCTCTCTCTTTCTCTCCCCTCTTCCCAGCCAGTGGTAGGGGCCTGCACAGGAAGCAGGTTCTGAGGTGTGTACAGGAGGCAAAGAAGCTCTATAAGGAGCTACCTACCAGTTTACTTTCACAGGCAGAGGCTTCTTTGGAAATGGTCATTATTGACCAAACCCAGAGAGGAGTCAGTTACTAGGAGTCCCAGGTCAGAAGCCCTCATTAGCCATTTAGTACATTTATGTGTGTGTCTGTGGGTTTTTTTTTATTACAGATGTGTGTGTGCTTATGGTCCCCTATCTGTATCCTGCTGTGGATGTGGGCCCTCAAGGGTCAGTTGGGTTTGCTCACTTTCCACAATGAAATCATTCTTGAAACCTGTGAACAATGTGAAAGGAAAACAACGTGGGGAAGTGGAGCCGCCCAGCTGGGTTCCCGTCCCTTTACTCAGCCTGGGCCGAAGGCCCCTGCCTGGCCCTTCTGCTCCTGTGGCCTATCATCATCAGGGAAGCATCGAGCCCAAACCTGGGTGGATGGAGGCGGCTGGGTGCCAGGAGCCCACCCCGGCCTGTGGCAGCCTGCTGGTTTGTTTATTTTTCTTAAGCCACTGCCTTCCTCCATGGGGCTATCACATAGAGAGTGTGGAATTAATTGTTTCCAAGCCCAAGCTTGCCCAAACCCTAGGCCATGTTTTATCAGGGCACAATCTGACAACCACATTCCTTTGTGGGTGAAGGATAGAGAGAGGAGTTAAAACTTATAGACACCCCAGGCTAGAAAGAAGCCTTTCTAGCTAGGGATAACTTGGGGAAGACTTTCAACCCATAGCGCACCTTAACACTATCAGTTACTGATCCAGTGTATCTTACACATCATCGAAGTGCTGCAAGAAGTGGTCACAATGCACCAACTTCAGCATTTACCTAGAAAGAAACCTGTCTAGCATCTTGGAAGGAGTTCCAAAGTCACAAGCTTCAAGTCTCATTTGCCTGCCCTCTCTTTGACTCCTGTCTCCTTCTGCTCCCTCGACTTGTCACCTGTAAAGATTCACCTGCAAAGGTTCACTTGCAAGTAAGCGAGGAACTAGAGTCAGGTTTTTTTCAGCAGGCCAGGTACCTCTGACCACTTGGCATGTAGACACCCAAAGAACTGTGGGCAAGGGAATTTCTGATTTTCCTGGTCTCCATTCCCTAACCCCTCCCTGCTTCATTTCCTCCCAATCTACCACTTCCCTATCCCTCTGTTTTCCTCAGAGCAGCATGTTTAGTAGGTAAAATCATGGATTTTACAGTCTGACAAGCTTGGGTTCAAATCCTGCCTTTGTCACTCACTCACTGTCTGACATCGGCCTCAGTTTTCTTTAAAATGCAATTTTTATGAGGGGATAGGGGTGTGGCTCAGTGGTGGGGCTCATTTGCTTAGCATGGGCAAAGTCCTGGATTCAATCCCCAGGGCCAAAATTAATTAATTAATAAACACAAAAAAAAAACCCATGAGATGTTAGTATCGTATAAGTTGTTGCAAGGAAAAGAAAACACATGTTCAACACTTAACACGGTGCCTGACAGTACATGCTCAATCAGTGCTAGACATTTTAATTTTTGCCCCACTTTCTCAAATCCTCTGAGTTACAAGTCGGCCCTGACTCTGTAGCCACAGTCAAGTCTCTGTGGGCATGAATATGCTCAAAAGGATTCCTCGGTTTACCAAAATGAAGGAGACAGCAAATGCCCAGAGCTCTGAGGATGAGAGGTTTAGGGAACCCAAGGAGGCTAGTCACTTTGGTAGAGTGTATATAAAGCCTGGGTATGTGCCTGGGACAGGGCAGTGGGTCAGAAAACTGGGAGAAGTCTAGGCCCTTGAAAATGCCTCATGAGTCTCCCCCTGCAGTTTCTGTTACAGCCTCCCCTTCAGCCCCAGATCAAATCTCTGACTCTGTCCTATGTGGGCAGAGAGGCCTGGTTAGAGTTTTATTCCCAGCCAGTGGCTTTCAGAAAAATGTCGGATATCTCCAGGAGGCAGAATATTCTGGTACTCAGGCCCTCTCATCCTACCACCAATCAGGGCAGTCACCTCTCTCCATAGAAGTGCTCTTGCACTCTCTCTTTCTGCTGCTTTGAACACAACCTCATAAATCTTCCATAGAGGACTTGGGAGGTTGGGGGGGGTGTGGATTGACCAAAGGGAAGTTGCTGCCCTGTGAGTCAGAGTGTCCTGGACTTCTCACGGTTACCAGCAACTGCTCCCTAATTAGAGCTCCTTCATGAGCTGGCAAGAGACCTGTCTGAGAGGTGTCGCTTCTGAGTCGTCTCCTCTGGAAGTTATCTCATCTAGCCCCTTGGGTGAGAATGTTATACACAACTGCTTTGGTAAATAGTTCTTTGTGTCTAACCTTAGGCCTTCTTGCTGTGATTTGAGCTTTTAGAATTCCCAAGTTCTTACTTCTCACCAGCAAGGGAAAAAAGAAGAAGAAAGAAAAGAAAAAAAAAAAAAAAAAGAAAGATGATCTGTAAAGGCCCGGACACAATTTCGTACTCCAACAATCTATAGGGTGACCATAGCACCCAGACCCAAGGGAAAGGTTGGATGGAACAGCTGCAGGCTTCTTCCTGCCTGTGTACCTTCTGGAAGGAGCTTTCCAGCCTCAAGCTCAAGCCAAGCCAGTTACTTCTCACATTTCAGGGGGCCCATCTCTATGAGGGACCCAGTTCTCCCTGAAAAAATTTCCACAAATGGATTTAATAGTTTCTCTGTTTTGTCCCTGCCTGGTAATGCCTACCCCACCCCCCCAGTCAGACTGATCCCCATTGTGGAAAGGGTCTGGAATTTCCCTCCCTCAGGCAGATCCATGGATGCAGAGCATGTGTGGCGTGTGTCCCAGGGGAGGGATGAGTGGGAATTACTAAGGGAAAGTGGCAAGCGCTCCTTACCTTGGAGGAAGAGCAAGCCCAGGATCGCCCAGCACAGCTGCCTGGCTCCGATGGTCCCCATGTCAGCTGGGTAGGTGGCCAGCAGGCAGCTGCTCTGTGGAGACTCTATCCATAGTGGAGAAGAGAAAGGGAGTACTGGGGCGGGGTGTGGGGTGGGGGTTGGCTCTCCAGGAGCTTCCTGTCAAAGAATAGAAGGAAACAGATTGGGACCGGCTCCAGGGGCCCTGCTCAGCACGCAGCCCAGATGAGGATGTGATGCTGAACAGCAGTGACTATGGCCGGTGCGCCTCCGGTTGGCTCTAGGGCCCTATGAGCAATGATAGTAATCTGGTCACATCTCTGTCTTCCTTGCCTAGGGGGTCCCTCAAGTCCTTCCCTATACTACTTGGAGGTTTTCCTGGAGCAGGCTGTTTCAGACCAGGTTTTCCTCTCCCAGGATTGAGCTTGAGGCTGAGCCCACTAGCCGCCCATGCTCTGTAGACTCTGAATTCTCCACATTCCTCTCCTCCTCAGGGCTCCCAATCCAGACAGGACTCCCAACATCTTTCAAGGAGAGTTTATAAATATTATTATTATTCCTAATAGAAAAGCAAGAATACCACATGCTAAGCATCCCTCCCTCTGCCTCCTGACCCCATTGGAGTTAGGTGTTCCCTGTGCTCTGGCAGCACCCTGTCCTTAGACTCTATCTATCACTCATCTGCATCCCATGATATTCTCTCCTGCAGACTATAGACCAGCATGGTTACTTTTTTTCAGTATCCCTAGGACCTGGCATAATGCTTCCCATATGGCAGGTTACTGAAGTAAACTCAAAAATTTTAGGAGCATTGGTTCAACCCTACACCATTTTTAAAAAAAAAATTAAAAATAGAAATCTTTTTTTTTTTTTTTTTGTAGAACTGGGGATTGAAGCCAGGGGACTCTACCACTGAGCCACTCCCCAGCCCTTTTTCTTTTATATTTTGAGACCTCCTCCCACCACTACCACCTCCCTTTTTAAAGGAAGGGTCTCACAGGTTGCTAAGGCTAGCCTTGAACTTGTGATCCTCCTGCCTCAGCCTCCCTAGTCGCTGGGGTTATAGGTGTGCACTACTGTGCCCAGCTTTCCTTGACTTCTAAGACCTTTACACTTTTGAAGGTTTTGGTCTAGTTATGTTGTTGACTGTCCCTCAATATGTGTCCTCATGATCAGATTTAGGTTTATGTCTTTGGCAGGAGTATCACGGAAGCAGTGCTGTGTCCTGCCTTCATTTTCTATTTAGTGATGCATGATTTTGATTTGTTCCATTACTGAGGGTGTTCATATTCATCACTTGCTCGAGATGGTGTCTACCACTATATCCATTTTCTGTGTCTTCTTAACAAATTACCACACAGCGATGGCTTTAAACAACAGAAATTGTCAGGTGCAGTGGTACCCTTCTGTAATCCCACCGATTTGGGAGGCTGAGGCAGGAGGAGCCCAAGTTCCAGGACAGCCTTGGCAATTTATCAAGACCCTGTCTCAAAAATAAATAAATAAATAAATAAAACAGTCTGGGAATGTAGCTCAGTGGTAGAGAACTCATGGGTTCAATCCCCAACACCACTTACAATTCTGGAGGCCAGAAGTTGAAATCAAGATGTCAGCAAGGCCATTCTACCCTGAAAGCTCTAGGAAAGAACCTTCCTTGCCTTCTTCCAGCTTCTGGTGGCTGTTGGTCTTTCCTTGGAACTCCTTGGATTATGCCACATCACTTTAATCTGTGCCTACGTCTTCAGATCTCCTTCTCCTCCCTGTTTTCTGTGTGTCTCTTAGAAGGACATTTTTTTTTTTTAAAGAGAGAGTGAGAGAGAGAGAGAGGGAGAGAGAGAGAGAGAATTTTTTTAATATATTTTTTTTAGTTTTCGGCAGACACAACATCTTTGTTTGTATGTGGTGCTGAGGATCGAACCCGGGCCGCACACATGCCAGGCGAGCGCGCTACCTACCACTTGAGCCACATCCCCAGCCCTTAGAAGGACATTTGCCATTGAATTTAGGACTCATCTGCATAATTTAAGATGATCCTCTCAGTTCAAGGACCATGGCTTAATTACATCTGCAAAGGCTCATTTTTTCCAAAGACGTAACATTCACAAATTCTAAGGGTTATATCTTGTGGTGGGGGAGGGAGTGTGAGGGTGAAGGTGGAGGTCACTAATCAGCTGGCTTTCTCTATACTAAAGTTATACTTTCTCCTTTGTATCATTAGTGGGTATTTTGTGGGGAGATACTTAGAAACTATCTAAATATTTCACTCTTCAACAAATTTTCAACTTTATTTTTAAATTCATATTTGTATGAAGTCATTCCTGTCATTCAATGGATTATAATATATCATAATAATTTATGATTTTGCTGCTCCAATTGTTCCCTTTTTGGCCAGTGGGAGCCCCTTCAAGCTGGTTTCTGAGTCCTTTTGACAAAGCTCCATCATGAGCACTATTTTTACTTCCTAGCTTAATGAGATCTTCCAAGTTTATTGTGTAACCTGCCTAGTCTTGGAATCAGCAATTTCTCTAAGGAAACTTCGCTCCTTTTACAAGCAGATGGTGAAACTGGTAGCTTCTCCAAGGCCATTCTCTGAAATCTGACTCACGCATCTTTTTTTTTTTTTGTACCAGTGATTGAATCTAGGGGTGCTTAACCACTGAGCAACATCCCCAGCCCCTTCTTTTGAGATAGGGTCTCGATGAGTTCCTTAGGTGTTAAGTTGCTGAGGCTATCTTTGAAATTGTGATCCCCCTGTCTCAGCCTCTGGAGCTGTGTATGCCACTGCAGACCCATTCACATATCCTTTTTGTGTGTGTATGTAATACTGAGGATTGAACCCAGATATGCTCTACAACTGAGCTACAATCCCAGGTTTTTTGTTTTTGTTTTTTATTTTAAGATAGGATTTCTCTAAGTTGCCCTGGCTGTCCTCAAACTTGGAATTCTCCTGCCTCAGTTTCCCAAGTCACTGTGATTACAGGTGTGCACCACTGCCCAACTGGCTCACATACTTTTTTTAAAAAATGTTTTGTTTTAGTTATAGTTGGACACAATACCTTTATTTTTATTTTTATAGATGTGCTGAGGATTGAATCAACCTCCCCGTACACACTAGGCGAGTGCTCTACCACTAAGCCACAACCCCAGCCCCACATATTCTTTTTAAAAAAATATTTTGTTTTTTAGTTGTAGTTGTACACAATAACTCTATTTTATTTATTTTTTAAAAAATATTTATTTTTTAGTTTTTAGGTGGACACAATATCTTTATTTTATTTTTATGTGGTGCTGAGGATCGAACCCAGTGCCTCATGCATGCTAGGCGAGCACTCTACTGCTGAGCCACAACCCCAGCCCTCATATATTCTTGATATGTTTATTTATTTGATCACTTCCTTTTCAGTAACCAATCTACAGTCTCTGTTTCCACACCCTGCCTCATGGATGCCTTCCTCATCCCACTCAGGTGCTAGACATCCCACCACTGTATGGATACCTTCATCACCTTCAATCAACCTCAAAGTGTAATTCAGAGTTGGTTATGGTGGCTCATGTAATCCCAGCAACTCGGGAGTCTGAGGCAGCAAGATCTCAAGTTCAAAGATAGCCTCAGCAATTTAGTGAAACCCTGTCTCAAAATTAAAAATAAGCCCAGTATGGTGGCTCACACCTATACTACCAGCAGCTCGGGAGGCTGAGGCAGAAGGATCTGTAATCTCAGAGGTTTAGGAGGCTGAGGCAGGAGGATTGCAACATGTGATCCCCTAGCCTCAGCAACATAGTGAGGCCCTAAGCAATTTAGTGAGATGCTGTCTTTAAATAAAAAAAATTAAAAAAGGGCTGGTGCTGTTATTCAGTGTTAAGTGCCCCTGGGTTCAATCCCAGTACCAAATAATAAAAATGTAACAAATATTAGAAGCTGATGAGAAACCAACTACTATAGGGTTTAAAGAAAAGAAAGAAGGTGCCAGGCATGGTGGTACATGCCTGTAATCCCAGCAACTCAGGAGGCTGAGGTAGGAGAATCACATGTTCGAGGTCAGCCTCAGCAATTTAGTGAGACTTTCAACAATTTAGTGAGAGCCTATGTCAAAACAAAGAATAAAAAAGGGCTGGATATGTAGCTCAGTGATAAAGTGTCCCTGGTACTAGGGACTACTGAGAGGAAAGAAAGAAAAGAAAAAGAAAGAAGGCTACTCAAGTATAATGGGTGGTAGAATACATTCTGGAAGGAGGTGACACTAGAATTAAGCCATTATTGATGGTTAAGGTTTAGAGGGTAGGAATGGGGAAAGGCAATTCACAATACTGAGTGTGGAGATAAGAAAGTGGTGGAGAAGTTCCACCTTCTTATCCTCCATGGACCTCTTTAAGAGATAGATCCAATATTGATGAAAAAAAAAAAAAAAAAAATATATATATATATATATATATATATATCCATCAGAAGGATTACAAATTGAGCTTTTTGATCCAAGGCCCCAGTGAAGGTGTTTATAAGAGCATTGTCACATGTGTCTTGAGAAGGGGGGAGGCAAGAAGCAGTGGCTAAAACCTTGGACTTGGGACACACTCCAAATTCCCACTGGCTAATGTCTAAGTGGATCAGAGTAGGAGGCAGAGGATGACCAGAGCCCTTAATTGCATGGGCAAGTGCTAACCAGAGGCTTCAGAATCAACCAGCAACCATGCTCATGTAATTCAAGGGTCAGTTCAGCTCAAGGTACCTGGGCTCAAGTGATCATGGAGGGCTCAGTGGACTCCCTGCATGTCAGGGTGTAGGCTGTTTGGCTAAGAGACAAGGAACCAAGAGGTTATACCCTGTTTCATCAAGTCACTAGGTAAGGGGGGGTTCCTGGTCTCCCATCTGAAAGACAGAGTGGTGCTGAGGTTGGAGTTGGATAAAAGACATAAAAAATAGGTAGACAGCTGGGTGCTGTGGCACTTGCCTGGAATCAATCCCAGCAACTCTGAAGTCTGAGGAAGGAGGATCATAAGCTTGAGGCCAGCCTCTACAATAAATAAAAAGGGCTGGGGATGTAGCTCAGTGGGTCCCTGGGTTTAATCCCAGTACAATGAAAAAAAAAAAAAAAGTAGAAAGGAGACATCAAGGAGGGATGGGGTTGTGGCTCAGCAGTACAGCGCTCTCCTAGTATGCATGAGGCACTGAGCTTGATCCTCAGCACCACATAAAAAATAAATAAATAAAAATAAAGGTGTTGTGTCCAACTACAACTAAAAAATAAATATATATATATAAAAAAAGAAAGGACAAGGAGGGGCTGGGGTTGTAACTCAGTGGGGGAGTACTTGCCTAGCACGTGTGAGGCACTGGGTTCAATTCTGAGCCTATAAATAAATGAATAAAATAAAGGTCCATCAACAACTAAAAACTTATTTTTTAAAAAAAGGAAAAGGAAACATCTCCTCTTTTCAAAAACTTTTTTTGGTATTGGAAATTGAACCTAGGGCTGCTTTACCTCTGAACTACAATCCCAATCCTTTTTATTTTTCAGTTTGAGACAGGGTCTTTCTAAATTGCCCAGGCTGGCCTTGAACTTTCAATCTTCCTGTCTTAGCCTCCTGAGTCACTGGGGTTACAAGAGTTCACCACTGCGTCCAATGAGGAAATATAATTTTGATCTGAGGTTTGACATACCTTTCCAGGCCTGTCACTCTCTGAGCCACTCTCTCTCTCCCAGGCAGGTCCCTCCCAAATTTCTGGGAAATCTGTAAATCTTAAATTTACTGTAAATTGACTCACTTAGGAAAATTACCTTTCACACTGTTAATTAGCCCAATAAATAGAAACTTACAACTTAGAGGACTTTCCAATATTTTCTACTGATCAGATAATGAAGACCTGGACAGCCTAAGAACACTGAGAAGAACCAAACTGATGCCATCCTAGCATACCCGCTCATGTCCACCCCTCACCAAGTTTCCTTTAAAAGAAATCAGAGAACTCAGAACTGTGTCTCACTCTCTGCATTCTCCTTGAATGTGCATTACTTGTTTTTCTTAATAAATCTCCGTGTATGTATTGGTGTGTACTGAAATTCTTTTCTGTCACATACACCAAGGACCCCACTTATCCTGAGCTTGACTCGGGAACTTGTTCTGCCCTCTCTGGGAACACTTTGGAAACCCTCTTCCAGTGACCTATATTCTCTGGTAATGATGCATGTGCATCAGGTGGCAGGATGAAGAATGGCTGGTCCCGTGAAGCCAGCCAGAAAAAAAGCAACTTGTAAAAACTGTCTCTGAACTGAGTGCATGGCATGCACCTGTTAGTCCCAGGGACTCGGGGGTCTAAGGCAGGAGGATCACAACCTCAAGGCCAGCCTCAGCAATTTATCGAGACCCTGTGTTAAAATAAAAAATAAAAAAGGATTGGGAATGTGGCTCAGTGCCCCTGAGTTGAATCCCCAGTCCTGGAACAAACAAACAAACAAACAACTGACTAGAGAGCACTCTGTTGGACACTTTTTTTGACTTTGACACATTAAATAAAACACTTTTGCAAATGAAGTTACATTCAAATAAATGCAAAGAGATATAAAATTCATGTTTGTAAAAACCAGGGCTGGGGGAGGGTGGAGGATGGGAAAGGCAGCGGAGCACAACAGACACTAGTATGGCAATATGTAAATCAATGGATGTGTAACTGATGTGATTCTGCAATCTGTGTATGGGGTGAAGGTGGGAGTTCATAACCCACTTGAATCAAAGCGTGGAATATGATATGTCAAGAAATTTGTAATGTTTTGAACAACCAACAATAAAAAAAAAAAAAAAACCAGGGCTGGGGCTATTGCTCAGAGGCAGAGCGCTTGCCTAGCATACGTGAGGCACTGCGTTTGATCCTCAGCACCACATAAAAATAAACAAATAAAATAAAGGCATTCTGTCCATCTACAACTACCAAAAAAGAAAAAAGAAAAAAAGAGAGAGAGAGAGAGAGAGAGAGAGAGAGAGAGAGAGAGAGAAAAAACAAAAGAAAAGGAATGTTTTTTTTTTGCTGGATGCCGTGGCACATGCCTGTAATCCCAGCAACTCCAGACAGAAGGAAGAAGATTGCAAATTCAAAGCCAGCCTCAGCAATTAAGCGATTCCCTAAGCAACTTGGTGAGACCCTGTCTCAAAATAAAAAACAAAAAGGGCTGGAGATTGTAGCTCAGCAGTAGTGCCTCTGGGTTAAATCCCCAGTACCAAAAAATATAATAAGTAAATAAATAGTAAAAGGGCTGGGAAGTAGCTGAGTGATAGAACCCTTACTTCACGTGTGTGTTCAATTCCCAGTATTATTTGCATAATAATAACAACAACAATAATAATAAATAAAAAGTGAAAATGGATTTTCTTTTTGCAGTACTGGGAATTAAACACAGGGGCGCTCTAACACTAAACTATGTCCTCAGCTCTCTTTTTTTTTTTTTGAGGCAGGGTCTAGCCAATAGCTGAGGCTGGCTTTGAAGTTGGGATCTTTCTGCCTCAGCCACCTGAGTAGCTGGGATGATAGGCATGCACCACCGCACACCAAATTAACTAAAAGTAAAAATCGATTTTTTTTTCTCCTGGGGATTGAACCCAGGGGTATGTAACCACTGAATCACATCCCCAGACCTTTTCTTTATTTTATATTTTGAGGCAGGGTCTCACTAAGTTGCTTACGGTCTTGCTAAATTGCTGAGGCTGGCCTTGAACTTGTGATCCTCCTGACTCAGCCTCCTGAGTGCTGGGATTACAGGCGTGAAGTAAAAATAGATTTTTAGAATAAACTTTAATTCTTAATATTTTATAAATAAATGTCAGAAAACTAATAAGAAAGGAACAGAGCCGGAGGTTGGGCCATAGATATTTAGAGATTTATTATATATACAATATGTTACATAGGGAGTGTGTGTTAATCTACATTTTCCTTTGAGTTTGAAGTATAATATATAAAAAGAAGATCAAAGGACAGTAACTTCAGGAAATAGGTGGCGGTGGGGAGTGCATATCCTGGTGCGGGAGAGGGGGAGCCTGGCAGGGGCTGAGATCTGGTGGAGGAGGGGTGGGCGGGCTGACCCAGCTCCTGAAGTTGGCAGGCAGCCAGAAAGGAGGGGCCAAGGAGGAAGATCAACTATCAGAGTTAACGACTGGCCCAGGGTAGCTCAAATGTTCCCGGAAGTGCAAGCGCGGGAAAGAGTAGTAAAATTGTGTGCAGAGGGTGTGTGCCCCATGAGCCCTGCAGACGTGGCAGCTCCGGGTAGGGGCTGAGCGGGGGCAGCCAGCTCGCCTTTGCCTACCTGGCCTCGAATCCCAAGGGAGCCCCGCACCAGTCCCGGACAATGAACCAGGTAGACTCTTGCTCATCCCTTCCTGCCAGGCTGGCCTGACTCCCTGCAGGGGCCCCAAGCCTTTCCCAGTCCTGGGCTTCCCCCCCAACCCCCTACATCCGGTGCTGCTTTCCTGTCCTCTGCCCTGGAAGCCCTATGGTTGGTCCCTGAAAGCTCAAGGAGGGGCGGTGAGTATTGGGCTTTCCACATTATGCAAAGGGAGATGGGATAGAAAGGACAGTGTGACAGAGGACAATTGGGGCAAGCCATTCCTGAGTCCCAGTTGCCTACCCATGAGGAGGGCAGGGCTGAGGCCTAGAAGGGTGCCCCTCCCCCTAGGGTCTGCAGCATGGTCCTGCTCGGGAGAAGCTGGGGAGAAATGTTCCTCAGGCTTGTGATGACCTCACTCTGGGGATTACAGTTTTGAGCTTTGTTTCCTTCACTGCCATCCAGCAGGGTGGAGATAGATAGGTGGGGATTATGTCCCCATGCTTTTGGTAGAACCCAGAGATCCTGACAGGGGGAGACTGGCACTGAATCTCCTCAGTTTGTCCTTGGCAAATCCAGGAATACACCGTGGATACTGCCCCCTCAAGCCTCCAGAACTTGACCCTGAGGCCTGGGAGCAGGGGGCACATAGTATAGAATGAGGCCTCCCTGCCTCACCCCAAGCTTCTGGGGTTCTTTGTGCTCTGTTTCCTCCCCCAGAGGAGCACCTTTCTGCCTTCCAGTGAGTGGGAGTAGGGGAGCCTAAGAGGCCAGACAATGATTCCCTTTCTCCAGGACTTTAAGAAGCAGCTAGCTGTTCACTTCCCACTGCCCAGAACGTGGGACAGCAGCCCATAGCATGCTCAGATTCTTGACCCAGGACACAGGACCTATTTAGGAATCTTGCTAAGACCTGGGAAAACAGGCAGGCAGTGGGAAGGGACTTGGGACCAAATTATTGGCCAGACTATAATGATGCCCTTCTCTTCGCCCCTTTCTGAGCAACTTTAACTTGCTGTCTTTCCATTTCTTTGTCTCTGTCTCCATCTTTATTTCAGTCTCCATCTTTATCTCCTTTTCTTTTCCTTTTCCCATGTGTATCTTTCTCTCTGTATCCTCCTCTGTCTTTTGTCTTTGTCTTTTATTTTCTGTTTATGTGTGTGATTACCTCTGTTTCTCTTCTGTGTGTGTGTGTGTATGTGTGTGTGTTTTCCTCTCTCAGTTTCTCTGTCTCTCTGTTTCCTTTGGGTGTCAATCTCTTTCTATTTTGGTCTTTTTCTTTGGAGGGGGTCACTAGGGATTGAGCCCAAGGGTGCTTTACTTCTGAGCTACATCCCCAGCTCTTTAAAAAAATATTTTTTAGTTATAGATGAACACAGTCTCTTTATTTTATTTTTATGTGGTGCTAAGGATCAAACCAGTGCCTCACACATGCGAGGCAAGCGCTCTTTCTCTTAGCCACAATCCCAGCCCTCTCCAGCCCCTTTTGTTTTTTAATTTCCTGCTAAATTGCTGAGGCAGGTCTTGAACTTGCAATCCTCCCGACTCAGCCTCCTGAGTTGCCAGGATTACAGGCATGCACCATCACTCCCGGCTCCATTTTGACCTTTTTCTGTGTGTACATGCCCACTTCAGCCTCTCTTTTCTCCTCCCCTCCCAGACTGATGACTCCTCCTCCAGCTGTGAATGGTTCATTGGGGCAGGAGCCCCAGAGGCAGCTTCCAGAGGTGCTGGGTGGAGCCTGGGAACCACTTCAAGGAGACGGGCTGCCACCACTCACCATCATTGTTGCCGCCTTTGTCCTGCTTGCGGTCTGTATTGTGGTGGCAGTCCACTTTGGGCCAAGGCTGCACCAAGGCCATGCTACTCTCTCCACAGAGCCACCAGCTCCAAAGCCAGAGTATGGCATCTACCTCATCCACTGGAGGCTGCTGGGCCCCCAGGACAGTCATAAAGAAGACCAGCAGGGACCTCCTATCCCTGGATCTGATCCTACTCCAGAAGGGCCCAGGCCCAGTATTGATGAAGAAACATATCTGTAAGAGGGAGATTTTGGAAGTTAATCTGATCTGGCTCAGCACAAGAAACTGGACTGAGAATTAGAGCAAAAGCAAATTGGAGCCTAAGCATCAGAGCTGTAGATGGGTATACTGGACTGAGCAGGAGCTGCCCTCTCCAAATGTTTCTGAAAAGAGCTCTTGATGGACAGGAAAAATGAAAGAAGCTTGAGAGCAGGGCCCTGTGCAGAGGACTGCTGCTGTGGGTGTCCCCAGGGTCTAAGGTTTATGAAGACTTACCTCCCTTCACAGAGCTCCTGACCCTTAAGCTCTGAGTCCCTGCCCACACCATCAGCCTTAATCTCCTTCCCTTTTGGGGTAAAGTGAATCCACTGTGAAAGATTCCACCACCCACCTCAATTCTAATCAGGAATGTCAGATGCTCCATAGAGTGCCCAGATCCTATTAAAGTCCAGTCAGGGACAGCCACAGCAAAGAACCCATGATCTGCCTTTTCTGAGATTCTGAGGACTCAAGGAAGGAAAGGTTGCCTTTCACCCATGATGGAGCAAATCTTGGTGCAGGGCCTAGGTTTTGTTGACAATGTCTAAAGCCTTTGGAAATCCCAAGCACCATTTATAGTTCAAAGATTGCCTTTGAATGGACCCCACTGACTCTGTCTTGCCTTCTCAGGGTGTGATGGGGGAATTTGGGGATTCTCATCATCTCCCACTTTCTATCCACATGGTCCTGTAGAAATAAGCCTAGAATTTACCACAAAACATTTCCTACCCAGGCACAATGGCACAATCTTAGCTACTTGGGAGGCTGAGGCAGGAAGATTGCAAGTTTGAGGTCAGTCAGTGCAATTTAGAGAGTCCGTCTCAAAATAAAAAATAGCTCAGTGGTAGAGCAACTGGGTTCAATTCCCAGTACTAAAACAAAACAAAACAAACGAACAAACAAGAAACACCCAGACAGATGCAAATACCAACTGGTAGAGTCAGGACATTATATCTATTTACCTGTTTTATAGTACTGGGTAGGGATGGAAGCCAGGACCTCATACATGCTAGGCAAGTACTGTATACTGAGCCACATCCTTGACCTGGAGTCAGGGTTTGAACTTGGGGCCATTAAGCTCTACACACTGGCCACCATGCTGGGCGCTGATGGGTGGAGCAAGGTCAAGTCCGAGGCCCTTGATTCTGGACTGGTTTCTGGTGTAAGAGTAACTGACATGATGGAAGAATCTCAGGTCTTGGAAGGAATATGGCTGGAACAGCTGGGCAAGGGGATAGTTTCCCCCTTGATTCCCTTGACTCTGTTGTCCATAGGAGTAGCTGGTTTTCTCTGTGCGGAACATTTCTTCAAAATGATGCTGCACTCAGAAATGCTTATTGAGCATTTGTGATAAAAATAAAAAGGTGGAGGGGCTGGTTTGTAGCTCAGTGGTAGAGCACTTGCCTAGCATGTGTGAGGCAAAGGGTTTGATCCTTAGCACCATATAAAAACAAATAAATAAAATAAAGGTATGGTGTTCATCTACAAATGAAAAAAAAAAATTTAAAACAAAGGTGGAGCTAGCTATGGTGGCATGTCTGTAATCTCAGCGGTTCAGAAGGCTGAGGCAAGAGGACCACAAATTCAAGGCCAGCCTCAGCAATATAGCAAGGCTGTAAGCAAATTAAAGACACACTATCTCAAAATTTAAAAAACATAATAATAAAAATGGCTGGAATTGTGATCCAGGGGTAAAGCACCCCTGGGTCCAATCCCCAGTACCAAAAAAACAAACAACAAAAACCCTACATATCAAAAAACAAAGTTGGAAAAGCAACAAAGGTAGGAGGGAAGGAGCAAGTCATCCCAGATGGAACTAGTAGAAACAGGCTGCCTTCCCCCCCAGTGAGGGGCAACTGTGCCACCACAGTGCCTCTGTTCTGAGGATGATGCCATAACATATGGCATGATGACTAGCTGTGTTGTCCAAGACATCCCAGGGGATGTCCCATCTTCTCACACAAACTCTTCTTCCTTGATCCTATTGCAGGCTCTCTCATCTGGGGACATTTATTCAGTGGGCCCTGGATGCCACTCATGGCATCTGTGTACTGGTTCAGCCTATCCTCCGGCCCCTGCTCCCCAAGCCACTCACCGGAGATACTGAAAGGGCATTGAAAAGGCAGGGAGGTTAGGGGATACCACCTGACTCTATGCTCTTTGCCAACTGGTAGGCTCTGCCCAGACTGAAGTGGCACCCAACCCACACTGCCCTGAACAGGATGAGAGGTACGTGGAAGCATGCTTGGATTTAGGTCTGAACATCAGAGCAGATAAACACAATTTTTTTTTTTTTTTAATCTGGCAAAGTCCAACAGCAAAATGATGACATACTCAAAGTAGGTAATCTGAGCTCAAAAAAGGACTAGAGAAATGACTATTGAGAGTCAGGTGTGGTGGCACAGGCCTGTAATCCCAGACGCTTGGGAGGCTGAAACAGGAGAATTATAAATTCAAAACCAGGCTCAGCAATTGGGAGGCACTAAGCAACTCAGTGAGACCCTGTCTCAAAATAAAATATGAAATAGGGCTGGGGATGTGGCTCAGTGGTCCAGTGCCCCTGGGTTCAATTCCTGGTACGCCCCCCACACACACACACACCACCACCACCACTTCAAATAAAAAAGGACATTGAAAAAGGGCAGGACATAAGGAAACCACAACTGAGAGTGAGGCCTTTACTGGAGAGCCAATGCGATTGCCAGGGGTAAGGAGAGGAGGCAGTTCCCCCAACCTGGAGATGGACAGGTTTGCCAGGAGGGTCACTTGTCAAGAGAGCCCACTCGACTTTTGAACTGCCAGGAGGGAGCTGGGATAAACACCCCAACCTCTTCCTCCCTCCATTCTCCTGCTGAAGCTCCCCATTGAGCAAAGATGACCAGAAATCCAAGGACAAGAGAGTCTGTTGTGCCACCCAGACAAATCTGTCCCTGGGCACTAGAGGGTCTAATGGAAAATAACTGGCATACCCCTTAAGTTTACCTGGTACTTAGAGCTTAGACAAAACTTCTACATATGCACAGTCCTCACAACAACCCTGTGAGGTAGGGCAATAATTATAATCCCATTTTGTAGAAGAGATTACAGCTCAAAAAGGTAAAATGGCTTGCCCATGGATACAGGACTCATCTGGAGATGTCAAGTCCAGAAACCTTCTCTGCAAAGTCCTCTTTGGGAGGCATGGCTCTGCTGAACATCCAGCAGTTGAAGCAAGCTCCAGTTCTGATTCTCGAAGGCTCAGGCAAGATGACCCTGGGCCTCAGAAGACATCAGTGCGGAGTGGGAGAGGCTGTTCCATATCACTGATGAGGAGCTTGGGCTCTTGGGACAGGGTGGAGGAACTGGGCACCACTGAGGTCCCCATGGTGCTCAAAGTAACCTCCTCTTTTTCCTCCTGCCGCATGTGCCGGAGAACTTCCTGTGACAGCAAGAAGCTGCTCCCCTCTGCAGATTCTGGAGTGGGGTCATGGGACAGGAGTTAGGATCCTAAACCCACTGGAACATACTTAGAGAAGATCCCCCATTCCTCCCTACCCCCTCTTCCCACCCACCCACAGCCTCTGGGGCTAGAGGCTCAATGGAATCCTAGTTAGAAGTGGTTTTAGAGGTCATGGAATTCCATTCTCTTGGTCTTAGAGATGGTGATACAAAAGGTCACACAGTCAAGGTAGAGCTGAGGCTGCAGCCCTCTTCTCTTGTGCTCCCTATTCTCTAACCAAGGACTCTTCTGCTTCCCATGGCATTCCTAGATAAAACAAGGGACTCCCAGAACCCACCTCTTCAGGCTCCACCCAGTGTCTATAGCCAAAAACCTCAGAAAGCAATCTAGTGTCCCAGGTTGGTAGGGGAACCTTTCCCACAGAAGAAAGGGGCAGGGTTTGACCACCCTGACCACTTGAGATGGCTCAGGAAAGTGCTGCCTTCTTACTCTCTAGGGACCCACAGACCCTGACTCCTCCTGCCCCCCCAGTCTATCAACCCCTCACCCTGGTAGACAATGAGGCGACAGTTGTTCTGACACTCAGGGACTTCTGCCAGGATGTCCTCAAGTGTTCGACAGAAGAGTTTGGCCTGTTCAAGCCGATCCTCCCGGCTAAAGCCAGCTCTGCCATCTTGTGACATGGCAAACAAGGTCTGCAAGGGGGTGGCATACTCCAGGACACAGGTACCTGCCTGGAGGAGGTGAAAGAAAGAACAGATTGAGTTTCTGTCTAGGCAGACAGACTCTGGACTGCAGTGCTTTGGGCTGAGGCCCCGTTCCCTCAGTCTGCAGAAACCGAGTTCTGGGAGGTGGCCACTGATGATGTCTGTGCTCTCTGATCTGCCTTCACCTGACACCTCCCTCCTGAAATCAGGACTAGATTGGGCAAATCTTATCCTTCACAGATCCTTCTAAGATCCCAGGGCAAGACCTACAGCAGCTGCTCCAGCTGGAAGTGGAGTCTGGGTGCGGGGCTCTGGGCTCCAACTGTGGTCTGGGTTTCCCCATACCTACAGGAAACTCTTTTTTTAAAAAAAAATATTTATTTATTTATGTATCTTTAGTTTTAGGTGGATACATTAGCTTGTTTTTTATGTGGTGCCAAGGATCGAACCCAGTGCCTCATGCATGCTAGGCATGCACTCTACCACTGAGCCACCACTCCAGCCCCAGGAAACTCTTCAGATGGTCTCACAGCCTGCATTTAGGGCAGCTTGGTGATCAAGAGCATACTATACTCAAGCTGAAATCATCCACTTTTTCACTGTCTCTGAGCCTCAGTTTCTTCCTTTGTAAGGTAGGCATCGTAACAGTCCCTGTCCCCAGAGACATGGTGAGTTTCAATGGAATGGTAATATGATCCACTCAGAATGGCACCTGGCATGCAGTAAATGCTTAAGAAATGTTATTTACTATTACCATTCAGAACTGAATCTTGCTAGCCCTGGGACCAACCGAGGCTCGGAGAAGCATCTTGAATTTTTATCAGTGCTTGGTCAGAGCCCAGGGTCCTGGAGGTCTTCCAGGGACCCCCTACCTCCTTGTGAGCTCACCGGCTTCCCATTCTCCAGAAGCTCATAGATGCTGTTGGAGTAAACCCGGCCCTTGATGCCAGCACGGTCAGCACTCTGCTGGGGCAGAGTATGCAGGAAGCGAATGTTGGGGTCAGCTACACTCAGGTCATCAGGCACCCCACACTCCAGCGGGAAGAGGATATACAGCCGTTGGCTCCCTGCACCTCGTAGCATGTTGTTGTGGAACTGGTTATAAGTTTGGATCCGAGCCCGGAGTCCTAGGTAGGGAAGTCAAGAAGTCATCTCTGTAAACCCTGCATCCCATGAAATTCGGGACTAATACCAAGGCCATTGTCCTCCCTTAGTCTATGGGTACAAGAGAATTGAGGGTCTAGTCCACTCTCATTGTGTGTTTGCTTTGGGACTAGAGGTTGAACCTAGAGGCTCTTTGCCACTGTGTGACATCCTCAGCCCTATGTTTTGTTTTTGGTACTGGGGATTGAACTCAGGGGTACTTAATCATAAGCCACATCCCCAGCCCTTTTTTGTATTTTATATAGAGACAGGGCCTCACTGAGTTGCTTAGGACCTCACTAAATTGCTGAGA